GTTAATAGGAGTAGTTTTTCCGGGAAAACAGAGCTGATGGTTTACGAAGTCAATTATTGCCAGCGGTCAAACCGCAATGTTTTAGTACTTCCGTTGTTCACGCGAAACTGAAATCGCACAGTTCAAACAGAAATTGCCGAGTTTGCAGTTTGATAAAATGCTGAATATTGTTTTCAACAGAAAATAATATTCTTACAACTGCTGAGGCAGTGAAAATAAATTAATTATCACTGCCTCAGCACTCTTAACGCCGTCCGAGCTGGTATACACATAAGATTAGATAATCGATAGAAACAGAATTGAAATTAGGAAGATCGTGTACGTCAGTACTTTTTCGAGATTACTTTCCTAAAATGTAATGTGCTTATTTCAACTGAGCAGAATTTGTCTAATTTGCAATCGAAAAACCCTAAATATATATTACCTCTAGATCAAGAAAAAATGATTGTAGATGAATTACACTATTAACGTTTTAGTGGCTTGGAAAAAAAAAACATAAACAAAAATATTTCAAAACCTAAAACCTGTGGTGATGAGGCACGCTTCCGTGGGATGACTCAGAAAATAGGGAAAAATCCCGGACTTTTTCTAAACATCACTTTAATAATTTGTTAGTCAACAAAAACACAAGTCCGAAAATTACCCAGCTTTGGTTCTATTCAGTCGACAAGGAAAAAACAGATCGCGGAACAGTTGAAGCCATTATATGAAGATGAAACAAGATTTTCCTTAAAAGTTGTAAAGTTTCTTAGATTGCATTTCCGGTTACGTCATCATCAAAAGCATCACGGCATTGTCCCCGCATGTTGGGTGCGTGACACACGAATCAAAACAATTAAAATCGTATTTCCGGTTTCTGAGCCAAAACAAAAACATATTCATCGCATGATTAGAGACAATCACGAGAAAATCATGAACTGAATGAAAAATAACGGAAGCACGAATGAGACAAGATAAATAAACACACGTTAATTGATGTTTTATAAGTGAATTTTGACCATGATAACTTTAACAGACTCCAGATGAGGAACAGTTTTGTCGTTTCTTTGAACAACTTCTGTAGTCACCGTGGAATCACCTTTTGATTAATTTTACGTAATCACAGACGGTTTATCAACGGGGAGACAGGAAAGCCGTGATGTATCGTAAAGGAAGGAAGGATAAACCAAACAACTGTTAAAAATTGTTATGGTTTGTTTTGGCATATCCAAGAAATACGAATTGATAACTGCTTCCTTTCCTTATCAGTCTCGATAAACCGATTCATTTGGACTGTGTCCTGACCAGGGTTTCCGCATTTCTAAAACGACATCTACCATTAAGACTGATCACCTTTCAGCAGTTTTTGATATTCAGTATTCCCCAATATACAATTTGGTTGTAAATTATAAAATTAGCCTTTTTCTTTGAAAGAATTAATTTCCGGCGAAAACGCGAGATTCGAAGAAAACTATCAGTGGAACGGAAAAGTTTTGAACAAACCTCCAACGAAATGGATATTTAGTTATTTTTTTAATTATTTATCCTTTTTTTTTAATTTAATGTTCCATTCTAAAACATCACCTCAGAAAAGGAATTTTTCCGTGACGCAAGTTAGGGCACGAATGGGCACCGGACTAAGTATGTTACACCCAGTTTGTGAGCCGACAAATCGACGGATCGTAACGATGCAAATTTGATCTTCATTTAAATGGGAGTATTTTCCTGAACGTAGGAGCTGTTAATCGATCCCTAGACCATTAACAGAGAGACAAGACTACGTCAAAAGACGGGCGCAATTGCGCCTTATTCCTCGGAACACTAGAGTATCAGTTAACTTTGAATAATTTTTTTTTTCCTGTTTGATCGCGGCTTCCTGACAACAAACAACAAAACAAAACGGCTTAGTTTGAAAGCCTCACCTTTCTGATATGAATATAAAGGAGAGTGCCTTTCCTCTTTTTCATTCATTCTATTTTTAAAGAAAGCTGTGGTTCTTGTTCAGCAACTTTCAAACACTCAATAAAGTATTAATTTCTGCCCGGGCTTTCCATCCATAATAATTTGTCGGCGACACGATTTCCGTCTTAAAAGTTTTTCAAGAATCTACTCCGAAATTTAACATATAAAGTATCAAAGAGGATGATTAAACCACATATCACTTTCAGCTTTTGTGTGTAACATCTTAAAGTCATACTGTAACCTTTTGAGTGAAATTAATCGGATTTGTCTCAAAACTGGATCTTCCTTTAGGCGGTGGTTGATTGGGGTGTTGCACGCCCTACAAAAAATTTCGGGAATTTTCGAGGAGATGTTTGCACATGAACTCCAAGCCGTCGAGTGAATAATGTGGCAGAAAAGGAGAAGGGAAGAGCAAACTTGAATAGTAGTGGTTTGACCATCAGAATTTCAAAGTACATACTCGATCGGAAATAGCGACAGAGCTGACGAAGAAATGTTATGAATAGGAATGATTGAGATGTCAAATAAAGAAACGTTTCAAAATTAAAGTTCGAGGCATTTTGATAGTTTCAAAGCTAAAATCGTAGAATACATTCAATGATCCTGTAAAAAATTGACTTAATCTTATTCACGTTTAAAGCAGAAATCTAAATTTTTTTATTGAAGAATTTTTTCAGTTTACTCTTAAAAGCAGTTGGTACAAAAAATCTCACTTTTCTTGAGTCTATCATGGCGAAATATGCGCGCATTATGTTCTCAACTGCTGCCAATAAACAACGGTACAATTAAGTCATGTTCTATTCTCAACAGTCACGAAGCAGGAATTTTGATTACTGTAGCACTTTGTTTCCAAAACATGTCGAACCCAGCAGACGACGAAGTCATATGAAATTCACGTTAAGTGGTACATTATAAGATCACTGATGGCGCTACATACGGCGCGAAAACTTCAAAGCTTAACCTTTGCACAGACAAGAAGAACAATGCATGGACGTATCTCATGTATTCGCTTAGGCAACAAATGTTTCAAAGAAAACTCGTGCCTTTCTCATGAATTGAATTTTTGTCATAGGAAACAGTTAAGTACCCTTAAGCTAATTTTTTGGGGCGCGATTTTACCAGTAAAGCCATGAAAATTAAGTTTAATGTCAGTGTTTTCTCATGAAATGTCTTAAATCGAGAATATTACGTTATCTATTGAATAATCTGCACCTTTCCCGTAATGGTCATTTATAAAACCAGGACACTCATCTGAAAAATTTTCCGTGTTTCCAAATTTCACTCATAATGCTGCCTTCATGCGTGTAGCTCTCAAAGAGTTTAGATGTGTCCGCAATTAAAGCGAAAACATTGAGAGTACAAACTCACGAAATTCTTGAATTTTAAAGTTAAGATTGCATTGAATCTTTTTTTTTCCTCGCCGTTGTCATGGCAACTTTCTGATCTCGCTCTTAAGATTTTCATGTGAATGAAAGTGTTGCACATTCATGCACTGAGGGGATTAGTTGAGTTAATTGAGTCTTCAAGATGGCTGGGCTCTCTCATGTAAACGTAAAAAATTGATGTGATATTAAGTGGGAGGAGAAGTGGGCAAGTACTTAAATAAATTCTGAAGACTGAATTGCTGTGTTGCGTCGGCTTGATCGACGGTTTATCACTAACTACGTGTACAACATATAATTAAAAAATATATATATTTGAAGTTACCCTAAAGATATTTTATATGCTGAAGTTTTGATTGTCGGCCGAGATGTAAAGGGAAAGTGTGGCAAGGTGAATTTAGTAGGTCTCAATAGAGAGTTTGGTATGTTCACCGCAAACGTCAAAAAGCGGTCAGCAGTTAGAAGTTAGAGGTTTCGAGACTTTCAGCTTTTTAGATTGAAGTCGGCTTTCACCTCACCACCCATCTTGAATTACACGAAAGATGGGGGTCCTTCATTGCAAACACAAAATGTGGCTAAAAGATTGGTTTTCTTGCGTCTCAAACGGATAGGTTATAAAGAAAAGACTTAACCACACAGACATTTATAGGACATACGTGAGAAATTTCGAACAGAAGAGACAAAGTGTCAAGGGAGTTGATGTACCTGAAACTGTCTTTGCCCGAAGTTCAAACATGGACAGCAAACGGCGCACGTGACCGCTAGAGTCTGGTCACGTGACTCCTTGAGGTTTACGGTCACACGTATTCCGAAGCAAACGTGGATCTAAAACTCCCTAATAGGATTAACCGTTAGCCGTAAAACGACCAAAAAATTTAACCATTAGGCGTAACAATTGACAAATTTTAACCCTAATTGCTCTAAAATTTCTCCTTTCTACAAAATGTCATTTTGTGTTTTTTTTGGTAAACTGTAGCCGTAAAAGCCAGCACCCCGTGGAGACCCTCGATCAAGGGAGGGGTTAAGTTCTTTCCTTCTATCCTGAATTTTCATTATCTGTCCGCTCTAATTCACAATAAGCAGCGGGGATCTTTCCTCGGAAAAATCACGAGTACATATTCGATAAACCATCCGGCCTTATCGAGCATTAATCCTTTAACTACTGAGAGTGATTGGCTTCTCATTTCTCTTTACAATATCAGCCTCGTTTTAAATATAAAGGTCATGAGAATTAAAGGAATGATCTTCAAATAAAAAAAGCCCCTGATTGCCAGACAAATTCTTCTTGTTAACGCCAGAGAAAACGTAAAGAGAACTTCATCATCGCATATTTTCACGCGCTAAATTTCACAAATATCCTGGGAGATAATTCGTGGAAGCGAAATTTTGACAAAAGCGCTCTCCATTAACTAAATACCAAATAAATGTCAGGGTAGAAAGGGTTAATAGGAATCCTTTTAGCCAAAGAAAACTGAGATGAACGCAAATTAACTCGGTTTGTTTCAATTGATTCCTTTTACAGCTTCAAGGTGTTATCTCAACGGCTTAAACTATCAAAAGTTTCTAAATATAAATCATTTTTTAATGGAATAGGCAAGCTTCTTATGTCTTTCATTCGAACCACCTCCAAGATAAATATGGGAATTCTTTCATTTAAATCAAGTTTTAATTAACGCGGACGGCTTCGACATTTTGTTAATTTAATTAAATCAGATTTGCTCTCTAAGAGCAAGTAACTCTTACAAAGATTATTCAATAAGGCGATACAGTCCTTGGTTTTTAGTCCAATCGCAAGAAGAGAAAACGGTTGTCGTCACATGATCTGATTTGAACACAGCTGCAATCGCCAGAATCAAGATCCCGTGAACACCACGTGCAGACATCGTGCGCATCACATGCTACGATCATCAGAATCCTGCCCTGTGCTACTGCTCACCAGCACTTTGACTGGAACCTGTTTGGCCCTGTTTAATCCTCGGTGCCTCAACTGATATCTCCTGTTCTGAAACCAGTTTCTTATTTGCAGCTCCGTCATGTTCAAAACAGTCGCCAGCATGGCGCGTTCGTCGCGTGTTAGGTACTGCTGGCGGGTAAACACGTCTTCCAAATACTTAAGCTGCCCTTGCGTGAAATGGCTTCGATTCCGTTTCTTTTTCACTGCACTTTTCGATGCAGAGCCAGGTAGTTCACTGTTCCGTTTATCTTCCTCCGTCTTTTTATTTCCGTTAGCTGCCAATATATCTATAAAACAACAGGTAAAAAGATTCTTCTTTTTTAATATCACCCGTGAGGTTGAATCACCAATCTCTCTATTCAAACTGGTTTTGAAATCCATGATTCTCTCTTTATCAGTAACTCCTCTCTTTGTTAAAGTCAAATGAATAAAGCGGGTAAGTTTTTACACAAACTGTTGTGTGGGGTCGGTGGATAGTATTACAAGATAATTTGGTTTTACCACCTTAGTTTGTTAAGGTAAATTGGCCTCCGTAGAGAGCTTTTAAAGCTGACGTTTGGAGCGTTAGCCTTTCGTCTGAGCGAATGACGAAGAGCCAGCGCTTGAAACATCTGCTGTGTTACAATCAGTTTTGAGATTTTTCTTTTTCTCCACTCAGCACTTGTTTCCGAGAAAACGGTTTGAAATTTTTAATGAGAATTTGCGGGGTAGTCCATTCTTGTAGTTAACCCTTTAATGCCCGTAAGAGATTTATATATAACATATAATATCCATACATCTTCCAGCAGACAGCAGTTAATATTCTCTTGCAGACAGGTAATGAGAATACCCAAACTTTTTAGGTAGAAGTTGTCATCTTGATGTAACATCAAATTCTCATAACTAATTTACAAGGAAAATTACAACAGCTAGAGGGGAGAGTTTATAATCAGATCTTCGAAGTTGAAGGGTTTAAACGCTGAGAACCTGACTTGTGTTTCTTGCTAATATGATGAAAAATTTAATAACAAGGTCCTCTTCCAACAGGGCGACCAGGTAAAATTTCCGCACAGCCCCATACTATTGTTAAACAAATCTGTTTTCCCAATGGCAATGTATTGTTTTTGTCGTTGTTTTCTCTCTCCAAGAACTGAATGCATAATGTAGTATGGGGCTGTGCGGAAACTTTACCGGCGACCATCCCGTAAGTATGTTGACATGATACGGTATAAAGAAATGGATAGTGCTCTGAATAATAAATTTTTTAACGAGTTTTGATATGCTTAGGATGCTTCGATCATCATCGCATATTTTCACGCGCTAAATTTCACAAATATCCTGGGAGATAATTCGTGGAAGCGAAATTTTGACAAAAGCGCTCTCAATTAACAACGGTGGCACATTAGGAAACTACAACGCGCACCACCGAAATCGAAAGCATCAACCATGTTTGAGTACAAATTTTACCACCGCGCAGATAATTAATACAAGCTTTAAACAATTCAGTTTACACTTTAGGCATTAAATGACAAGTTGCTGACGGAAATCTGTCCTAGCGCGGAATTGAACGTGCGGGTTATGATGATGCATACATGAAAATTACATGTTTCCCTAGCGCCAAATTTCAATGCTTGCTTTAAAAGCAAAAGGCGACATATTCATTGCTGATTTAAACTGAACTAATTGCACTTAGAAAATAAGCAAAACTAACATTTTTCACTCAGACACCTTAAACACCTCAGAGCCAGATATTTCAAGTGTTTTGTTAGGTGTGAAAAACTTACCACGTTTTTCAACATAAGTGCCCTTAGGGGCTAACTGCTGAAGAGAGTGAGGAGAAATGAACTCAAATTGAACAGTTGAAAGCGTGTTTAAAAAAAAAAAATAAACTTCACATACCTTTCTTTCTCTGCTGTTCTCTGACATAACCAGAGTTTTGAATCTTGGCATCCTTCTCTGAAATTACGGACAATGTGTGCGCGCTGTAATAATTTCTGGCAAAAAATTCCGTTTCATTACAGAAGCTAGCTCGTCGATCTAGCTGGCATCTTAGAGCGACGTATGGCAAATTTCTGCTATCATTCAGGCGTTCTAAGTAAATACACCTTGGTACGTGTCTTATGTGTGAAGGTGGAGGAAAGTCTGAGCGAAGAATATTGGCGATAGAGAACGACAAATTCTGTGCCATCTTTCCGGCTTTACAATTGCAGCCAATTCTGAGAGGTTCGGAAGAGGATTTAATATATGTCACTCTTTCAGGGGCGTGTATGCACGCATCAAGACGCGCGCACGTGAAAATTTCATGTAAATTAAGGACTTATTGTCAAATGAAAACAATCAGAGCGTCTTTCTCTTTAAAATTAGAGTAAACAGCGGCAAGGTGAGAATGTTTCCAAATTGTAAATCCTTTTTTATATACGATATTTTCAACGTGTGTAGGTATGCAGAGTGAATTTTGACCCGGTCTTAACTTTATTGACACTTGAAAGCAATCATTTAGACCGTACAATATTAATCCTGACAATTTTGTGACATTTTCAGACTTGTTCCTCGGGGATCTTTTTTTTCTATACTTAATGAAATGTGACAAGAGTGAAACAAATGGTAGGAGATTCTTTCAATCTTAAGAGAATTTCAGCATTTTCTTGAAATTTGGTCTCAGTGCGGTATCAGTCGAAAAAGACTTTCTTTTTCCGATTGTCCTGTGGCATAAAAATAAACTTCCTCAATTTTTATTTCATTTGGTTTTTTTTATTGTGTCCTACCTTGCGGAAAAGAAAATTGTAACGCAGAAACAAAACAACGGAGATGGCGCACATGTATTCATTTTCTGAATCGCCAAACGTTTGCGCAACAAAGAATCCAGTTTTTAACAAAGAGGGTTTGTACTGAAAATGTCGTTGAATTATACCGGGAAATTTTGATGGGTTCTTCCTTCCCTGAGATTCATTTCAGAGGGTCGTCGGCGCTGTAAACATTTCCTTGTCCTGAAAAATGTCAAATCGACCTTAACCGCGCCGAACTTCAATTTGATGTTTTGTTTAATGCGTAACTTTCATTTGAATCGAAAAATTCTGACCGTTTCTCCACAGACTAAGTTTGAAGCATTCTTTTACTGTACTTAACAGTTGGTTGCCTTTGTTTCAACAGGGAAGTTTCCTCCATTTACTTTGGGTCATGCTAGTTTTTTTCGCTCAGTTCAGATGAGCTGATCCGATGGTTGGCATAGATCAGAGTAGAATTCTTCGCTCTCACGAAGGGCTCACGCTAGAAACGTCAGCTTTATCACTCTTTACGGCGGTCAATTTACATCGTCAACTAAGTTGATAAAACCAGTTCATCTTGCAATCTCCCATCGACGCTTGCAGCACTAAAGTTTATTCTGAAACGTACCCCTTTAATCATAGAATCCGAAATGCTTTTTATCTCGGAAAGATAGCTCGGCTGACTTTTTGAGTCCTCTTTCAAGCAGATTAAATAGAAAGGAAAATGAAATGAAAACATGTGGCGCAAACTATCCGCTCTTTCAACGGCGAGTGAACTGAGAGAGAAAAAAATAGCCAGGACTATTTTAGCGCATAGCAAAAAGTTAAACCAGTTTTTATAAAATTGCAACTGGATTGCTTCATTCAAGAAAAAGATTCGAGGATATGTTTCACTCACTGACCCAAAACACCTTGTACAGAACTGAGTAAACAATAACACATTAATTTAACAAAGATGAGCAAAAGTTTGCAAACATAACACATACTGCCCCACAGCAACACTGCTCGGCAAATAGGACCCCTTTGCATTTTGAAATCTGATGTTTCACGCGAATCCATTGAGGTAAATATTGGTGAAAACAAAGCTCTATAACTTTGAAATCACAGTCTGATCAACATTAGTATTCATATTTCAGCAAAACCTTAACAAACTGAAATATAAAAATGTCAAAGGTGAGAAACAGCGGAAGATGTTTGCGGTGAAAGCTTTTTCATATCAACTAAAAAGGAGGCATTTCTGCGTCAGTTAAACAATTACTGAATCAAATGTTTTCACTTCGTTGCAGACATGATTTTAAGGATCGATTACTGAGCGAGGAAATCTTGCGCCTTTTCTGCGTGTAGGTCCGGTGCTCGATTAGTCAACAATTCTGAAAAGCGCACACTTGGAAAAAGATGAAAATTGTCATGCAATAAAAACAGATGATAAGCAAATTAGCTTGCCAAAGAGTTCTTCTTTCCGGCTAAAATATCCATGGAGGAAAATTTGACGTTTAAAACATATCAGTGGAAACTATCCAAACACACAATACAAAAACACGTTAAAAGAAAAATTATAATAATCACGTAGGTACTCAAAACTGAAATTTACCGTTGAATGTATCTGCGGTAAGAAGATTTCAATGATTTTAAATGAAAGGTTAAGTTTGAATGTAGTGATAAAGAGCAAGCACGCTTAAGACGGAGAAATCCCACGGCTTATTACCCCAAATGTTTACGCAGGAAGACAATAAAACACGCGCTATTTTGACAAAAACTACAAACAAGTGTACATGGATAAAAAAAAACGAAATTTTTCAAATACAGAATGGTGTCAAAAGTTATGATGTATTAAGCTATTCTTCTCTGTGGCCGGTAAACACTAAAAATAACGAAATTCAAGAAAAGTTGGATGATTTTCAAGACGAAAAAACCGTGATAATCTTAGTTGAAAACTTAGAGAAAATGAAAGTATTTCTGTTGTTGATAAATGAGTCAATTTATAAATAGTTAGTTTTTAGTGGGTCAAGGACTTGAGTCAGTCTCTCAGCGCGTACAGCGTCGATCAGTTTGCCGCAAGGTAAACAACTCCATTTTACATTTTTTCACCACATGGTCAGAAAAGTTGTGTGCGTCATGTGTTAGTTAAATTAGCGACGATTATCAGCCTTTCCAACTTTAGATCTCGATGTCATCCCCAGTTTTGTTTCACGGTTTTCGTTTTCGCATGAATAAACGTTAATACAATTTGCGTAAACGGATTTCTTTGAGATCTGAGCTAGAATTTCATTTCATTTTTTATGTTCGAATACATGACACAAGAAACAAAATCTGAATTTGATTTGTCTTGTTTTGTCTTGATTTCAGTTTCAAATAAAACTGAAAGAACATGCACATGATAATGGGGCAAGTTTCTTAATATGTTTGTACTTTGTGTAAACATTTCGTCGTTTCTTTTCAGTAACTAGATTTTCCATTGTCTAAAATCATCAAAATTCATTTTAAGGCTGAAATTGAACCCTATCCTATAAAATATTTTTTATCGTTATGGTGCTACGACTTTTTAGATTATAACTCGTGTTCCATATTCTTCTGCTTCCATGATAGAATTTTTCGTGTTATTTTTGTCAAGCGGGAGTAGGCTGAGCGTGAGGCGAGCGGAGAAAGCGTGAATGGGAGATGCGTGCGCTAAGCGTGAGGCTCGGATCGAAAGGGAGGAACTTGTTACACCCGGTTGGCTCACGTCTCTCCCATTATGCGGAAAGGAAATGAAAAGGACTACCACAAAATTTTTATTTCAAATTAATATGATGCATGAAAAAAAATGACTCAGTTCTGATTGGTTAAGATAAATGCAGTTTTCAGGTGATTCAACGCAGAAGAGGGTTAATTCAGTGCAAAAATGTAACAAACCAGACCGAAAAATTCCTTGAACTGTTTAGCCGGACTCTGAACTCTTTTGCGCCTTAAAGATATAAAAATATCATTGTATATTATTGTTTTGATCGTACGCGGTTGTTTTGACCGAGTACATAATAGAATAACATAAAAAGAATTATTGCATTCGATGCGCGCGCTATACTTCTGCATAATTGTGATAAGCTATCTCGTATTTTTTCATGTATATTATTAATACGTAATCAAATGATTTTTCTCGTGTAATTTGGAATAAATAAGCACTTGTAAATTTTTTCAGTTTTTAATCGCGCTTATTTATTTCAAATTGCACTCGAAATCATGTGATTACCTATACTAAAAGAAGAGATCAGTCTTTAGACTGCCGTATTGCATTGATAGGAAAACCAAATAAGCTTTAGGATCGGAGCTCAGCATAAGAGAAGTGACAGAAAATTATCGCAAGGGCTCCATTATCAGTGCTGAAGAATGCACGTTTTTCCACCCACACGCGGGAAGATTTGAGACAACTCGTGGAGAGTTTGCCGGGGGTCTGGCATAAATCATTATCAGTACGTTGCTCATTGCCACGGGCGAAGAAACCGGTAACGGCGCTTTTAAATAAGGCCTACTCGCATGCTACGAAAATTGAAGCTACTGTGTATGCCGCTGTCCTTGACGATGATGCTGATGTTGTACCGTTTTGCTCGCGAGAGTTTATACCAGTGGCGGTCCATTAGACCGACTATTATTTAGGAGTGTTCACGAAGGTAAGCGCGCGCTCTCGCTCCAGGCGTTTAGTCAGTAAATGCGGTGCGTACAAACCAGTTACAATGGCTCATAACACGCGCCTAGTAGAAATAAATAATTCTCTTTGTCAAGAATGGTTACAATAGGCTCTTTATTGTTGCATAAGATTTACAGGAAAACGTAATTAATAATAGCGATAGAGCCTATAGACTGATTATCTAAAATTCATTCGTAAAGGTCTCACGCGGTACATTGTCGACTAGCAGAGGCAATGAAATATTATAAAAAAGAACAAAATCGCCTATTAAACAGACAAAGAAAGGCAAATAACACACTCATAGGCCCTGCTTACACCAGACGAAAGAGAACCAGGAATAAGCATTTTCACTTGTAAATCACTACAAACGTATTCTGTTCACTCGAAAATTGAAGCAAATCAAATGCATAGTGAGAACCCCAGAACCAATTAAACACAACAACAACAACAACAAACGTTTACGTCAGCTTTTATGAAAAGTACCGTTTCAATTTTTTTTTCATCCACACTAAAACAAAAAGCTAGTTTTGAAAAGCGTTTTCGAAAATGTTTTTCGATAAAAAAATTTCCCCGGTCGTTGTAATCGTTAAAAAATTTTTTGCTTTTTAATTCACTTAGCACGGAAAGGAAACCTCTACTAATTAATTTAAACCTTGAAGATACGAAATCATCAAAAGGTAGCAGTTTGCACCGTCGAGTAATTGTCCGAAAAGATAGCTGGCCGAAAATCTCAGCAGGCCTTAAGGACAAGCCATTATTGATCGCCCAAGGGGGGGCGGAGAGGATTTTGATTGTATTACGATAATTTTCCATAGTCCCTCCCTTGACAACCTCTCTCCCCTCCTTCCCCCCCCCCCCCCCTCAAAGGCTTACTTTCTAAAAAATTACTTTTGGCTCTCCCTCCCAAGTTTAGATCTGCAGAAAACCAAGAATCAAGTTTCAGCCTAATATAAGTCCAAGTTTTGCATTCTCTACTCAGATTGCAGACTCATGGATTAAAACCATGGATAAATCCCCCTCGGCATATACATCCCGTTTACCGTCGAATTCTCGCACAGCGCGTTGGATAATTTCCTTTTTCCGAACTCTCTCCCAGCCAGTTATATTGTCGCCTGTTGTAACCCTGCTAAAAAACGTTTCTGATATTTTTCCGCTCACAAATACAGCTACACTAGAGACTATCGTCGACGAATTATACTCAACTTTGAACAGAAAGATTGCTGCTAAGGCAATAGACAAAAATATGAGTATCGCAACCATTTTACACAACATGGCGCAAATTTCATTTGCGATCGAGTCACTGCAGACGCACCAAAATAATTTTGTCGGTATGGTGTTTTCTCTTCTGGGCTTTTTCTGCTCTTTCCATTCTTCCCAAATCATAATTTTGACTTCCTTGTACGTATTTTGTAAATTGTTGAAACAAAGGTATACGTTTCTCCCGACCACGAAGGCGAATGTTACGTAGGGAACAACCGATTCGGCGTTCAAGGTAATCCCCATGACAACGAAGCCAAACGTTCGAACAATAAACTGACAAGAGAAGATAGAAATGACTGAAATGCTGACGAAAAACGGAAATGTAATAATAAGGAATAGAAAATTGGACAGCCACTCGCCAATTTTACCGCGTTTATAAATGAATTTCATTTGTGACGTCATTGTTTTCGTCACGTAAATTAATCCGGCTGCGAGAGGAGAATAAACAATAGTTGTCACAAGCAACACAACTAAGCCAACTAAAACTGAGATTGTTACGGCAATTGGACCGTAAATAACCATGAATGCAACTGTGTATATTATACAAATTGCGTGCCCGCATAGTGACTGCTGAAAATCGTTGCATTCAGAGCAGGGCGGGAACTTTGAGCCGAACTGTCGAAGGAAGACTTTTTTCAAAACAGTTTTCATTACTTTGATTACACTATTTGGCATAATTTTTACATGCTCTACTATATGCTTTTTAAGACTGAACTGGTCCCGCCCGCAAATGCAGCAGTTACCTAACTGCAAAACCTCGCCTTCTTCACGTCTCCAAAAGGAAATTACCAGAGTGGGTATCAAAAATAACGGCACAATAAACAGAACATAAACAGCAGGTTTATCCATGCTAAAGATGTAAAGATAAACATCAGCCACTTGAAACAGAAGCCTCTTGGAAGCCCCGTCGAATTTATCCTTGATAATAAAATATAACAAAAGCTTAATATAGAAAAATGTTGGAATTATACAATACCAAAAGAGAATCAATTTTACACTGAATCCATGGTTTACAGATGGAAAATTTTTCAGGCCTCTTCGCACAATCTCTGTGCAGGTTATTGGACTTGAATCATCTACTGGAATTTCATCTGATGTTCCCAAAAACGCCTCCTCTTCTTTTCCATTTTCTAGTCCGTCCGAGAAGAAATCTGGAACCACACAGAAGAGATAAGGCCAGAAGAAGAACACAATTGTCACAACTAAATTCAAGACAGCGTTAAAAACCGACATCCATATGCTCTCATTTACGTCAAAACCACAGTAAACTTGGTGTCTTTGATCTTCTTCAACCTTCTTGCAGCATTTGTATTTAAATCCGTATGCAAAGCCGAAAGAGAATTCCTTCAAGACTCGGAAACAAACCACACCAGGGTTTAGCTCATTCGTTAGTTTTGTATCAGTCGAATTTTTTGTCGCTGATAAGCCTGTCAGCGCTTCTGCAATGGCAATGGCCTGACATGAAGAATTCAAATCTTGAAGACATCCATCTTGTGTCTCGTCTAAAGACAACATCATTGTCCTTGCTTGATTTTTCAACAGACCCAGAGACAAAACGTCATAGTCGTAGGCGACACCTAACATCGATTCGTTTTCGCTTCGGGCCCAAACCCATCTGTACGGCAAAATTCTGTTATTCGTCGCGAGTGGCTTGTAACTTTCATTGAAGATCCTGAATTTTAAATACACTAGTTTCACACCTTCTTTCGGAGCTTTCAATCTGAACTCAGGAGACAAATCTCTCTTAAGTGAAATTTTACACTTCGATTTGCCACAAGAATACTTTGCGAAACTGCGACATATCAAACAATAAACTATCAGAACAGGAAGAAGAAAACTTATTTGTGCCATGTTGTCTGTTTGCTTCGCGTGAGAAACCGCACGAACTCTGAGCAATGGACCATTTTGAATTCGTCATGGTTTCTAATTTTTCCCTTTAAAACAACAGACACGATTAAGCCTAAACGCTCAATGAACCATATCGAATTTAGTAATATAAGTTAAGTTCCTAGAGTGAGTTCGAGGTTATCCCTTTAAGTCTAAAAAACTTGCAAGGGTAATATCCTGTTCCCTTATTTTTAATCATGAAAAGTTCTCATGTTCCCAGGAATTTTAACCAAATGTTCCTGATTCATACGATTAGTTCCTCCTAAAATAGAGACTTGCTTCAGGATCAAGCAGAAAATAGACTAATGAACGAATTGAAGGAATTTCTGAACAAATGCCATATAAATATATGAATATATAAATGAAAGAGTAACAAGGGAACGAAGGAATGCTTGGGAGGAAAGTTTGGGCTGATTCGTTGCTATTGTTTAACTGGGAAAAGTGGAAATCGTGATGAAGTTGAAGAGTCCATTATGGTGAGACGTCAAGTTCCTACTTTTATGATATTACAATTAAATTTACAATTCGAGCGGAAGCTTATGCGTAAAATTCATCAATTATATTAAAAGAGAATTGTGCGAATCGATGTTAGGTCTCTCCTACGACTATAACGTTTTGTTTCTGGGTCTGTTAAAAAATCAAGCGCAAGGACAATGGTGTTGTCTTTAAAAGAAACACAAAATAGATGTCTTCCAGATTTGAATTCCTCATGTCAGGCCATTGCCATCGCAGAAGTGCTGAAAAATTTAATATCAACAACAAATTCAACTGGTAAAAAACCGACGAATGAGCTAACCCAAGTGTAGTTCGTTACCGTGTCCGAAAGGGATTCTCTTTCGGCTCTGGAAGCGGATTTAAATATCATTGCTATAGGGGAGGGGGGGGGGAGGGCTAAAGAAGATGAAAGGCACCCAGTTTACTGTGGCTTTGACGTAAAAGAGAGCATATGGATGTCGGTTTTCAACACAGTACTGAACGTAGTTGTATCAATTGTGTTCCTCTACCGGCCTTATCTCTTCTGTGTGGTTCCAGATTTCTTCACGGACGAACATCGCCAAGAACGCAAAAGAAAACTTTTTTCAAAACAAGAAAATAATGATTATGGAAAAGAAGGAACAAATTCAGACGAAATTCCACTAGATGATGTTAGCCCTATAACCTATGCGGAGATGGTATGGAAGTGCGTAAAAAAATTGCCTTCTTTTTAATCACGGATTGAACGTAAAATTGATCATCTTTTGGTATGGTATAATTCCAGTATTTTTTTTTTTTTGCATTAAGCTCTTGTTATATTTCATAATCAAGGATAATTTCGACGAAGCTTCAAGGAAACTTCTATTTCAAGTTGCTTATTTTTATCTCCACATCATTTGCATGGAAAAATTAAACCTTCTGTTTATGTTCTGGTTATGGGTCGTTATTTGTTATACCCACTGTGATAATTTCCCTATGGAGACCTGAAAAAAGCCAGGTTTTGCCTTTAAGTATCTGCTGCATTTGCGGGCGGGACTAGCCTAGTCTTAGAATAACCATATAGTAAAGCATATAAATAATATGCCAAATGGTGTAATCAAAGGAATGAAATAATGCCACGCTTCGTCCCTTCGTCCCTTCGTCCCTTCGTCCCTTCGTCCCTTCGTCCCTTCGTCCCTTCGTCCCTTCGTCCCTTCGTCCCTTCGTTCACTCGTTCCTTCCTTTTAACCTTTTTTCTTTGTTAAGTCTTTCACTAATGAAATAGTTTTTAGGTTATATGAGCAGAAATGAGCGATGCGAAGAATGCAACGTGTTGTGTAGCAGGAGTACTGGGTTTGACTGTCACGTGATAAGGGTGTTAAAAATTGTCGTTTTCCGCCATGTTGACACCGTCGGCGGTAATCTGAAATCCGCGCTCTGAACGGGTTGGACCTCTCCTCTGTGAAAGTGAACAAGCTTTCTCCACACCAAAGGATTTTCACTCGGTTTCTGTAATCAAAAGGTGAGCTTTGACTTCTAAAGAGCCATTCTTTGGGGAAATGAAATGACAGAGTTATCTTATCAATATTATCTCATCTTTTACTGCATGCAACAATACTCACGTAAGGGAGAGAATTACGAACGTGGATCCCGTAGGCCTGGTTTGTATATTGTTTGTCTGTTCTCTAATCCATGGAAAACACAAATGTAAATAATCTACGGTCGCTTGGGTAGATTTTTATCTGGTAGATTGTTTGTGTTTCGAACGTGTGTGCCAACTGGACGGGAATCAACTATCGTGAGTTAGTATACCGTCAGTGGCATTGATATTCAATTCCCTGCACTAAACATTCCCTTGCGTTCGTAAAGACGCGATTTTTCTTACGCCGCTGATTCTGTGTAAGGTCTAACAATCGAAATAGGCATTTTGGAGGAGGAATTGTATTTCTCTGTCAGAAATCATAGAAATATATCTACTAAATATGGACTACACCAAACTGAAATTTTCCGGTCGATTGTTGTGAAATTCGCAGCACAATTCAGATGTCTTGGTTAAATATTTACTTCTTTTTAGACCACCTTGTTCTTAAAAACCAATCAATGCAAGCTTTTGTCTTCTAAGTAGACTTTCTCTTGCAAAATACATTAGTTAGGATAAGAATCATCAATTGCGCAAGGATATTATGAAAGTAAGAGTATTTTTTCCTTGCGGAATCTCTGTATTTCTAATTAGGGAGAAATCTCAGTCAAATGTGAGCTAGCAGTAGCAGCAACAATTAACGTTGTTTCACTTTCGTATGGTAGACTAATACAGCAGATGACTTCACGCAAATTAAAGAAGAAAAAAGCACCGGTAAAGTACGACTGTATCTAAAAGTGGAATGAGCAATCGGTTCGATATTCAGTCAGTACAAGGTTCAGATGTTTAAGTTATCACATTGCTTGGGTTTAAATTTTCTATACTTGATTTAAACTCTCTTTAGATCTTTCTCGTCCTGCTGATTTGTAGTGAAACAACTCCAATTTTCAATTTCCCTTGAGGGAAAAAATTGTACTTCAGCAGTTTTAATAGTTTTCTCCATAGTACATTTACATATGATAAATGATCAGAGCTTCTTCATCGTTCCTTCAAGTGCAATCTTGAGAGTTACTTTAGTGACAATGAGTAACTGTATCTGTTGTAGTTCAAAGTTTTTCTTGTACTGGGTTAAAGTTCTCTAATCAATGTGATATTAATTTTTCTTTATCTCAAATTCATGGTTGTCTCGGAAAAAGAGGTAAATAAAAATGAGTCTGGTGTGAATAAATTGTTAACCAAGATGAAAATGGAACCACATTACAGATTTAAGCTCAGTGATGTTTGCCAGCAGAGTTGAAGTTTGTTGTAATTGTAAAGAAATGAGAAATGCCCAAAGATTTGCTGATTGATCATTTGGTTAAAATAAAAAAATAGAGATTATGTTTGCAGGCATAAATATATTTTCGACCTGATTCAGTGTCATTAAAGGGTCTAGAGTGAAAATGACTCAGATAAGGGCCTGAGACATAAACTGTATTACTATGACTATCACTTTGAAGGGCATTGAGGAGAAAAAAAAAACTGAAAAAATTAAAACAAAACAGTCTAAACACTCATGCCATCGTTTACAAGTTAAATGGCTTCTATTTTCCTTAAATTAAAATACCCCAGTGAGCAAAGCTGGCTGGAAAGTATAAAATCTTGTGGTAGAAATAAGAGGGAAGTCAGAGTGATTTGAAAATAATTTGTTTCTTGGCTGCTTACATTGCATAAATGTTTGATTTTCACTCCTTACTGATTTAATTTCATCGCTCTGAAAAAAAATTAAACATGCCAAATTCTCCATTCAAGCTCGTGAACCCCTTAGAGTGACTGGCGTCAAATTTCTCACTATTTCACCCCGGAATCAAACAGTAAGGTCAGGAGAGTACAGGAACTGCACACCAACTATAGAAGTTCTTGATTGTTTGGTAAATTCTCCTTGTCAGCACCTTGGGAAATGTTTCAAGGACAGTATGGAGAATATGCATACTGATGTTAGGGTGTAAAGTGTTAATTGCCACACAATGCCTGACAAAGTGATATTATTCATGAATTGTCTCTTATTGCAGATGTCATACACCAATGCCATTGCTCTCTACGACTACAAAGCCACGCAGAATGAAGAACTCTCCATTAAGAAGGATGAGAAACTGGTCATTCTTGATGACAGCAAATCTTGGTGGCATGTGGAAAATTCAAAGCATGAAACAGGATATGTCCCCTCCAACTATGTGAAAAAGAGCAAACCTAATGCCAAAAACTGGTTAAAAAGTTTAGGACCTGGAAAATCGTCAAAGGAAAATGGAGCTATGAATTCACCTGGTGAATACTTTGTTCCACAGGATGTTTTAAATGCATTAGAAACTGTAATTGCTAAATTCAGTTTCCAGCCACAACATGATGATGAACTTGTATTGAAGAAAGGTGACAGAATAACTGTTCTTGAGAAGAAGGAAGATGGCTGGTGGAAGGGAAAAATCGGAAAAGATTCAGGCTGGTTTCCATCCAATTATGTACTTGCAGAAGAGAACTCAAAAGTTGCTAAATCTATCCCTGATAAACCAGTACTTCACAAAGTGAGGACACTGTATAACTTTGATCCGAAAAATCCTGAAGAGCTTAGTTTTAAAAAGGATGAGATTCTGGATATAATTGAGAAACCTGATGATGACCCTGAGTGGTGGGTCGCAAAAAAGTCAGATGGTTCTTCAGGACTGGTCCCTAGTAATTATATCGTAAAAGTAGACAATGAAGGCAAAATGCCAATGCTGAATGCTGAGCCAGTGGCTGAAAGTAAAGAACCACGAAAAGCGATTTTGCCTCAGCATAAGAAACTTCCATTTGTTGATGAGGCATGGTTTTGGGGGAAAATCACCAGGGTTCAGGCTGAAAAGATGTTGAATAGAAATGCAGCGGATGGAGATTTTCTAGTAAGAGTCAGTGAAACTCAGGTAAGAAGTTACACCTTCAACCTTTAAGTGTTACTAGCATGATATTTCTCTGAACAATGTTGCTGCTGAATGGAACTGTTTAATTCAGATGAACAAAGAAAAGTAGTGTTAGAATCTTTTGATTGTTAAACAAATTTTCCTGATCAGTGCTGTAGGAAATTTCTGGAGAACACTATAGAAAATATGCATGCTTATATTAGATTAACAGGGAGGGACTTGTGGGGCAACTTTTGATTCTGGGACAACCAGGACTCAAAAAATCAATCAGAGGGTTCTGTAGGATTGTATAATTTCCTGTAAAAGTTCTCTGTTGGGCTCTCAGCTGAAGCTTGATTTTGCTGAACCTTCTTCCAGATAACAAAAGTTCATAACCCTCTGACCCCAAGAGTGACTAACATCAAATTTCTCTTGACAGTATTACCCCTAAATCACACATTGAGGCTGTGAGAATGAAAGAAATGATATCCAACTGATAGAGCTCTTGATTGTTAAACAAATTCTCCTTGTCAGCACCTTAGGAAATGTATGAAGAACAGTCACTGTCACTGAGTCTGCCATGGCTACACATAAGTTGCCTTTTAGAAACAGATCCATAATTAGAGAGATGTGGGCAAATGGAAATATACACAAGAACAGGACAGAGATGGAAGCAGAGTTTTTTCTCTGTTCATGTTCCTTAGCAGTTTCATTTCAGGGTCTGCTGTTGAAGCTTTTCTTTGGTTTTTCTCTCAAAGATGCTTAATTGCTGAAAAAATATTGTATTAGGTCCCAGAGATGAACACAACATGGTTGATTGTTTTTCAAAACTAAAGCACAATTATCCTATTTTTTTCTTTTGTCTTGCTAGGAGGGAGGATATTCAGTGTCCATGAAAGCTCCAGACAAAATCAAGCATTTTAGGGTAAATTTTACAGATGGAAAATATAAAATTGGTCCACGAAGCTTTGACAGAGTGGAAGACTTAATAGAACATTACAAAAGGAATCCCATCTTTACAGATGAAGCTGGTAACAAGATGTTTTTGGTTAAACCCTTTGAGGAAGGGTCTTAGTAATGAAGATTTCCTTAAACATTTCACAAAATTTTGAACAGAGCAAGAAGCATGATTTCATTTGTCTGTTGAATAATTGATGTCTTTGAGACTTAACAGAGAAAACTTATCAATGTCTACTGTGAAATGTCCATTACAAAGCAGAAATTTTCTGTATTGAAGTGAGCATTCACTTTACAAAAAATGTACAAATTAGTCTGCAAACTTTGAGAAAGGGTATATTGTATACCCTATCAATTCTATGGCAAGGAATCCACAAAAAGTCTACCAAGTTGAAATGAGCTTGGAGAGTTCATACACAATGGTACAATTTGTAGACAAAGTTCAGTGACTTCTACAGGGGCTGCTAAACATCTACTGACAGGCCAAATCATACTTGTGAGACAACTTTGTAACTACTTAATGGCCATCTGAGTTGGGACTATTAGATTGCAGATGCAGCAAGAACTCTAAATATTTAATATTTACTTACAGTGACTCTGGATTCTGACATGCTTGAGTTTTGTGAATGAGCAAGTTTACTTTCAATAATGTACATGAGAAAATTACTTGCTTCTGATTGGCTTAAAATGAGTACATTCTCATGTAATACAAATGCAAAGTTGTATCATAAGTGCAAATTACAAATAGCACATACTTGCTTTCAAAATTTCATCTGTCTTGCCTTTCTGTGATGTCTTTCCATGCAAATTTTTAACAAGTAATACCATGATTTCTCTTGCAATTTGGTGTGATGAGCACTTGTAAATTTTTCAAAGACTACAAATTGCACATGCCCTACAGGCCTGTGCAATTTTGTTGTCTTCAAAAAATTTACTCATTCTTGGATAGTAGTATGTCCACAGGTACAGCATGTAGAGAGAGCTGAGTATGGTAATAATGTCACAGTATGCTAAAAAATTAGCATGACAAAAAACTAGTGAAAGTGAATTTAAGTTTGTTCTAAGTTCTAAGTGGAATTTAGTTTTGACCTTAACTGGTCTTAAATCAAGATGTGATTAAGTAAAATTAAGATTTATGGGAGGTCATTGCCTTGTATAAGTTGTACATATATTTGAAGCTCATCGGTATGTTAACACAGCAAGGCTCAAATGCAGAACTGATTTTTACTGCATTTTAACAAGGTCCCAGTTTGTTGAAAGGAAACTCTGGGATTGGAAGGAAAGTTAGCAATTCGATAAAGGTTAGTCAATGGTCACATGAGCTACCAATGTCGATATGAAGTGAAAAGATCAGGCCCCGATTGTTGAAAGGTTGGATAACGCTATCCACAGGATAAAACTCTATCAGGTGGATAAAGCTAAATTGATCCATTGGGTAGCGTTATCCGCGTTTTAAATAACTGGGCCTAGGACATTAACTAGCTTGTGTCCTTTTCAGCAATTACTGTACATTTTAGTGAAGAGTGTGTTCAAAATTCAAAAGATGAGGGGACTTAAGGTTTATAAACAATCTTTTTTGTACTCAGACAACATAGATTAGGAATACTATTAGACAATTGTATACTCTTTTGTAGTAAAAAAGATAATTTTGGTCTGGCAATGGGATAGTGATCCACACTCTTTTTACAATGAGGGTTACTTAGCACTTAACTGGAACATCCCTTACTGAGGTGAATATAATATAGACTTAAGAATTACTCTCCAAAATGGTTACTACATACTTTCTGGTTGTTTTAACCCTTATCTCCAAGCAGTGATTAAAGTATAACTTCTCCCTATAATATCCCATACATTATTCAGTAGACAGGTAAGGAGAACAGTCAAACTTATCAAGTAGAAGTTGCTATATAACACTAAATTCTCGTAACTAGTTGTCAAGTAATTGTGTAGCAGCCAGAAGGGAGAGTTAACAATCGCATCTTGGGAGTTACAGGGTAAAACAGGTGAATGACACAAGTAGAGTGTTGTTGTCATAGTTATTGGTAATCAAATGATTTTGTGGGCAATAGTCCATTTTACAGTTGTATGCTTGGTTGCCAAGCCTTTGAACAGGAGTGAGGCTAAGGGTGACCTTGTTATGATACAAACCTTGCTGCTTTTGAAATGCAAATTAATTTGTTATCATGCTAACTAGATTCTGGTCTCTAACACAACAAGGTCACCTTCAGCCTCACTCCAAATCAAAGGCTTGGCAACTAAGTACACAACTGTAAAATGGCCTATTTCACATTTCTATGGACTAGCATTCCATCCCAGACAGAAAAGGGCAATCACACATTCATATGCATTCGAAATTGCTTTCACAATCATTTGATTACTTGATAAAAAACACATTCAATTACAATTTCCCACACTACATTTCAATCGTTAGGGAATACTTGACTTCGATGCATACTATTACACAATTATTTATGTAATTAACTATACCAAAACAATTCTTGGTTTCCTCAAGCTCTGTGAATTCTGTTGCACTATCTTGTGCAACTTTTTCTGTGGATACTCGAGTGTCATTTACTTCTCATTACTTTCTTGTAAGGATTTGAGCTCACTTATCTTGTAAACTTTCCTAAACCTTTATATTGTGTACAGTGGGTGGTCTATTTGAAGGACTGCAAGTTTAATTATGTAGGTTTAATAAGCCGAATGCTGTGTACAATGTACAGTACCAAGGAATATACGAGAGTGAGCAAAAATTTTTTCAATCTTCAAAATTTGCATTAATTTATGCATGTACTCTGTATTTATTCAAAAGCTTAGGTTGAAAAAATTAGTTCTCCTTGACCATGCAGTATTGTTTTAATCAGTTTTATAAATGGAGAGTTTTAGAAATGTAGCAGTTATTTCATGCATTAGTACTGAGCAGATAGCTTATGCACTAGGAATGATTAGACTTAAAATGCCAGCTAAATGACTCGTTTTTTAAGTAACATAATGGAAACTTTAGGAGATAAAAGTAGTGTGAATTAAAGTTCCTTTGATTTGAATCTTTGTTTAAATGTGGTAGTTTCTTTTTTTCAGTAAAATCAATTGGTTTCTCTACTGTACAGATTCCATGCTATTCCAGATTTTTTTGGTGAGATCCTCTGGGATCATTTTCCATCTCTGAATCATGTGTAGAGCTGATGAGTACTCTTGATGGGTTAGTCTGATTATGCACGTGAGAGTAGTCTTGAGAAGCACTATGGTTGGTAGCTGTGACTGATATCTTGAAAACATAATGACGTAACTACCAACAACAGCCTTTTCAGAACTACACTCAGCTGATGGTTGGAGCTCACAAATTATTTTCCTCAAGCTTTCGGAAAACTGTTTGCCTTTTTGGAACAAATAATTTCTAATAATTTCGTTAAACAAATTTTTTGCACTAAATGGAGGCAATTCTTCATATCTCAGACATCAGTTTGCAGAATTTATCTAAATGCATAACCCTAGATTGAACATGTAGGCAGGACCTTTGGATCAAAAAGGACACAAGTTGACTTCCATTGGTTTTGAGCTTAACACTGTAAAACGCATTCATCACTATTTAGAGTAATTTTATTTTATTCATTTTTTTCTGGCCTTTTTACTGTACATGTAGTTCCAGAGTACCACAGTTACATAATAAAGCTTCCAATTGCCTCCTCTGTTAAAATGATTCTACATTAAAAATTAACATGCACGTAACATAATAGTAATGTTACACCGACTTATGTTGAGTCTTTTAAAAATCAGATTTTTACATCTGTAATATTTTGATCTTGGATTTACACTGTATTTACAGAAATCCTCTGACAGACAGTCGCCATATAGAACTAGATGCTGTAGTGAACCACTACTAACAACACTTGATCAAGGCTAAGACTGTGACAATAAAATATTTGTGGCCACATTGACATCATTGTTACTTGCCGTCAGGGCATGGAGGACAGCCAGCCTAGAGAATCCCATCTCCACCAAAGTCTGAACCTTTCACAAACAATGAAAAATTGATTGAGCTCAAAACAGTCATTCAATGATTGAAGTGTGTAAACATTTCAATTTCAAATAAGTATTACTACTCTAGCCTGTCCAAAACCACTTCTTTTTGTTTTTTCTTTGAGGGAAAAGAGCAGCATATAGCCACCCTCCAGCATCATTTTCATCATTAGCTGTGATTTACCTTCCCGTGCATCTGTGTTCTTTAGTTCATCCCCACTTAGATAATGATGTAAGAGAAAAAAGGTGGTCTGTGAACAGGCTGGTGATGATCAGACCCATTAGAGCACATTCAGGGGTTTGAAAATGTTTCGAAGCAGGAGTCAGACTTTGCAAAAATGATTGTGAAAAGTTCAATAAGGGCCAAAAGGTAATAATTTCCACCAGAGCAACTAGCAACATGTTATCAAGTAACCAGTGGAATTTGCTTGTTTTGAAACCCCTGCATATTAAATACTTGTGTTGTAAACTTCCAACTATCCTCTGTAACTCTCACCATGGGTTCTGATGCATGTTTCAAAACTTATCAACACCTTTTAATCCTAAAATTTCGCCCAAAAACGATTACCTGATTCCACTGTTCACTTCTGCCTCACCTTCCAAACCAAGCTTGAAAAGAGGAACTTTACATTGTCTTATCTTTGCAAACAGTTACGGCAAAATATGCTACATTTGCCACAATCTGACTCTTGAGTGGTTCAAAGATTGAAAGCAACAATTTCTACCAACCTGTTCTTCTGACACTTCCACGGTTGGTTGCTGAGGTATGTTAGCATTGTCTACATCAGCACCTCTGTCATGCCAGTTATTCAGTGGAGGCGGGGGTGGCGGCTGCTGGCCACCTGCCCCTCCCCAAAGCCAGCCTCCTCCCCCAGGGGGGAGGAGGACATCAGCATATCCTTGGCCTACTCTTGGAGGACCCTAGATGACATCAAATATTTAAATATAGATGTTACTAAAAAATTACTTTTTGAACTTAATCCTTTGCCTGCTTAGAGTGGCTAGCATCTAATTTCTCCTCACAATATTTATACCCCTGAATCACAAATTTAGGTTACAAGAATAAAGAAAATGATCACCATCTAAAGAAACCCTTGATTGTTAAACAAATTCTACTTGTTTGCACCATAGGAAATATATAGGGAACAGTATGGAGAATATACAAACTGATGTTACGTTGTCCATTTACAGAGGAAACTTGTGAGGGGAGTTGGGGCTGGATGCTCAATAAATAAGAACATGGATTTCTACACAGGAAGGTTTATCATTGCTGACCAACACTATACTGTAGCATTGGCTTTACAAGGTGCTTTACACTACATCATTAACCCTACCTTGGTATCAGTTGACTGTTTTTGGGTAAGCAGAGGGAAAGGTGCACAACTGCACAGATACTGACATTGATCCATCAGATGATCACAGTGACTACATTTGTGGAAAAATAGGGTTGGAACAATTAAATATACACACCCTGTTTCTAAGATGTCCCATTCTTGCCCTCATTGCTTGCTGCTCATAATGTTCCACTTGCTGTGCTCTCTGTATTTCCAGCGTTGCACCCATCGCATAGGGCTGAGTAGGGGGAGTCTCTGTTGAAAACAATCCACCAAATGCTCTGGACACAGCTGACATCAGGGATTCTGGCAACTTCAACCACTGTTGAACTTGAAATAAGTTGAACCTATAAATAAATCCTGCTACCTGTAAAATAGGGGGAGAACAAATAATTTTAATATTTCTTGGATGCGCAAGTAAGTGGTAAATGTTATTACTGTATTTTTTCAAGACTTGTATCATGAAATCAGTGGTTACAACTATAAAAACTAATAATCCTCTAAAGTGATATTTTTCTTTATTCTCATCACTTGTCTGCTTGATATTGTAGGGAGAGATTCTGTTTTGGCCACTCATAGGAGCTATAAAGATTATTCCATGGAAAGTGTGCGCAGACAAATTTTTAATCACAAGTTGTGATGCATAAAAAAACAAATGAGTGAGCAAAGTGAACAAGTGACTTTTCAGATGCATTCCACCAGGTGAATAAAAATCATTCAAGCACTTTCCATGGTATACTATTTTTATTTCATATATACTCAGGTTTCCTTACTGACAAACACATTTTAAAGATTGGAGGCAAATGACTGTGAAAACACATTGTCCGTCCAGTCAGAGACATAAACAATAGTACTCCTTAGCATTAACCTCAGTATATGCCAAATAAAAAGGGTTAACAACTTGTAGAATTTTCTGCACTTACCACCCCACAAATACCAGCCAAGAGTGATTCCTTATTAGCTAACAGCATCTGTATGGAAACATATGAATGACTTTTAATATAATTATTTTAAAGATCATGCTTTAAAACCATGATGAATAAATTTAGCAACAAATAAATTAACTTTACATCTTTCCCCAAGAATAAAATCTTGGATATTCAGGATCATCTGGAAAGATCAGGAAGAAATTGGGAATTCTTCTGTTTTCCTAATGCAACCCAAAACCACTACATAGCAAACAATTACACCTGGTGCAGGGACCAAAAGGAAAACTACTTACCTGAAGTGCCATGGAGTAAATAAATATTTTTCCCGAGATTGGGAATCCAATGAAGGTGATAGCATCTGATGCTGGGACATCATAGAAATACTTGACAAGAGTTGCAAACAGCACTCCAAAACTGTCAGTGTTGAAGGACATGTAAGGAAAATACTATAATCTTAACCCTTTACACCCTAAAATCAATATGCATATTTTCCATACTGTTCTCTGTGCATTTCCTAAGGCGCTGATAAGGAGAATTTGTTTTAACAGTCAAGAGCTTCTTTAGCTTGTGATCATTTCCTCTCTTCTTGTAAGCGTAAGGTGTGATTCAGGTGTGATATTGTGAGGAGATATTAGATGCTATCCTGGTAACCCTTAAGTTATGGTAATGAGATTTATTCATGAGCCACAACAGACAGGCTGATTGGCTAGTTTGGAAGTGATTGGCAAGTATTATTCCCCTCTGAGCAACTGAAGGGAAAAATTACAGCTCACTAGTTTATTTTCTGACCATTTTTGGGTACACTGACAGAAATAAACTATTTTTTGGTTCTAATAATTGACATCACTTTTGGTGAAAGTAGTGGATATTTACCTCAATGCTTTGCAGCTTGGTACATATAAATATCCACCATTATTCACCTCCTTTACAGTGAATAACCCTTTATTAAAGTCATGTTAAAGAATTTGATGGAACATAATTTTTAGCATGACCACATGTTTTAAAAGACAAAAAGATACAGTCCTGCTGGAGGAAGTCCTACTTCATGTCCAAAATGTTTGAGAACAGCTATTGATGTAAGTTGAAGTCCAATTGCAATTACAGAGGTACAGAAAATATATGACTGTAAAGATAAAAAATAATAAGTAACTTGACTATACACAAGAAAAAAATTCTACAACCAATGATAAATTACCAGTTATCATTCAGTCTCATCAAAATCAATATATTAATTGAAACTTGAACAAAATTATTGAATGTGATTCATTATCAGTAGCCCGATTTGAGTACTGATAGGACTATGTACATGTCATGCTTGTAATTGGACAGTGTAAGAGGATAGTAAACGCATCATGCCAGTGTACTTGGACAGTACATGTCACATGCATGTGCTGTTCTCATGCATTTTACCAAGTTAACTGGTGTATTTATTGATTGATTAGTAACACTGGACACCTAATTGTCAACCAATTCTCTCTGTTATTATACTTGTGATTTTTTTTTGATCACTTACATTATTACAGACTGAATTGCACTCCACTCAGCCCTATAACCATTAATTATCACTTACTGCATATCTTTTAGATCCAAATCGTCTCTCAAAGATCCGGAAAGAATAAAGAAGAAATGAACCACAAATCAAATTTCTAGTACTTGAATAGTAAAAAGTTGAGGTCAGAACTCGCCATAACTGAAAAATGAGAAAAAATAAAGATTCATCATCATCATCATCATTTCATTTGCCTTTTACACACAAAAAAAAATTATTGAAAGCATTATAATCTATAGAAGGCAGGGAGACCCAGGAAGCCACCAGGCTTATGGGAGAGGCCACCTCACTTAAAAGTGCTGGGAAAGTACAACTTGGCCAATTCAGTGATTATTTAAGTAAAAACCCTTGCATTTTCATCTTAAAGCTAAAAAGATTTGACAAACAAGTGACTGAAACAAGAAGATGGTTCCCAATTTGAGGACCTCAGTAAAGAATTGAAAATTACTTGAGATTTGTATGAAACAATGCATTAAATAAGATTACTTATGTACGGATTCTGCCATTTATGGGAAGTATAGTTCTTATCAGATTTAGATTCTGTCAGGCCTATAACTCAGCTTCAAGCTTCCATTTTAGTACAGTCCCATACTTCATTATGCATACAGCTCTAGGATAAAGAAAACAATAGATTGCCTTTGGGACTTGGGCTTTATTTGAGAATAGTATTTAGTAGACTGAAATTTTTCGGTAAAATTTCCGCACAGCCCAATACTTCACTATGCATTCAGTTCTTGAATAGAGAAAACAAGGACTAAAACAATACATTGCCATTGGGAAAACAAATTTGTTTTACAGTAGTATGGGGCTGTGCGGAAATTTTACCAATTTTTCCCCTACAGTCGTTGATTTTCATCACGTCTCTGGCCATCTTACGTCTTTGATGCAATCAGTGTGTTGAAAACTAACCTCACAGAACTGATGACCGCAGTAAATAACTATCATCAATAGTAAGAATGAAATTCGAACTTCACCTTTGAGTTATGCACAATCTGGATCCATGGATTACTTGAGAACAAGTGTCTTGTGGAGGATACAAACAGGATGTTGAAGAACGAAGCTGTTCCGGTTAAGACCAAGAGGCCTTTACTAAACGGCGCATGGTCTAAGAGGAAAAACATATACATTCATTTATATAACATCAACACCTGCTGTACACCAAAATACAAAGTCAACGAACTCATCAACAAAAGGAAATTCAAGGTTGTTATTACGAGCAGTTGTCAGGATACTTACAGAAGCCCGTCGAAGAAGCACCAGGGAACATTTAATAGCGATTTTATGAATGCAATGATACCTTTCCGAATTTCTAATCCTCTTCTGAAAGCTAAAATAAGTTTTCCTGAGCAAACAATGCGAAAACCCGCCAATTTTGACCAAAACAAGACAAAAATATCTAATTTTGAGCAATGCCTTCCTTTTCAATACGCATGTTTTTGGATTTGTATCCTCTGGTCAAATCCTTGCCGGCTCGATATTAAACTTCAAACTTAATCACGCAAACGTCACTGTATGTCACGCAATAGGAATACTAGCTTTGCGCCTGGTTTACACGACAACAATTCGACGAGCCTCATGGCATAGGAAGGTTATGACGTTATTTTATAGAGTGAAAAGAGTCGTTACATACTGAAACCTGACGCTGAAAATCCCTGAGTTTATACAACTTCGTAAGGGGTTGTAAGAGAGCTTTCATATCCAAGGGGGCCTAGAACCGTAGTAGAAAAAATGCTTTCGAACGAGCTCTAGCAGTACTGATCGAATTACGTTTTGCATTTACCGATTATTAACTCAGCTTCAAAAATTCATATTAACTCTAACCGATTTCAATATATTCGGAACAGAAATTTCATCAAAAAACTAACACGAGCAAAACTGGAACATACCAAAATGGAAGTTTGGACTTCTCCTGAAGTCTGACTTTGCGATCCTCTTAATAAAATTTTTGTGTCGAATTCACAGGATAATTCTTGTCTCTCAAAACAAGGAAAGCTAAAGGGGGACTTCTATCCGAGGTGGCTCATAATCAATAACTAGCTCCGATTAAAAAAAATCGGTGAAAAAATTAAAAAATATTGATACTAGCGTGCTACGAGGAGTTATTTTGAGTGACGTCGATGCGCGACGGTAGCTCCACAAGTGAGGCGCCTTACTCATGGAGATCTTTTTTCCACCTTTTTCTCGATTCGCGCGACGGACTTCGCCGAAAAGGAGGGATTGCTGATCTTTTGTTTATGTCGTTATGTTTCCGACCTTGGGCCGTTATGCTATTACGTTGTAAGCTTCCTTCCTTGGAGGAAGTGGGGAATTACAAAAAAATTAAAGGACACACCGGGTTAAGCGGCCGGCTTTTTTTAATTATAAATATTATCAAAGCATTAAAAAACTATCTCTTCACGAGAAAAGATTGTTTAGTGGTTCCCAAAAAACAAAGAACCAATGTGAGCTTCCAGTATAAATAAGTAAATTGTCTGAAGCGCACGAAAACTTGGATGACTGACCACGTCGTGATTGGTTTGAGTATTGATTCTGATTGGTTAAGAAAGTGTCGCAAGGGTTGCACCAATCACAGAGCGAGGTAGAGTAAAACCAATGCAATATCCGATTAGGAAGCTCACTAGGTGAACTAACTACACTCATTTTAAAACTTTTTACAATTTTCAAATAGAAGCGCGTACGATATTCAGATCAGTGTTTTAGACTTTTCTTGCGTTTCTAAGATTCAAGAAGCGAGGACAGCAGCCTGTTCCACGTGATCACAGCTAATAATCGCGCGCTTCAACTCGTCGCTCCTTTTCTGATTGGCGGAAGCATCAGAGGCACATGACCACCACCGATTGCCGACAAGGCAGGCTGGGATCGACCCACTAGCTGCTGTGACGTGGAAAGTCTTGGTTGGTTCTTAACTTTCTTGGTTATAGCTCGAACCAGATCCCGCGCATGCTTGAGGCTGTAGGCTGAAGAGTAAGAAAGGATTCTCATGGGCCATCTTGACAGACATGCCAGGCAGATGAGCCAAATAGGGCCGAAAAAGCTGTACATGGCTACCAAAATAGCGGGTTACTTAAAACTTTTTCGGTAAGAAAGACCTATCACTATTTCATCATGACCTTGTTAAAGCGATCATGTTCCTCTATAATAATATTCGTAATTACATCTCAACGCCAGTGTAAGAGATAAAAACGAAAGAAGGAAAGAATCAATTACACAAAGAGGATAAAAACAAGCAAGGCTAGACAAGCGTTATATGATAAACGAACCAAAAAAAAAAGATGTCATTTACACAAGTGCAAATTGATTCACTTCGCGACGAAATGTCTAATTAATTTCACAGTTTTTCATCTAAGAAAATTATCATACGATTTACCCCCGGCCAGATATAGACTGAGAATAATAGGATTTTGACGTCTGAGGAGATACTAGTGTATTCTTGCTGACAAACCTTTTAATCTCGCCTTTATTTCCTCGCTGAAATAACCGCATTCAATCCACTCTTCGAAGTCAGAGATAAAATCAAAGGCAGACAGACCTGCAAGGAAACCGAAAATTTAAATGTTCAACACGGATAGATATTGAAGTTATTAAAATCGCAGTTAGCAACTCTGGAACAGCACCAGTGACGATCAAGGCAATGGTAACAGTAACGCTACTGAGGATAACGACAACGATATCCAGAACGACCGTCGAAATTATAATGGCAACGATAAGGAAGAATGTCCACAAATGTATACAATGAATCGTGTTTTGGCAGATATAGTAACAACAGTGATGGCAGATATAGTAACAAAAAAAAGATAAAATTAAAAAAAGGAAGGAAACGAAAAGAGTGCTCGTTAAAATCGCAGCCTATGCAGGTTGGTGTTATTACAGCTATGCCTTACCTTGCAAGTTTCTTGTCCTCACATTGGCTCCTGTGAAAAAATGACCAAAGCACAATCGATCTAGAGTACTAGAGCTAGAGTATTGAAGAGAAGGCTATTAACACGACTAAAATGCGTGACCTCATCAATCCGTTTGTTCTTACGTTCTTCCGTCCTTACATACGTCAGTCCATTCCTCCGTCAGTTTGTTCTTCTATTCGTTTTACCATTAGTTTCTTGTCTGTTCGCTCGTTCTTCTGTCAGTTTACTCGTTGTTTCATAGTTCTTTTTAGCTATCCTTCGGTCCTTCCTAACGCTCATCTATCAATTTTTCGTTCCTATGTGCGTCCGTCTGTCCGTCCGTTCGTTCGTTCGTCTATCCGCAAATCCATTCGTTCGTCTACGCGTTCGTTCTTACGTCCGTCCGTCCATCCGTTCGCTCGTGTTTTCGCTTATCCGTCCGTTAGTTCGTCGGTTCGTTGTTCGTTAGTTCGTTCGTCCATCCGCTCATTCATTCGTTCGTCGACTCGTTCGTTCGTTCGTCTATCCGCTCATCCATTCGTTCGTCTATCTGCTCATCCATTCGTTCGTCACTTCGTTCGTTCGTTCATTGAACCATCTATCTGTTCGTCTGTTCGTTACCAAAAGTTCTTACCTTGATTTAACAGAAGACTTGCCGCATACAGATTATTAGCCTGTGCGGCGTAAAACAGCGGACTACACAGGTCATCGTTCATGGCATCAACATCGGCATCAAATGACAATAACAACTCTAACAGATCTGATGCGTTCGACAAGCCTGCGGTCAGGTGAAGAGCTCTGTAAGACAATAATGCACATAATTCTAATCTAATCCATTTAATAGTAAGATTAACATAGACTATTCACAACAATCATATTATTAAAGCCTTACGTATTTCCTCCCGGGTACGTAGGATTGACGGAAGCACCATTTTCGAGGAGAAATTTGACGGTTGCCACACGATCACCACTTCATGAAATAAAATTTAAAAATGAGTAAAAATTAACGTAATCGACCCACACAGGCGCCATACAGCCATTAAAAATTTTTGCTAACTATTTTCAACCAATTTTCACGCAGTACTTAAACTTAGAAGGAGGAGATTTCAACCGCAGCCATCTCCGAGGTTTAAGTCAGACACTCCAACGATGGAAGAGAGGATTTTATGTGACAAGATCAGACAACAGTTGCGAAAGGATACAACTCCATCGACTGGTCTTGAAAAAACTCGTTTGTAGGCCAAGATTAAATATTTTACATTGGATGCTGTATCAATAAAGTCTTACCAAGGAACTTCTTCAAGCAGAATCTTATGCACAAGTAAATCTGTTTCTTTCTCCTTGAATTCAAACTTGTTTTCTGCTAACCTAAAATAAAGACACGAGAGTGTTCTATGAGCAATGCAGGACAAGATACCGAAACTTTCTTTTTTGGCCTGGCCTTAAAACACAGTAAAGTTCATACCATCGGTGAAAGCATTTGTAACGCAGGAAAACGTGAAACTGTCAGAAACGCGCGAAAGCGTGGAGCAAGTAAAAAGAGCGCGAAAGCGTGCACCTCGTGAAGAGCACGTGGAAGTGTGTAACAGGTAAAAGGAGACGAGCAAATCGTGACAAGCGCGGGAAAATTTGTAACAAGTGTAAAAGGCGGGAAACGTGTAAGCTCTCGCGTGCAAAATGTACTGCGCACTTTGTTATTTGGACGGTCAAGTTCCAGAACGAAAAACTAACATCAATAAAAGTGTCTTAGCTGAAAGAAATCATCTATGGCTGCTCACCATTTTGCACAATCTAGAAAGTCGTTAGCCACAGACAAATGAAGAAGACTGGGTGGGGTTTTCTAAAGTGACAAAGGAACAAGATTGTTTAGTATTTGAAGAAGTTAAAAAAATAAATTCGTATCGCAAAATTTCGGAGTCCGGTAACTCAGTTTATAAAAGCTGAATAAACTCAACGATTCGGCAAAGCTAAAAAACAGAATCTTTTCATTTACCCAAATTTACTCAGACGGCAACACAATGCACTCAGAAAAATAGCTTATGAAGTCGTAAGGTTTATCACTATCTGAAACGTGGAAGATGAACTCTTCGTGAAAACTGACCCGTTTGCAAACGGTCACGTCTTACCTGATCTATCTGTCACTGGGTGATGTAATATTTGTACAATTTAAAGCCTAAATACCTCGCCTTCCATCTCCAAGTTTTGCCTTATGATTCCTTCAGTGTCGAAGAAGAGCAAAGCCTGAATGGCGTCTATCCGACCTTGCATAGCGCAGCAGTGAATAGGCATCAAATCCTGATAAATTAAATAAAATGTCAACTGCTCTCCTCTGTGTATATATAGCTGTGCTCCCCCTACCCCAAACCCGTGCTGCGCAGGCTGGTAGATCTCACGAGAGTTTGCCTAGGAACATGACGTAATTAGGTCAAGTCACGATGATCTGTAAGCATTGCTATGTAATTCCTAAAAGCCTGACAAAAACATTGTCAAATTTAAGGGAACTCAAAAGAAAATTGCGATTTCTGTTCTACTCAGGATTGTTGCTTTTTAAAGGGAATGGGGGACGGGGACAAGAACAGGGGGGACGGGGACGGAGACGAGGACGCGGGAAACAGAAACGGTGGGACGGGGACGGGGGGGGGCAGGGACGAGGGGAGCAAAGACGAGGGGAAAGGGAGCGGCGAAGGAACGGGGACAGGGGGAACGAAGACGGAAAGAACGGGAACGAGAACGGCAACGGGAGAAACAGACGGGGGAACTGAAACGGGATCCAAGGTTCATCACGACAAAAAAGAAAATTAAAAAAACAACATAATAACAAGCAAAATCATTTTCGTACTCACTCGATTATTTCTGGTATTGAGAGGAGCTTCTTTCATCAGCTAAACAAAACAAATATTTAAAAAATTAATAAACATAATAACAAACTCTAAGCAAAACGTCGAGATGAAAACCATGCGCGTTATTGCTGAAAAACAAGCAGCAGCCACGTTTAACGTTTCTGAGATCAAACAAAGGGTCGCGGGCGTTTACTGGAACGCCTGTCGCTATCGGATTCAACCCTGCATCATTGTCGATTGAAAATCTCTCCCGCCCAGACTAATGTTTGAAGGATTCCTTACATGCACACTTTTCGTACCATTTTTTCAATGCATTCTAAGTCAGTGGGCTCTCCGCTTTCTCCGTAACATTTGACATGCAGTGGAGTGTTGCCATCATGATCTTCACAGTCAATGTTTGATCCTGCCTCGAGGAGAAGCTGCAAAATCAAGAAAGGATATAACCAATCAAACAAACAAACAAACAAATAAGCATGTGGCTACACCGACCTGTTTCTTAAATCAACATTTGCAGAAGGATTTAGAAAAGGATCATTAAAATTCAAATGCAGATCAAAGGCTGGTTTCAACAAGTGACAAAATCAGTTGGAATCCAATTAGGAGTCCAAGATGTATTCGGAGTTGTAGGGGCGCTAATGGCACAGTGAACATCGACAATCGTAGTCGTAAGAAGATTCCGATTCCGTTTATTATAAGTATGGGGCTACGCTACGCGCGCTGCGAACTCCGCTATAACTCAATCGTTTAGTATGTCGGAGTCACAAGCACAAGACAACTACCAATCACAACTCTCTTTTCCAGGCCATTCGATGGCCTACAACTCCTTCTCCTTCCGCTTTATTTTCACTGTACCATAACGTTCTACGCTTCAGATAAAGACACCGACTTTGACGTTAGTGAAGACCAGCTTGTGTTAATGGCACATACCTCCACGGTGGCCGCATCTTTGGCTCTGTGCAGGGGCGTAGCTCCTTTGTAGTCCAAAGTATTGACATCCACTCCTTCTGAGAGCAAGGTCTGAAAATGACAAACATGATAAAAATAATAATTAGAAATAGAATAAGAAGGATGTTAACTTTTTTGAGCTCGGTAAAGAAAAAAGATGTTTCTTCGTCTTGTCACGAGCATGGAACAAAGAAAACAAAAATTCTACCTTCCCATGAGGAACTGAACCTCAGATCTTCGGATTTCGCGCTCCGATGCTCTACCACTGTGCTAAAGAGACTCTACGGTGAGCAGGGCTCATTACGAAGTTCATACATGACACACGTCCTACATACTGCTAGGATTAGCAATGTCGATAGCGTCATGTTTGTAAAAAGAGTAAGGAAGATGGTCAATTTTTTTTAGCTCGGTAAAGAAATAGCGAAACATGTTTTTTTTTGTCGATAATGCCGATAAGCGTAATTGAGAAAGCATTTGAGTTGGCAACCATTCAGTCACAGAGAGTACCTTGATAACTGGGATTGCTCCAAAGAAGGACGCTGTGTGGAGTAAAGTGCTACCACTGACACACCTAGCGGGATTAACAAGAAAACATGATGAATAACAAAAGAATCGTGCATTCTTTCTCACTGAGTCTCATCTCTTGTTGGCAGCTTTTTCGTGCTTGTATTATATTTGCATGCTCTCATTGTTGCGCTTCTTACTGGGTAATCCCGTCCTCTAGGAGTCCCGGAGCTAAAACGCTTTGTTTTCCCCCTCATCTCAGTTAATGAGACTAAACGTTGCAAGAGAAAAGAAGGAAAAAGGGGGGAGGGGTGTCTTGCCTGTAACATGTTGGTACCGCCCCTCCCCCCCCATCCCCCCCATCCCACCATGAGGAAAATTGCCTATTACTGCTGATGTGTATATTCAAGTTCTAATCTGATTTTTTATTTTTTACGACCGAAGTCACTAGCTTTGCGTTAACGTGGCTGTTCTTTGATACAATCACTGGTGACTAGAGCAGCTCTAGATAAAACCAGAACAAAATACTACCAACAGGGTATCGAATCTCAGTATCACCTGCTTCTGAGACTGGCCATAGTTTTTTCTCTTCTGTGATGAGCGTCTATCACAGCAGTTAGTTTCTTGATGTCTCCTGATATCAACTTAGGGACAAGCTCTTGCCATTCTTTATACTTGGCTGGAAACAAAACATGACGAGCAGTATTAACCTCTTCGAGTAACTAGTATCTAATTTCTCCTTAAATATCTCCCTTAAATTTAAAAAAAAAATTGAGGTCACTAAAATAAAGGAAATGATCACCAAAAAAAACTCTTCGTTGTTTGAGAAATTCTCCTTGTCAACATCTTGGTAACTTGAATGTATAGAGAGTATGTAAACTTATGTAAGTATACTGATGTTAAGCTGTTCAGGTTTAACAGTAGTAACAGAATACAATTCATTCCATATATCGTGTTCTATGTATTTAATTAGGAGATGTTGCATTGCAGTGTCAAGTAACCTTCTGAACAACCGGAATAGACTACCTGGTAAGCTTGCATCGCGTTAAAAACGTTAGGAGCTGGTGTAAGATGTAATATTTTACCTTCCAAGAATTTCTTGAGTTCATAATGACGCATCAAGTCAAACGCCGTTTTGCTGCTTTTGTTTCGCTTCATCACGTCGGCACCCCATTCGATAAGAAGCTGTCCATCAAAAAATTTTTACAAAATTATCGCTTAGTCATACCATAAGGCAGTTAGTCAGTCAGTAAGTCCTTCAGCCGGTCAGTCGTTCAGCCAGTCAATCAGTCAGTCCATCCGTCAGTCATTCATTCACTCAGTCAGTCAGTTGATCAAATGATACGGATGCGAGACCAAAGCATCTCTCTCATGAAAGCAGCACAATCACCCGGCCAGAGCTCAACCCAGACCTCCCAATCCGGAGTCCAGTGCGACTCCCATAAGGCTTCGCGATCTCTCTCTTTGAAGCGGTCATAGGAGATGGACAACCAAGTGAAATCACTGTTCCTTACCTGGCATATCTCTTTCTGTAAGCTTTCCGTGGCGAGGAAAAAAGGCGTGTTGTGGTGATTGTTAAACATATCAATGTCAGCTCCGTTTTCCAACAAATATAACACAATGTCCTGCGAACCAATTATTTCAAAGAAAACAGAAAGGGCAAATAAACTTACAGCAACGTAACAGCTAAATATAAATCGGTCCTCTACCGCTGTATTGTTTGTTTCATTTTGTGATTTAAAGTACTTCTGGTCTAAATTCACTCATCGAACTTGGTTTGTGACTGTCACTGGCTCCGCAAAAGAATTTGAGAGTTCAAGAAATTTAGCGGCAGCCATACAAAGGAGAGTGAAAAAGTTTTGCAAAAGTAAACGTGATCGATACTTACAAAATGTCCGTGCCTGCAGGCCATGTGCAGAGCTGTATTGCCAGACCCATGCTCTTTGGACTTGATGAAGTCCTTGTCTGCATTAAAGAAGGCCACCTGTCAAAGCAAATCGATCTAGCAAATCAATTGTGATTCAGCAAGCCTTTGAGTAAATAAAACGATAATTCCGTAAGTTAGTCAAGTAATGAGTTAGTCAGTTACTAATCAGTTGGCTCGCCAGCTAGTGTGTCAATGAAAGAGGTCGTTTGCCAGTCAGTCAATCACTCTGTCAATTACGCAGGTAATCAGGCCATCGATCAGTCGTGCGGCCAGTCATTCAGTCAGTCCAGTAAACAGTCGATTAGACAGCCACTAAAAAAAGAAGCCTGCGGTTTAAGTTCGAAAGTTCGATCGGTTGGTTGGTTGGTGGGTTACCCTTTTCAACTCGAAAAATGGTTGAAAGCCTTTTTTACGAGTCCGCTGTCTAACAAAACGCGTTGTTTTTCAGCGGACTGCTAAAAATTTGGACCAATTGCCATTCTCAGCCATCAGTTGAGCGTCACGCAGGAATTAAACATGCCAAATACTTATGCACTAGTCAACAAGGAATTAGTTTCATCATCAAAAGAGCTCGGATTACGCAAAACAAAAAACATGCCTTAGATTATAAAAGTTTTCGTACCAGTTTTTGGACTGTATCCAATTCACCCGTCTTGGCTGCCTTGAACAACAATCGCTGACACTGTAACGTGGTGCCTGGAAATATTTGGTACAGAAACCTGTAGAAAATAGTACATAAATACACTTTGTTCATTCGATTTTCATGTTTGAGTATTCAAGTACTGTATTCTTTTCTTCTTGTTATTTTCAAGTTAAACTGCATTGAAAACCAACTAGCGAGACGAGTGCTTAGCGCTTTGTGCTTCTGGTGTTTTTCTACATTTATCAATAGTTACCAGTTTTCCCGTGCCAGTCTCTTGTTGTACGCTTTCCGATCCTTATAACTGGCCAAGTGTTTTCCTGCGTAAATTACTTGTTGCGTGCCTTCCCGCCCTTATAAAAAGTTACCTATTTTCCCACACTTTTCATTGGTAGCATGTTTTTTCGGCAATTATCATTGGTTGTTTCCTTCTCACGCTTAGTTATCGCTGCGTGAGTTTCCAAACATGTGACTGGAAGCGTGTTTCTCTCCCCTTTACACTTGTGTTTTTCCGCCGGCCCTTGCTATTTCTTGCTCTATTTTTTTCGCGGCTTTCAACGGCTTAATAAGCATGTTTATTCGCGCATATTACCTAGCAGATACATGAAACCCCAGCAACATTTTAGTTGAACGGTTTACAAGAGTGCTAAACTTTGGTGTTGCTAAAATGGGACGAAATGAGGTAAAAATTTTGGGGTTCATTTCGATTCCTTCATATTCATCGATTTGTCGAAACCGCGTCACTGTGCTAGAGAGGAAGTAAAACAATGGCTTGTAGTTGACTTACCAGGATCCAGCTTTCAGTGTTTTATTTCTTGACGAACTTTCAAAGTATATCTGCAATTTGAAAAAAGAAACATCATGAAAGATAGACTATCGACTGATAAACAACTCAGAACAACGACAATCACTACAAAAAACCGTGAGATATTCCAAGCATAGACAAAACGACCGATATCCCACTAAAGACGATTCAGAAATGCCAAACTTCTATGATGCCTAATTTCTCTGCTAAAAAGGCGTTTTAAGTTATTGATCCTCTCATTTCCCGCACACTGTTGAGAATTCTAACCTCATATTTTTCATGATCGCCACTAATTTCCGCCACTTGATCTTCCTCTAAGCCAAGTACTTGACGCACAGTTTCTAAATATGGGAAAAGTCAATGCATCGATTACTTATGAGCTAGATGTACTTCACACAATGCATGTTTGATGAAAAAAGCTTTTTCAAAAACGCTCCTACAAAAACCACCAAGCCGCCTCACCTTTATGGTCTGCATTCCCGGAAAAATCATCGAAAAATTCACCTGCAATAAAAAAAAATTATGATATAAATATAGTAGAGAAGGGTAGGAGACTGAAATTAGTAGCTTTATGGTTGTAAAGTGAACGAGAAATGAAAAAATTCTTCATTTGACCCTACAGATAACGTCCGCTCAAATAGAAGAAACTTCTGTTACTCTTATGGATACCAGTCCTTCTCAGGACTACTATTACGCGGACGAGCAGACAACACAACAAACTCTGTTTTTCTCGGACTGAAAACCATTTCAAGAGTAATCCAGGACTGATTTGTTTTTCGATATTTTCTCTGATTTCCAGAAGACTCGCGCCACTTTCTTAACCAATCACACTCAAACTTAAAACCAACTGCGTCTTGGTCACTGGCTTTTTCCCGCGCTTTACGCAATTTGCTTGTTTTAACTCTGATTGGCTAGTTGCGATATTTTCTTTCGTTCTGATTGGCTGTCATAAACTGGAAATTACTGTTTAGTGAATTACAGCCCCTCATGAACGAACTCACCAGTTTCTTTGTCTCTGATCACAAGCTTGCGACCTTTCCACACTGTCTCGTGAACCTTACTGCTGTAAAACCCTGTTCCACACGTCAGACTCTAAAATAAGGAAAGAAAAAAAAATGACACTTCGTACATTAAGCGAAGACCCTTTTCCATACATAAAACTGTTAGATACCTTACTCAATCCCCCCGCCCTCCCCATTCTCAACCTTTGTAAATCTACGGGTTTCCGTTAGTTGAACCGGCGGAAGTAGTGTAACACGTCACTTTTACATCTTCCAAAAAGAATAACTTCTGAACAGATAACCAGCCAAGAAATACTCAATCACTAGGGTACACAAACAACAAGCAGGTAAAAATAAACCAGACAAGAACATGGATGATTAGGGATGGAAAAGATTGACGCGGATTGCATGCGACAACATTTGCCGAGACGGACTGACCACAAAAACATTATTTTTACTATTGAATCACTTTCGCAATGGGCGACGGTCGCGTCCCAGGACCCAAACGGACGAAAGTCGCCCACGTTCTAGTCGTCACTGCCAAAGGTTGCTATAATCATCAAGTTGAAAGCTGACTCACCAGATTAATAATCATATCCACTGCCAAATCATTGATGGTTGTGTTCCTAATTTTTAAAATAAAGAAAAAAACAAATTTGAACTATATGCACGACTACAGAATTGAAGATGACCCCTACACTGTAAGGCATGCCGTTTATGACGCAACATTTCAATGTCTATTGTGATCATCAGTTATATGCATGAAACTTACCTTGGAACCTTGACAACATCAAACCTTTGCACAATTTTTTCTGCCACAATTGTTCGACACTGTATCGAAAACAAAACAACAGTTAATTTAAGACGCAGTAATCTTGGAATTTGGAGATAACACATGTTACATTCTAATTTGAATATACCAACCTTATTTTGTATCTCCGCTACCTGTCTCATCCAAACATTACATTTAGCAATGTCATAATTTTGCTCTAAAAACTGGATTTCTGAAAAATAGACGATCGCATGTTACCGCTAAACTTATGAGTCAGGATCAAAATTTCGAAAGTGAGTCAATTTGAGGAAGCATTGGCCTCTTTCACAGCCGTTCTTCAATATCGTTCAATAACAAACTCTCTCCTTGATGGCGTTTTGCGCTGTGATAACATGCGACAAATGCAAGACTAAGTGAGTATGCGAGCGGAGTTATGTTTGATGTTTCGTCAAAGATGTCTTGACATCTCTCTCAGAGAGGTAACAAAAACAATCATTGTGGCTTTGATTTAGAACGTTTCTCGACTGAGTGTCGCAAAACCAAAGTAATCACGCAGCCAATCAGAAGAAAGGAAATTTCCTATGAGAGCCAATCAGAATTCAAAGTAAAAACAACCAAACTGCCTAAAGCGCGGGAAAACGCGGGCGACCAAGTCGCGGCTGGTTTTAGTTTTGCATGTAATTGGTTCAGAGAGTGGCGTGAGTATTCTGGACCAATCAGAGAGCAAAGTAAAATGCAATCCCAGATTTCTTTCGACAATCTAAAAATTTTAACAATTCGAGTGTCATGGACTGAGCTGAAATGCGAGAAAAGGTCCGAAGGATTTCTCATAACAAGAAAGCGAGCCTCACCTTCATCGTACACAGATATAAGATTCTCTAATTCTTTTTTTCTCTTTAGATCCTTTACATTGGTAATGAGGGATGGAAACTGTTCCATTTCGTCTTTGATCCCAATTTTCAAGACATTCAATTCATCCTGCAGTACAAGATCATAGCACCGAAACAGATTAGATGTGTCTCGCAAAAAAGAGCCAAAAAGTAGTCCACTCGGCCACTCAGCCACTCGGCCACTCGGCCACTCGGCCACTCGGCCACTCGGCCACTCGGCCACTCGCGTACTCGGCTACTCACCACCGGCGCTTTCAAAAACATCTTTCTAAGCATCAATAGATGCGCTAAAGATTAAGACAACTCACCAGTCTCTTGAGCACTGCTCTGGATTGTCGATATCTGTATCCACTCATGAAGAAAAATCCAAAATAACAGCATACAGACATTATGTCACCCTGAATGAAGGAAACAAATCATTCCCTGAGCTACAGGTACACAACTGATTCCGTATGAAAACCCGCAAAAAGCGTTTCAATATTATCTACCACAATATTATCAATTTCTGAAAGAGAAGTGAATTTATTATAAAAACCTTCATTAAGCATAAAAATATACTCAGATACTTCTACGGCCGACAGCATCTGTTCCGAGAAAAGCAGTTTTCCGAAACTTTCGCCCTTGTCAAACTGTTGGTGAGGAAAACTGTTACATCCATACATATTGCTTACATCAGATTACTGACAAAATTCCGAGCTTAGTTTACCTCAACTAAGTCTTGAGAGTCAAAGGGATTTGAAGATTTAAACATTTGATTTGCTGTCCTCAACGCGAGGTTTATTGTCCACCTGAAAAAAAAACCTGGTTAGAGAACAACGTCAAGTCTGCACACAAGCAAAGAAACCCCTACCACAGACGTTTACAACGCTTTATGGTTGAGTGTCGACAAATCAAACCACATGAAAAACAAACAGCCAATCAGAACAATGGAAATATCGCGAGGACGAGCAAACGAGCAAACTGACTAAAGCGCGGGAAAACGCGGGTTATAAAGTCGCGATTGGTTATCATTGGAATCTGATTGGTTTAAAGAGCGGCGCGAGTTTTCTGGACCAATCATAGAGCAAAGTGAAGCAAACCCAGACCAATTCCGAATTACTGTCGATGTCTGATCAAAATTTGCTCTATCTCGGTTTCAGAATGCTCCTTCCTGTCTACCATACAATTCCTATGATACTAATTGGGAAAATTTAATACAAAACCACCCCCCTCCCTGCACGTTGTCTGGTTCCTCGGACAGTTCGCCGGTTTCCTCCTCGATATACTCCTGGGTGAAACGTGGCACTGTACTGTGACAGTAAAGATGACAAAGGATGTTTTAGAATTCAGATAGTAGACGCAACTAAAGAGGAGGGCACAAAACTCCTTGTGTTACAGCTATCTTTTATCTGTGGTCACAGTTGGAAATTGCATAGACAATTTTTTTGCATCTACAGCCCTCTGAAATTCAAGGGTAAATAAATTATCCGTTCAATGATTCGTTCCCCTCAAAATATATTGAAAATTTACCGGTCATTTAATAAGACTTCTGTGGTGAAAGTCTCTGGAACAAATGAGTTCACCAGAGCACAAAGGACCCTAAAGAAAAAAGAAAAACAAAAGTTGACATTTTAAGGTAAATAAACAAATTTATTGATATGATTATAGATATAAAAACATTGTCATGATACCACTATTTGAAAACAAGTTCAACACACCCCAACCCAACTACTGAAAATTAACCCAAAAGTATGTTAGACTGTCCGTTTGCCTGGCTCTCTACCTGTCAATCTGTCTGTCAGTCAGTCTGTTGGTTTGTCTGTCTGTTGGCCTGGCTGTCTGCCTATCTACCTGTCTGTCTGTCTGTCTGCCTGTTGGTTTGTCTGTCTGTTGGCCTGGCTGTCTTTTGGCTTTGCTGTCTGTTGGCCCAGCTCTGTCTGTCAATCTATCTGTCTATCTCTCTGTTAGCCTAATTATCTATTGGCCTCGCTGTCTGTTGGCCTGGCTCTGTCCATCAATCTGATTGTGTGTTTATCTGTTGGCCTGACTGTCTGTCTATCTATTGACCTGACTTTCTGTTGGTCTCTCAGTCTGTTGGCCTGACTGTCTGTCTGTCTGTCTGTCTGTCTGTCTGTCAGTCTGTATGTCTGTCTGTCCAACATCCATTTATCTGCCTGTCAATCTGACTTTGCATGTATGTCCATTTCTTTGTCAGTTTATCTGTCAGTCTATCTATCAGTCCACCTGAGAGGTGTTTGTTTGCTTTTTCATTTAATTTGCCTGTCATTCATTTTTTTTTTCCATCCACAGTTCATACCTGCTGTCTGTAAGATCACTCAAACTCTGTGGAGACAACATACTACGTTAGTATAAATATGAAAGACCTTGTAACAAATTAAAAATTGGCAAAAAAACAGTTATCAACTACAACTTTAATCTACAGTTCAGAGAATAAAATATCTACAATACACAGTAACCACTTTCATCTTATCAATAAATCTTCTCTTATTGTTGAAAACTTTCACCGTTGCCTATGTAAGTAACACTGGCTGTACCTCGGGCTAGTTTTGCCAATGTTAAACTTAAAGAACACATGGTATCATGCTTAGCACCTGAAACATAAATTCACTATTTCTCCTCTTCTTGGTTTTTCAACCAAAGGATTGTGGCTCCCCCAAATCACTTAAAAGTTAACACACATTATGAGTTCCTTAGGTTCAATAAACTTCAAAAAAGAATGGAAGAAGGGGGTAAGTTTCTAAAGAAACTGTGGTGCTGTGTTGGTGGGAGAGTATAACAAGGTAATTTTAAGTATTATAAACTGAGTTGATGACATAAATTTTCCACTGTAAAGTGTTAAAAAGCTGACATTTTGAGCGTTAGAGCCAATTGCTCTAACAAAGGGCTAATGCTCAAAAAATCACCCTCTAAACTCTTTATAGTGGCCAATTTACGTTATCAACTCAATTGATAATACTAAACTACCCTGTAAAAAAAATGTAGGTTGTGCAAGCACAAAAATAATTTATTCTTAAACAGATTTCACTTGTAAAAGCTATGTATTCTTGGTCTTGTGCATACCAAAACACCCCTTGTGAGTTTGCGTCCCTCTCTGTTCATTTTAAGGTGGGCATTCACCATATCCAAGATGCAGTATTCTGGTGACGGATAATTTCTTGACTTGTGACGTCTGTTCACCATGTCATCTGACCTCCTGTTGTATGGGTAGGCACACAAGAAATCTATTCATTGTCATTCTTGTAAAGTGCCTCTTAATTTCAAGTTTATTTCATTATCATTGCAAGGCAACATACAGTAGTTACATAAATCAATTTGTGCTTTGCATAATTACTCACATGATTAGTGTGCACAAACTGATACAGGTGGATTTTTTTGGATAATCAGAGCTAACTAGTGAGGTTCATTTTCAATTTGTACACCAGAGTAATTGTAGTAGTCAAACAAGAGAGTGGAGGGGGAAGGAGTGGGAGGTTAAGATTACAAGCTAATCAGTCCATAGTTAGAAGAGCTAACCCCTATCTCAGGCACATGGCAACCACAAATTTAACTATTCCTTCTGGATAGGAAGCTTACCCATCACAGGGGAAACCCTCCCCCCACCTCCCCCTCCAGGATTTTATAAGGTTTACTTCAGTTGACAGTTTTCAGGCACCCATTTATACCCCTGAGTGGAGAGGGACTTGGTGAGAGGAAAAGCATCTTGCCCAAGAAACGAAGACATCACAAAGAAGTTGTTGGATGTTTCCAGAGACAAGGTTATCAAAAACAAACATTTCTTTTCATATTTTCTTTTGCCACTATGGATATAACATCAAGCTTTAAACAATTAATGGAGAATTTTCCTTCTAAAGAACTTACGCCGTATTTGTTGGACTAGGAGAAGGCACCTGTTAGAAGAAGAGAAACTGGTGATTATGATAAAGCAATAATTTCCAGCCATGTTTCTTAATAATAATAATAATAATAATAATAATAATACATAGCTGTTACAGTTAATAAGGTTCAAAGTCATTATCTGCATTATGGGGTACCTACCCCTCCCCTAACCCATTAACAGTCAACTGATAACAAGTTAGGATGAATGTTAGGTTAGGGGAGGGGTTGGTCCACAGTTTCTCAAATACTGAAATTGATCCAATAGTATTAAAGTTATATATATAAAGATGCATGTCGCATAGTAAAAAGGTTTTTTTTTAATATTTCAATCCAGCTTCCTCCTTACCTCAGGGGAGGTTATTGGTGTCTGAATCAGCGATTTTGATCCAAATCCTGACAGCATGGATTTCTCTGTCTTGAGGGTTGGGGTTTTGGGTGGCGGAGGTGGAGGAGTCCACTTGAATAAATATCAAATAAATATTTAATAAATATTTAATAACACAGTAAATGACTTAACTAATTTGGTCATGAATACTGCATTCACACCAAAGCTAAAACACATCTTGAGGCTCAGGTTAGTTTTGTTCAACACAGTTGGAGATTGCTTTGTTTTGTAGAAGTTTCTTAAACTGATGTTTGTCAACTTCATTTTGAGCACAATCAGGGTCAAACGAGGGGAAGTTTTTCAGTTGAGTGTGAAAGTTTTGGGTTATAACACTTGACTGACAAACAAGTCTTCACTTGACTTTAATGATGGCCTCCTCTAAGATTTTAAAAGCCTCAGTCACTACTACTGACAAAAGTTCTCCTCAGAACTATTCTCACCTGGAAGATCAAACAACACAATAAAAAAAATATCAAACAAATAAAGATCATAGATACCTCAAAGATCAGACAAAATAGATCAAGACTACTTCCATGTATAAATCATCATAGGATTTCTAATATATGCTTCTATGAGGTAATTTCTGAAACTGCAAACCAGTGGTTGAAATATCATGCCCTAGATAAATTCTTTTATCATATGTGACTGTATGTTCCTCACCGAGAAAGGTTTTGATGTCAGCATTTGTCCTTCAGCTTGTTGAAGGAATTCAGATCGTTCCCAAACAAACCAGATGTCATGACAAACCAGGCACCAAAGTAAATCAAACACCTGTTGATTTTTAAGAACAAATTCAAGAAATTAAAAGTTAGGGAAAGATATCATTGGTCTCATCAAGAGTCTAGAACAAAGAAACATTCTAAGCCTCCATGGAGAAGCAAGCCCCAGAACTTCAGATTCCATGCTTGGATACTCCATGAAATGGCTCCAGTCTTCCAGACATTAGCACCATTTATATACTTTTCATACAAATCACTTCAGCTCCCTGATAATCAAGGTTCCAAACCTGATCTGCGCATCTCATGGCAAACATTCTGGAATCCACATATGTGTCCTTGGGGATAATGTTCCTGAAGACATAATCATAATATCAGAAAAAATATTAAATGATTTACCAAAAAACTGCGTAATTTTCAAGCACTTGGATGTCAAGTTGCATATAATTATTCTTGGTGTCAAAACTTTAGACATTTTCAGGGAGAAACTTGGGATCAATGTCAGTATCTGTGCAACTGCACACCTACCCCTCCCCTAACCCTTAATTTTGTCAGTTGACTGGTTGGGTTAAGGGAGGGGTATGTAGGTACACAATTGCTCAGATACTGACATTGATCTGAACTTTGTTCATACATGACTCTGCACAGGTGACTAGATACATTTTTAGATGATTAGTAAAAACACTTAAACAGAGCACTGTCCCTATCATGAACATCAATCATGTTATCAATGGCTTTTACTTCTAAATTGGTTCCAGGCATGTGCTATTTACTTACGCATGATGGCTTTTACTTCTAAATTGGTTCCAGGCATGTGCTATTTACTTACGCATGTTTCAATTCCTTCACAATCCATTCCACTCTTGTTGTCTTTTGTTGCTGGGTCAGTCTGGAAGAAAAATAAAATTTTCCAGTTTATTGTATACCTTAGGAAAACATGATCGTGTTTTTAGGAATTTTTATTGTGTTGGGACCAACCACATGAGAGATCAAAGCAAAAAAACAATAGCTTTCACTGTAAACAAACGACCATAGGTAACAAGTAAATGATAATTTGAACTGCAATTCTTGTCCTTTATTGATGTTGTCAAAGTAACACTTACCCATCAAAACTCTGCAGTTTCTCCAACGGCCGTCCAGTCAAACCTTACATGAGTAAAAAAATTTAAAAAAAGAAAGGAATTGTGATTTTGCTTTCTTCAATTCCTAAGATCTGAATGTTAATTCTCCCCCTCACTCATTTCCTTCTATAGTTATTTGGTAAAATCTATTTTTTTCTATAAATCAAAAATCCTTTCACGACAGATCAAAAGTACATTTTCCTTGAGACCTTCGTAAACTAGTCTTGGAGAAAAATGACTTTTAATTTGAAGGGGTAGGAATTTGCAAAGAAATGACCAAATCCCAACTTTGACCCTTTAAAAATTCAAAAAAAAAAAAAAAGACAATGTTACTAACTTTCTAGAAGAACCTTCATGTTGTACCCTTTCAGCAGATCTGTCAATATATTGTGCATGAAGTGTCCTGTTGGACTAAGTCTGAGGTTTACCCATGCAGTAAAGCCATTGATTCTGGTCCGTAGAGACATGACGTCCGGAAGTTATAGCGTACGTTTCTTCTTGATCTAGCAAACTAGGTTGTTTATTGCCTGCCAACGAACTCACTGCTGTTTCTTCTAAATTATCTCAGTCATTACAAAATTCCATATTTTTTCAGGCCTACAGATCGAAACACGCTGTCAATAAAAAAAAATCCTCTACAACTAAGAATTGTTTTCTTAAAATGGCTCAATGACAGGATCTCATAACACAATCGACATAATCCAAATTCTCTAAGTTTATGCACACAGCATAGCAACTCGTAAACAAACTCCTCTGATCCCCGAAAAACACTTCCTTGTGAACAATTCTCCTTCTAAAAATCACAAAAGAACACTTTTCAATTACACAACAAAGTAATCCACCAGTTCGTTGAAGAAAACAAGAGAAAATCTTGCAGGGTTCTCAGATGTTTACCCTTCACGCAATCAAACTGCCGCCATGTTGATTAAATAACTCAATGTTCCAGTCCTCTCTGAGTCGGTACCAGCGAGAGGAACTGGAGAAAAGTTCGGTCACAAACAAATTTGCTCATCGCCGTGACCTAATCACATTACTTTTCAATTCAAATGAGGTTGTGTTTTCGGTTCATGATGTCTCAAACAGTGAAAACCTTTGATTACATTGCAATCGGTGGTGGATCTGGAGGTCTCGCTAGTGCGAGAAGAGCTGCTTCGCTCGGAGCAAAAGCCGCTGTGATCGAACATGGAAGACTCGGTGGAACTTGTGTGAGTTTTCTTGATTTTAGCAAGGATTAGCTTAACTAGGATTAACTAAGTCCTTTTGGGTTGGGTCTACAGCTATGCTTTGTTTATTGGCCCTTGTTCCTTGCCCCAAAAGCAATGAATCAGCAGATGTTGTTTGCTGGTACCACTGATGGTTTTTGCAATCGGGCACAGCAAAATAGCTCCACCAGCATGACTGTACACAATTTGTGTTCTTGTATTTCAAACAACACAACAAATTTAACATAATAATGGCAAGATGTGAAGTCGTTGCGTGCACCTAGTGTTAGATCCTCTTTATCCAGCCGTCTTTTTTCAATCTTGAAAATTTCATTCCGGTAAGAATTTTACATGCGTACTTAAGCAAAACTGTTGCCATGTAGTCATATGACCATATGTAGTCACATAAATGTGTAGACTTTCCAAAAAACTATTCTTTCCGCGAAATTGATCACGCTTTGCCGCAATAATTACTAACAACCTCAGCTCTAGTCATAAACTAATTGGTAATTTCAATAAGTCAAATTAATTAAATTTTAATCACACGATACTATGGAGAAAAAAATTTATTTTAAAATTGCACAGTCATTATTACTTTCAAAATGTCAAGTGATCCAAAGATGAGAGGGGCCTTAAGTGGGCTATTATTATAGTTAATAAAAGGCATGTACTCAATTTAATATAACAGATGATTTTTCAGAAAAAGGTTTCAGAACTTTTTCTCTCTGGTAACCAAATCAAAGTTTCTTAAACATTTGCTCTTGAAAATCAGAAAAATTTCATAGTCTCAAATATGTACAAAGTCTTGTTCTCATAAAATAACTCATAGCTGTGTGAGAGATGAATCCAAGTTCTTTTTGCGGAGGCAGACACCCAGCTAAAGAAATCAATGGAAATTAAGCTTAAGAAACTCCCCCAGTGTTCTCCATTATTTTAAGCACAACAGGTAAAAGAAATTTTCAAACTGGTAGAGCAATCCTTTTACTCACTGAATTTTCAAGAAATTCCAAAGAATTTAAGGTGGTGATGCAAGGTTCCAGAGGTGATAAATTATTTTTAGATTAGCACCTGAAAAGGAGAACACTGTACCCTTCCCTGCAAAATTAAAAAAACTTAGGTTAACCCTGTACACCCTACCATCAATGTGCATATTCTCCATACTGTTCTCTCTATATTTCCTGAGGTGCTGATGAGGAGAATTTGTTGAACAATCAAGAGTTTCTTTAGTTAATGATCATTTCCTCTCTTCTCATGACCATAATGTATATTTCAGGGGGGATATTGCAAGGAGAAATTAGATGCTGGTCATTCTTCAGGGTTGAAGGGAAAATTGAGATAGAGAATCAATCCCACAAGTATTAATGCAGGTGTTGCATATTAATGCAGGTGTTGCATATTAATGCAGGTGTTGCATATTAATGCAGGTGTTGCATATTAATGCAGATGTTGCATATTAATGCAGGGTAACATGGCAATACAGGATAAGTAACTTTCCTCCTGTTTTCACTTTGCTAGGTCAATGTTGGCTGTGTCCCTAAGAAGGTCAGTTCCACTCTCTTACATACTTTTCTGTTACAGTTGACTCTTGTCCTGCAGACACCTAGCTATTATGGACAACTGGCCATTGCAGATAAGAGCCAGCCCCCTGGTGAAACGCATAAAGAAATGACTGAAATAAACTCTGCAATAACAGGGGTCTACTGAAATTGAAATTAAGTCTGTGTAGACTAGGTTAACTCTAAGGGGAAAGATTGCCATGCCCAATTATCAGTTCACTGGACTACTCAGATCTAAAGATCTAACTTAAAGTTGTGGGAGGAACAATGTATTTTACTATTGGACAGAGGGCACCCTTACCTAATGTTACCCCTCTCCAGAGAGGAGTATATAAGTATCACCATATTTTCAGAGGAAAAGGATGGAATGCAAGGAGGGAGGGGGGGGGGGTGGCCTGCAGTGAACTTGCATCTTCAGAAACTGTGGATCAGCTCTGGTAATTTTCAGCCATTGAGCCCCTAAAACTTATGAACATATAGACTGCACAATTTAGACAGACTTCCTGTGAGCAAACTTGCATAATCTACATTTTGCGCAAGCATCATTTAAACCTTTGAATAAGAGAGAGAAAAAGAGGACAATTTGTGTTGTCATATACTTTTAGTCCTGATATATAAAGGCATTTTCTGGTTTTAGGTTATGTTTAACACAGCTGTCCATGCAGAATACATTCATGATCATGCTGATTATGGCTTTGATGTTACTCTAAATAACTTCTCTTGGGCGTAAGTACAATGGCATTCAATTATCAGATTTTTATGTGAGACTTCTCTACATCTAATTTAACTGTGATTTCATCTTTCTTGCTCAAAATTTATTAAATTAAATGAAAATGAGAATATCTTTGTGCTATCAGGAAATAATTTAGCTCATTATGCTTGATAACAGGACTGTTAAGAAGTCCAGAGATGCATACGTCAAGAGACTGAATGGTATTTATGAGAACAACTTGAAAAAGGTGATTTTAAGACAGCTTCAGTGTTACCTTATGTTTTGTTTTAATTTTAAATTTTTACTTTTTTCATTGACAAAATTCAATTTGTCAGACAATCAGCAAGATAATAATTAATGTATGATTATAAATTCTTCTTTTAATGGATTAACTGAATTAGTAGCTAGCTATAACTTGCCTTATTTTGTAGGATGATGTGGAGTATATTCCTGGTCATGCTGTGTTCACTCCAGAGGGCAATGTTAAAGTTGGAGATGCTGTTTACAGCAGTAAACACATTTTAATTGCGATTGGAGGGCGGCCAACTGTACCAGCATTTCCAGGTGTGACAAAAAATTTTTTTGACTTATTCCCACTAATTTACAGGAATGTCAAAAAGTAAGTTTGTTATGCAACTTTATTGTTGAAATGAATAACCACTTAATTGCACTCTTGAGGTTGCCAGGTGGCAACTTCAGAAAGGGTGGAGGCTTGAGCCCTGTGGTAATGAATTAATCATCTTGTAAGGTTAATTATTTTAAAAAAATAAACTTATAATACTAGCTGTAAGTTAGTGAGCTCTGGAGGTTAGGGCAAACATTCATTTGGTATGTGAATAACATCATAAAATTTATAACAATTTTAAATTAATAAATTAGTATTGTTAAGTTAATGAAAAAAATTTCAAATTATTTCCTGATTACCTCCAATCATCTTTGAACAGGTTGTGAGTATGGTATCACCAGTGATGGCTTCTTTGATTTAGAGGATCTACCAAAGTGAGTGTATGAATCAAAATTTTGTGATTAGCAGTAATCAAAACTTTAACAAAATTCTTGAGTGTGATTGGTTATCAGCAGCCAAATTTTCTCTCCATTAAGAGAATGTGTGCATGATCTGTTTAATTGGACCATGCAGTAGGACAGTTTATGCGACATGCCTACCAACAGAAATGTACCTACCATTTGGGCATTTTGTGACATGGACTATTGGGCTCATTTGTGGATGGAAAAAATCTGTACAGTCTTGATTTTGACTATACTTGACCAAGGGGTGTTGCTTGGCCAAGGACCTTTTTTTTTTTCAATCACCACTGAGTTATATTCCCCTTGGTTATCTTACCATTATTAACTTCCAAGAGTGACTGGCATCTGATTTTTCCTGCAAGTATCACTGCTAATTGAATCACAATGGTCGCAAGAGTATGGAAATTGATTGTTAACTAAACAAGAACTTGATTGTTTGACACATTCTCCTCATCAGTAACATGGAAAATGTAAAGGAAACAATATGGAGGATATGAGTAATGATATCAGGGTTTAAAGGATCTCCTTCCTCTCATCTCTAGCATTTTTACTGATTTTGTAAGAAATAATATTATTATATATATATATATATATTTTTTTTTTTTTTCAGGAAAGTTGCTGTAGTCGGAGCAGGGTATATCGCCATTGAGTTAGCAGGAATACTCAATGCTCTTGGGTCCAAAGTTTCGTCTCTCATAAGATATGACAGGGTAATAGGCCATGTATAAAGTTCTTCAAAATTTGTTAGTTTATAGTGTTATTTGCCCAAAATAATTAAACAAGTTAGTGGGTATGTGAAATTATTTTTAATTACAGGTTCTGCGAACATTTGACTCCATGCTTAGCGAAGGGGCAACAAATGAAATGGTGAAAGCTGGAATTGACTTGCAAACTCACACTTCAGTAAGTTAAACATGAGGTTAAACCCTAAATCTGGCTTTAGTGGTCAACACCTAACTTCTGTTGATAAGTTTTTAAACTTTCTTAAATTTAAAAATAACTCTTATTGTCAGCTACAGGGGGTGATCTTTGGTCTGATTCTGGTCTCCCGAACAATCTTTCAAGAAATGTCGATTTGCTAATTGGAGGAATTTTTATTCAACAAAATTATATCAATCAGATCATCAGTTGCAGCCTAAAAATTCATTGAATTGTCCATTTTATTCGAAGCTTTCACAGTTTTTACAATTTTGAAGATTTGTGCCCTCTCTGACACCATTTGAAAATAAATTACTTAATCAAGGAAGATGAGGAATGGTTTTTGTTGTTGTTGGTGTTAAATTATTTTGATTTAAAGATTTCAAGGTAATTGGGTCTCGGAAAATGCTTTCGGATTTGTCAGTTAAGGTTTTCAATATTTTTGCACATTCTAGATTCAGGAGATCACAAAAGACAGTGAAACTGGTCTGATGACCATTCACATCTTGAAAAACAAGCAAGATAAGGTGGCTCTGTCCGGGTTTGATTGCGTCTTACTGGCAATTGGGAGAGTTCCAAACACAGACTCCCTTGGAATAGATGGTCTGGTAAGTAAGCAACAACATACACAGCACCCTTAATGCGATGAAAATACTCTTAAGCAACAGGTGTGTTGGGGCATCCATATGACAGGGGGATTTTTGGCGAGAATCTTTGTCCATTTGGATAGAACAGTTCAAGACTGTCTCTACAACACTATACTTAACTAGTTCGAAAGACGCTTACTGATAAGAATTGTAACCTTTTGACATTCTCAGGGAATAGATGTCGACAGCAAGGGACATATAATAGTTGATGAGGTTTGTTTTGTAATCATGAAAACATCGTAAAAGACACTTGTGCTTGTATCTTAAGCCTGATTGGTACGAGATCTCTAAAGGTTTGATTTTGTTTCTTGCAAAGTTTCAAAACACTTCCCGGCCAGGTGTATACGCACTAGGAGATGTTTGCGGGAAAGCACTTCTCACGCCAGGTAAAGATATATACAGTTGTCACTCTCAGAATAGTATACCTGCCTGATTTTCACGAGTTATGATTATAGCATTCAAAATGAGTCTGATTATAGTATTCAAAATACCGAATTTCCGTCAAACCCGACGACTTCCGAACAATTACCTAAGACTTTCCAAGGACTTTCGAACACTGCTTAAGACTCTCGATGATTTTCCGATCTTTCTGAACTTTGCGGTGCCAAAATTTAGCACCATCTTGAAATACGACCTCGAAGTTAGAGTTTGTGTGGAATTTTGCGGTTTTTTCCCCTTTTTTTGCACGGCTGTGGTTATTGGACAGTTGTTAGCCATTGGAGTAAAATGCTCTTGTGCGCGTTTTCGCAAGCGTTTCGTAAACGCATATTGCGTTTGAGTCGGCAGGAATAGAAGTGACTCAGGTTACGATTTGTTAAGCGCAAGTATGATAGCGGAACAGATATAGAAAGACCTGAAATTTAGAATTAGTGATAATTCAGGAGAAATTAACCCTTGGTATTTTATAGACTTTTTATTAAAATTTTTGTATATTTCTATTTCAGTGGCGATTGCAGCTGGGCGAAGACTCGCCCACAGATTGTTTGATGGTCAGTCGAATTTGAAGCTGGATTACAGCAACATACCAACAGTGGTGTTCAGTCATCCACCAATTGGAACTGTGGGGTTAACTCAGGGTAACTACCATTTATAACACAGCGGTCAATAGTTGGGCATGTGCAAGGGAATCAATTTTTAGCCGGTAACGCAGCAGTTGTCCGCGCAAATTTCAAATGAAAACATAGGAAAAAGCCGCTTTGACGCAAAATATGCGACTAAAAAAAATCGGTTGTTGAAGTCGGCGAATCGCCAATTGAAGCAACTTAAGCCATCTTCATTGCACCATGCGCGCAGGCAGTGCAATTTTCCGAATGTTGGAATTTATCAACAAGAGTTTTTAGTGCGATATAGAACTCGTTGAAAGCACAACAACGAGAATTTCCAGAAGACGATATCAGGTATCCGACCTCCGCTAGGAAAGAGTGACTGCTGTAACTCAAATGAAACGAGAAGGCTAACTGAAGTTGACCGTCTTCTTTTTTTTCAGAGGAGGCAGAACAGAAATATGGAAAAGATAAAATAAAAGTTTACAAGTCTACGTTCAGCAACATGTATCATGCGCTTACTCATCGAAAGACCAGCACAATGATGAAACTTGTTTGTCTTCTGCCTGAAGAAAAGGTTAGGAGAGAGCTGACTTACAATGGTCTGGCATTCCTTTAAACAGAAGTAGTAATACCCTTAATTCATTCACACCAAGCTTAAACATTCACGTCTTTATCCGCTGTCAAATATATGACTTTCATATATTCTTAACCGTTTATTCATCACTTCACGGGTTTATTTAGAACCAACATCATGACCAGCTCCCAGTTGGCTTGTTAGCTCAGTTGGTAGAGCGCTCCACCAGTATCGCAGAGGTCATGGGTTCAAATCCCGTACAGGCCTGAATTTTTTTCAGGCCTTATTTTCACTACTGCCTAAGTAGTGCACATTACTGTGAGGATCACTTTCATTCACGTCTTTATCCGCAGTTCAAACATATGACTTTCATATATTCTTAACCGTTTATTCATCACTTCACGGGTTTATTTAGAACCAACATCATGACCAGCTCCCAGTTGGCTTGTTAGCTCAGTTGGTAGAGCGCTCCACCAGTATCGCAGAGGTCATGGGTTCAAATCCCGTACAGGCCTGAATTTTTTTCAGGCCTTATTTTCACTACTGCCTAGGTAGTGCACATTACTGTGGGATCACTTTCATTCACGTCTTTATCCTCAGTTCAAACATATGACTTTCATACATTCTTAACCGTTTAAACTGATGTTAGTTTGTAAAGGTTAAGTATAACGGATATTTCAGTGAGTGTTTTGGATTGACGTTTTAGATTTCTTTTTCCATAGATCCTTGGACTTCACATTCTTGGGATTGGCTGCGATGAGATGCTACAAGGTTTTTCCGTTGCTGTCAAGATGGGGGCAACTAAAAAAGATTTTGACGAAACTGTGGCGATCCATCCGACAGCGTCCGAAGAGTTGGTCACAATGCGTTGATTACAATAATTAGGGTGCTTACTATTTGTCAGAACTGACTGATTAGACTGATCAGATTAAAAGAGCGTGTTCCAAGCGTTTGGTTAGTAAAGCGAAGCGCGATAACAGCGGAGGAGTGAAAAAAAAAAAAAACAGGGAGGCTTGGGTCGAGTCGCCACCCGACCCAAACCTCCTGCATCGCGCCGTTTACTATTCGCTCTTTTTACCAACTGAACGCCTGGATCAGGCCAGTTTCATAAAATGAATAGTAGGAAAGAGGCCTTTCGAAAGAGACTTTTCCTTAAATTTGAAAATAAAAATCCATCGGAATAGTGGTTGTAGTTTAGTGATTACGTTATCTGATAGGAAAGTTCTGACTTATTACTGAATACATGTACCATTTATGAATGAACCAATCTGATTAGCCAGATCTGACCAATTGTTTGTGCCTTTAATTTCTTCACTTTCGTCGTCGTTATTATCATTTTCATCATCATCATCATCATCATCATTATTATATGTCCATGACAACGCGTGCCTATGCACAATCTCTGACGTTTCTTATAGGGAAACGGTCCCCGTACTTATTTTATCAAATAGATTTCACGTTTCCGTGTGTTTGTGCAATAATAGATCACACACGACGTTCATATGTAGTATGAACAAAACGTGGCACACGGGGCGCAGCCAAGTGTGTCACTGATGTGATCTACCACAGGACATACGCACAGCAACATGGAATCTATTTGTTTTATATAATAAAGAAGCAAAACTGAAGTTATTAATGGTAACGTCATCTATGCGTCTGCCCTCCAACAGATGAGAACCAAGAACTAATCAAAATCCGTGTAGAATTCAATTTATTATAGAATTGCGAGCTGTGCATTGGCCTACCTGTAATATCTTAATCAAAATATTCTTTCATGATTGTAATATCGTAGCAATATCCGTCATAATGATATTCCTTTTATCAAGGAAAAACATTAGGGCATAAAGAGAACTTTTTCCACTAGGTCAGAACCTAATGCTAAGAATATAATGTAACGCTTAGGTTATCAATAAAATTGAAAGTGAAGACCAAAAAGTTGTCGGTTCCGATCTATTACTTGCGTTAAAATTGATATATCTGACTTAAAACGCAGTGACTTCCCCGGGTTGCTTCTATTTATTTATTTATTTATTTTTGCTCTGTTTCTCCGGGTACGTTCAGCTCAGCACCACACTGGGTTATAAACTTCGATCATTAATCTATGTAAGGTATGTCAAATTACAATAATTTGTGAGGAGCTGGTGACAGGTCAGGGAATTATATTTTTGCAAAATCTCGACTCCGCCCAGCAGTGTTCTCGCCAGCATAACAATCTCAGTGATGACTCTCTTAGGCGCTTTACACAAAGGCATAAGTTGAAAAGACCACGCATGGGTTTTGAATGCCATGAATTTCAGCCGTGAAACATTTTGATACTGACTTGGAGAAATGTTGCTGAAAATTTTTCAAGTACGTGAGGTTTTTTCTTCTCTTCAAACATTCCCAAGCTAAAAAACCCTTCTAAAGCACCAAGTATTTTAATTAACGCATACGTAGCCAATCAGAGAACGCGATGAAGCTGACGCGAGCTTCACCACAAAGTCAGACCGTGTTTTGAAAAGTTAGAATGGCGAAAAGCTTGGTTGGTTAGGCCACGATCGGCCAGAAAAAGGGAGATCTGTTTCTTGCAAGCATCAGCTTTTAACGATTATACAATTGAAGGTATGGTTTAATTAGACATTTGAGGTAGATTCCCTACAAGCGCGAGATTTCTCAGTAAATCATAATTAAAGCCCGCGAAATATTTCCTCTAACTTGTTTGATGCGAGAAGAGGCTTTGAAGAATTGTTGATTAGAAAAGACAAACAAGAATCGTCGTTAGGGTTAAGCTAGAATTATTTTATGCAAATATAAGTAGTTTTAAGCTGGCAAACCTTGTTTAAAAGCTAATCGGTTCTTAGTTCTTCGCGAGGGTTGCAAAGAGAACAACACATCGCGTCCAACAGTCACTTGAGAGCTCATGAATTAGCTTAAAACTGACTTGAGTCAGTAAAAACGGCCAAAGGGACAGAATTCTTAAAGTAAACGAATGATTTCTAGTTTTAAATAAAAACGAGTAAGTATGTTCCTTTTTACTTGTTTTAAACTTATTGAGATGACTGATCAGTTAGCCGCGTGATCGACTTAAGCGAGGTTCTAATTAACCAAAACTTAATTGCCGACTGTTCAATGAAAATTCGATCCTCATTTATCGTCGATTTTCTTCGATAGTGTGTTTCTGTCGTTTACTGAAATAAATATTTTTACTTTTCTTGTAAGTCAAACGCTGAAAAAATCACGAATCACCTTCAGTTAGACGTTTATTCGCCATTTGTAAACTGATCCTTTTACAGTTTTATTTGAACGTTACAAAGCGTCACAGTTAGTATATACGTCAAAATCAATGGCGATTTTAAATTCTGTGACGGTTGAAAAAATGTTGTGACCATCAGCATCTAACATTTTAATTCACTCTCACCTTAGTTTCATTCATGCTTTTGCTAAAATGCATTTTCGAGGCAAGCTAATTTCTCGCGTTCGCTTGTTCACGATTTTGATCAATCACTAAACTTCCCAGAAATAATTGTACACTATGTTGAACTACGATTAAATTTATGTGAGATTGTGAATGCTTAATTTTACTGTGCTTTGAGAGAATATCTCCATAACGTTGTAATATGTCAGTTCATAAACCGATCACCGTTCTGGAAGAGAAAAACGAATCTGTTTTGTTGTTTCCACATATTTTTAATTGGTGCCGTTTTTGATTCAACGCGAATTAATTGCAATTAATTTAGAACCCTTGGTTTTATTCTTTAGTATTTTATACACTTAGGAAAGAGTAAACTAAGGCCGTTCTCGATAATTTCATGGGCACATCCAGGTTAGAGCAAACTCAGAAATCTCCAAAGGTATTTCAGTTCAGTCTGTATGAATACGAGGAAATAGTAATTTAAGGTGTATGCTTTTCTCTGAGCCGATTGTTTTAAATGTGTATTTTTTAAAATTCATTTCCTATTTGCAAAAAATTATTCAAACCGTGTTCTTTCGTCATAAAGCGAAACGGTTATAATATACAATTCACTACGTCATTATACATTAAATTCACATGTCAGACGGTTATATTATATCCGTACCGTAAAAGCTCTAGCAAGTAATTCCACGTTTTTATACAGTACACTATGGAAAACATTCTCTACGATACTTTGGGCCCTATAAATTATATTATAGCAAATTGATAGAGAGAATCCTAATTTTATAAATTTTAAAAACTGTATTATTTATCTATCTATTCAATACCCCTTCCTCCCTCCCCTCCCATTGAACAAAACCCCCTTCCCTCCTCTCCCGTAAGGAGGTTCAGGAAGTTAACCTCACCCTTTTCCTGGGGATCTGGTAATTCTGGTTGGATCTTGTACAATATTCCATTCGAAGTTGACTGCCTTGTCAGAAATCTTAATTTTTTTTTTAGGGCGAAGAAAACATACAGAGAATGACCGATGCTCAAGATACCATCAAGCCAAGCAATCTGACACCTGATGTCTTAGAAGCGGCGAGTATTCTGATAGCGATGAAGCGTGGAATGCGATATTTTCTCTTAGAAGCTCAACAAGCACGCCATCAGCTCTCTTTCTTGGATTTCGCAGCACTCAATCCTGGTTCCGCTCAAGTTCATTTTCTTGCTGGTCACAGAATTCCATTTTCACCCCTCTATGATATTACTCCCATGCCAGCGGCTTACCATTTTCCATTAGCGCAGCCGGTTGCGTATTATGGGATGTTGGCTTCGCCTTCGTGTTATGTAGGGCTGTCCAGGGAGCGCGGAGCATCTATGGAGGGTGTTGTGGACAGTGAAAGTACTCAATCAGGTGACTGTCCCTCAAGAGTGGCTTTTTTTCCCCATCCTTACCTTGATAAATGCCAAAGCAAAGACTTCAACTTACCGTAAACGAATGTTTTGAGCGCGCATTGAGTGAGACATAACACCACTCGTTTAAATTCTATCACAAGTTTTTTGCGGATTATTTAAAACAAGAACGCGCAACACGCAGTGAAACGTTTCACAGTAAATTTCCTCCATGAATAAAATATAATCCAAGGCAAAAACAGGGAGGAAATAATTGGTTAACTGAGGCAATTACAAGCAAGAATTGACAAATTTTGGGCGAGGGCGCAGAAACAACGCTCATTTTAAGAGACATGCAGATAGGTATAAATAACAGAATACAATATTTAAAAAAGAAAAAAGAGCTTTCACCATCTAAACGAGCAATTTGCGTCATACGTGAAGTGCGCTGTAAATTGTCGATTTATCGCGATTTTCAATTGAGAGTCGAAAGTAATCCAAGATTTCATTGGTATGCTCTACTTCGCTCTGTGATTGGTCCAAAAAACGCGCACTGCCAACTCAACCAATCAGATGTAAAACTAAAACCAATCACGACTCGGTCACCCGCGTTCTCCCGCGCTTCAGGTGGTTTGCCTGTTTATATATTGAGTTTTCATTGGCTCTTAAAGGTATTTTTCTTCTCCTCATTGGCCATCGTGATTTTATCTTAATCTGAAAGCGCTCTAGCATGATATGATAGCCAAGGCTTGGGCAACGTGTGTGGTTTCCTTACCCACTTTGAAGATGGCTCTACGCCGTTTGTCCATTTTCACGGAAATTTCAATTTCTTTCTGTTGCAGCTCCAAAGAGGATGCGGTTGTCCACTACGACTACAAGTTCTCCTGAATGTGCAGCCAACGAGAAGCAAGAATCGAAGAGAAGAAGAAAAAACTACACCAAAGAACAACTTGAGATTCTCGAAGCCGCGTACGCTGAAATGAAATACCCACACATAGAAGAACGATTAAAGCTGGAGAAAGTTACAAAACTGACAGAAGACCGGATACAAGTTTGGTTTCAAAATCGACGCGCAAAAGACCGGAAAAGAATTGAGCCTGAGAAATACCAAAAATACGTTGAGGACACTCAAAAAATTACCGGCGAAGGCCAAAAAAATGACGCCGAGGAAAAAAGTCCGAGTGAAAGTCCAATTCAAGGTGCGCGACCAAAACAAAGACAAAACAGTAGTAGCGATACAAGTGACAATGCGTGTGGGGAATTTGACAATTTCACTTTTAGTGGACCTCAAACAGAATAACTTTTTGAACAAAAATTTTCGCAACATGAATAGGATGCTTAAATGAATTTCGTATTTTAAGAATTCAATTCGTGCGAAGCGCGTGAATCTTATCACAGATTAGTCGTAAGTCCCGATTAAAATTATACTTTTTTTAAGCTCTTGAATGATGGGTGTTGTTTGTCGTTTTTAATTATATCAAGGTCGTAGCTGGCAGTGAATGTTGCAATAAGCATTCCATTCTGGAGCAATTTGCACTTAAGAGTCGAAAGTGATGCCTTAATTATTTTTGCTCTATTTCTCTCGTGATTGGTCCAGAAAACTCGTGCTACTATCTCAACCAATCAGATGTAAAATTAAACCCAATCACGACTTGGTCGCCCGCGTTTTCCCGCGCTTTTGAAAAATGGAAAAATGTTTTGTTTTTTTGTAAAAAGACAGTTTGTTATTTCATTACGAGACTGGATAGAGACCTACTCGTCTTTCGATTGAATTGCCCAAAGAAAAGTGAATCGTGACACTCGTTTAAGCTATTTCCCGTGAAACGCAAAATTACAATTCGCAGCTTTCTTGTGGGACTGAATCGTGAAATTACTGCACCTTTGAAACGTGAAACGACAAGTATCTTCTACTTTCTGTGAAGTTATATCTGTTAATTCTTCCCATTCACACGGGAACCATTTGATAAATTTACTCGCGTCGCTCCCACTTTGCATAAATGCTGTAGAGATTTGCAACCTGCACACAGATTAAAAACTTTTCAACTTAACGCATCGCTTACGTCATGAATGAGAAAATACACATAGCAGAGAAAAGTCGTGATGTAATAATAAATATTTATTAATGTTATGTTTGGACCTGCCATAACTCTTCTTTTTCATACGAAATCTTCAATCCAGTCTCTTAGGTTTTACAACCCTATCCTCTCAGAGTGCCGAACCAGTCGACTAACCCGATGCCATTCTACATTTCTTACATAAAATTTTTGTCATTCTATAGCAAAAATAGTGATAACTTTTTAAGAGAACAGCAGTAGAAAAACGGCGATGATTGTAATAAGCTACAAAGGGAAAAAAATAAATCAATCAATTAATCAATATAACTCCGTCAACCCACGCCCAGCGTGAAAATTTTATAAATGGTACCTTTATAAATATTCCAGATACTAACTAAATAAACCTTGATCCAGCCAAGATGCTACAACATTATCCAATTCCGCTATAAACAGAGGCCAGCCTCTAAACACACATAATACTCACAATTTAACCCTGTTAGTGTTCATGACATTTTGTCTACGAATGCGAGGCGAGGAAAATTTCCAATATCACAATAATCCACACTGGACCTCAAAGCCTTATATCAGACACTTTCACTTGACAACTCCACCCACCCAGGGTGTTAAGACCCTCTCCTCCCCTACGCCAATTTACATTCTCAAAACTTCAACTTCACTAATTCATTAACAAGGTCGACCAGACCCTCGATCGATTGTTCACTCATTTAATAAACACATGAATGAAATGAACGACAAAAGGGAACGAATATCTACAGCGCACAATTCTAATAACCACACCCAGCGTGGAAAATTATGCAAATATTGAGTTACGTACCTAAAATTAGCTCAAATATATTTATAATCTAGCACAGTTTAAACAGTCAGTTACCTTGGGCCTGCCAATAAACTATTAAATAATCTCATATATCACACGGAGAAGCCACTCTCCCCAAACATGATAATTATTTAAAATGAACCCTTGTTCAAGGAAAGTGTTTTACAGAAATTCTACACGGACCTGTTTAAGGTCTCCATGGCAAGATATGTGTTAATTTACAAAATTACTTTTTTTCAATGAAATTTATTGCATCGAGAATGCAATGCAAATTGTTCCCCCGGGGACCGTGACCGGATGTTCCTGCATCTGAAGTGTCACGTGTCGAGGGGAAGTACCCAACCCTGACCTCCGTATTCGAAGGCGCAGATTCATCTCCACGAGCTGAGTGTCTTGACATCCGTACAAAGTGGTTCAAGCGTCTTCCATGGTCTCTTTTTCCATCTGAATTTACACATTTCTTCTCCATCACAGAGTTAAGCTCCTTTCTTCTTGGATCGTGGCTGCTTGGAAGATCAACGGCCGAATGGCCTTTGTAATTAGCTTCTGAGTTGCCGTACGGCAAACAAAGCCAGCGGTTTAGTGAACTGTCGCTTGGTTCTTCATGCGGAGGAGTTCGCACTTGTCCTTTTGTCTGCGCCATATGAGAGAAGACTTGGTCAGTCTCTCGAGTATATTTCTCGCTTAGCAAAATTCCTAACTGGCTTCTACAGCACAGACTTTGCTTCCTTTCATCCGCCAAGTTTTCTCGTAGCATGTTGTTATTTTCCCTCACTTGGACCACTGTTCGCTGAAGTCTAAGGATATGCTGTACTGCCTGTTGCAAAATAGCTGCCTTTGTTTGCTTTTTCTCTGTTGGGGGAAGCAGTCTTTTCAAACTGGTGAACCCCAAATTAATGTTCTGCATTCTCCTACGCTCGATCATGTTGGCGTTCAATCTTCGTTCTTTGTCGGTGTTTCGCACGCTGCATTTTAAAGATCTGCGAATGAAAAAAGGAAAATGAATGAAAAACGAATGAATAGGAAAAATTACTAAATATAAATTAATAAGAAAGTGAAAAAAAAATAAAGTATTTACGTAGTCATGATGCAATACTACTACAATAGTCGATTTGTAAGCTTCTGAAATGTTCTAGAATAATTTGGAAATGTATGGAAGGACTTAGTCGTGTAGAAGTAGTAATAGTCGTCGTTGTTGTTGTTATTGTTGGGAGTGACCGACTATTTGGAATGCTATACCGAGGGAGGGCCACTATAGAAGATTTCAAGGAACTTTGTAGAGACATGTGAGATTGTGTTAGTGGTGAGCTAAGATCTAGTTCGTACTGGGCTTCAATAAGTTTATTGAGAATAATTACTGTAATGCCTTTAGGAATCGCTGCTTAGTAAGAACATTACAAGTTATTCAATAAAGTAGTTGAGGTCATACGAGGCGGTATGGTGTTCTTTCTGTCGGTTAGATTATACCGTAACAGATGAATCTATGGAATTGCTCTTTTTGATCGTAAAAAAAGGGTTCCGATCGAACTGTTTGTCAAATATTATGGCCAACCAAGTAAACTGGTCTAAAACAAATCTGATCGAAAAAATTCTTTAAAGTTTCACACAATTAAAGATTATCTGAGGCGAGTTACTGAGCAAAGTTAAATTCCGTAATTTAAATTTGTATAGCGAGTAAAAAAGTATGGAAACTCAACGATCAATCCAGTTGGAATTTTTAAAAGAAAGGATATATTTTCCAGTTTGTCTGCAGACAAAATCTATCTTAATTTGTCAGGCGACTGTAAGAAGAAAAAACACAGCTTTGCACGTGAATGTATTCGATTTTCAACGCGAATCGGGCCTTTATGTCCTCTTTCGAATCAATCATACCCTGAAATCAAACGGCCTCGCCATATTTTACTATCATATGATAAGTCCAGGGGCTGCTGAATTCGGCCGTACGCCGTTCAAGTCTTGCGAGCGAACAGTTAAAAATGCTGACGCAAAATACCTTTTCATGATTTCCTCGTCGTATTCTTGGAAATCCATTCTTCTTTCAAAAATCCCCGGCTTGACTTGACCACGAGCAATACTGAAATCACCGTACAAATTCGAACGTTGTAAAGAAAACCTTGGCACAGGTTATGCATCTAGATTACACTAACATTTTATTCAAGGCGCGCTAGCGAAAGCTGCAAACCATCACGTTGCGCAGCGCATAAAAAAATTATGCAACATTGCCACCAATTTTTTTCAAGATGCAAAATATTCAGTGGCACAAGCGATTTCGCTTGCCATTGGACGTAAAGCTGTTTTGCCGTCACGTTGAACCATATGCACGCTTTCAGGGCGTAGAAAAGTGCGACTTCTTTTCTCCCAGCGCGAATTTATTAATCGCTAGAGAGAACGGGTCACTACTGACGTGAAATTTCCATAAATAGTTGCGCGAAGGGACCACTCAATGCATACCGCCTGAGAGGAGGAGGGGTCGGGGATTTTTGTTGTGTCACAATAAAATTTACCTGATCCTCCCCTAAAATTTTGGAAAATTCTAATGGTCCCCCCTGTTCTAGAAGTCCTTTATACATCTTTTTAAAACTCAGCCAAGTGAAAATATTTGGTCTTTTCACGCATAACGAATAATATTCAAACCATCGATCCATATAAAGTCCAATGGCCGGAAATAATCACGCAGAAAAAATGATTCATGAGTCACGTCTAATTCAGCTCTTCATTCACTCAAGTAAAAAAGAAATAGTTCATGAAAAAATGAAAAGATCTTCTAATTTAAAACACGATGTAAGAAGAAATCATAACGATTCTTGAGAAAAAAAAACCCGCCCAATCATGCTTCACATAAAAAGTTAAGGGGAATGTTGAGAAGGGCCATCTTTGCACTAGAAAGACCTGGGAACGAGTTACATATTCACCGGCAATTACGAGTGAAGAGGCACAGACAGAAGCATTTTGCATACGATCAATAAGGTTTTTCAGTTTGCACAGTTGGTATTCTCAGCATTCTTGGTGTGATTTGTGACTGTTCGAGAATGGCAACATGGCAAGTGCGTATGGCGACAGCGGACGATGTTCCAGAAATTTTGCGAATGATAACGGTAAAGAAATAATCGTTAATTTGATGCGCTGGGGTTGCTAAGATTCTGAGATTCTTCAGGACACATAAATATAATTTTGCTTTTGAACGAGCACGTTAAATTCTTCTTCTTACATAGGACTTAGCTGTATTTGAGAAGCAACCAGAATCAAGAGTTAAACCTACTGAGGAAGGTAAGATCCACAACGTGCACAGAAACTCTCCACACTCAAACGTGATCAGTATGCATATTCCTTCTTCATTTCCTAAGGCGCTGAGAAAGAGAATTTGTTTAACAATCAAGAGCTTGTTTAGTATGTGATCATTTCCTTAATTCTCATGACCTTAGTGTTTGATTCAGAAGTGGTAGATGAAGGAGAAATGAGATACTAGTCTTTGATTTCTCTGTAACTGAGAGGTTAAAAAAGCTGCAAAAGCAAAAAAAACTTATCCACCCTTCCCCACCAACTGATCCCTTATGACTCCTCTGCTGATCTCCCCTTAGGAATTATAACAAAATGATAATCTGATGAAAATAAGCTTTACAGGACTTTTAACCCTTTCACCTCTAAAACTGACCAGCATGAAATTTCTCCTAAAAATATTAGCCCTGAATCAAACATTGGTGTAACAAGAAAAACGCAAATGATCATCAAACAAAGAAGATCTTTATTTCTAAACAAATTCTCCTTGTCAACACCTGAGGAAATGTATAGCAAATAGTGGGGAGAAAATACATACTGATGTTCAGTGTGAAGGGTTGTGAAGAGACCCTCTAAACTTTACAATCTGGTCAAACAAGAGATTTGTTATGTATCTGAAGAAATTAAGAATCATCAAGGAAAGAATTAAGGATTCAAGGCCAGACACCGTTGCACTCTCTCCTGATTATTTTTTGAGTTCTCAAGACTAATAGAGTACCAAATGATTTGTGACAAATTATTCACACACTGCAGACAACAGATCTATCATTACTTCACAAATTGCACTAACTTAGTTATAGAAACAATTAACAATTGGTTTATATGTAAGCTTGCATTCATCAAGATATGAAGCACGTGGGAAGTTTGGAGAGCACAAAAGATGCCTAAGAGTTGCTTCTTGAGTGCTCTCCAAACTTCCCACGTGCTTCATATCTCGATGAACCTGATGGTTTGCTGATTTGATTTGTTTCCTGACGTCATGAGTGTGCACAATAGGAATATGAAGCATGCTCGCACAATTGAATTTGATTAGAAAAATTTACTAGCTATGTTATAAAGAGTTTTTGAGCATGCTACAAAATTTTTTCTATCTTGCAGAAATGCAGAGAGATGGATTTGGAGAAACACCATGGTTCAGCTGTCTGATAGCAGAAGAGGTGAACCCCAGTGAAGAAAAAAACTGCAGCTTACCAAGGAAAAAGGCTGTTGGTTATGCATTATTTTTCAACATTTATTCCACCTGGGAAGGCCGATCTCTCTATTTGGAAGACCTTTATGTCGACTCAGCTTTTAGAGGTGAACTCTTTGATCAAGTTGATTCCCTGTTACTTGCATAATTTTTTTTATTCCAAGCAAAATGCTCAGGGTCTCTTAATGTTCACCATTTTTGGAGTGGTAAATTTTCTTGAAAGAAAGAAAAGAGCACATTGTTCAAATTTTTGCTTGATAGGTCACATAGCTGTACTTACCAGCCATCAATTTCTTATTTTAAATTGAATTACATCAAGGTGAAGGTGAAGGTGTAGACAATTTTTAAAATTAAATATACTCTGAGAGAAGACAAACAAAGATTAGGTGATTTTCCAGCCATGAAATGTTTATCTTCCTTTAATGTGCGAAAGACCATAAACACCCTTACTATTTGATTAAGTTATACAGCTTAACCCTTTAACTCCCACAAGTGATAAACATAAAACTTCTCCCTACAATAACCCTAAATTATCCAGCAAACAGCTAATGAGAATATTCAAACTTATCAGGTAGAAGTTGTTATCTTGATCTAACACCAAATTCTCATAACTAAGTTTTAAGGATATGTGAAGCAGCCAGAGGGGAGATTTAACAATCAGATCTTGGGAGTTAAAGGGTCAATACATAATTGACAAACACAGGTTGCCAGATAAGTGACTCACTGCAATTTGGTTAGAGAACTTTTAAGTGCTGTTCTCTGATGCAGCAGTTGGCTTGTTCCTCTGTTGACCCGAGTAGGTCAAATCAGGGATTGTTGATGGGTGTCATATTATAGCTGCATATTTTTGTCATTTTTTTTTTTTATTTCCAAATTTTGTTCTTTTTTCCATGACAAATACAAGTCTGAGCTCAAACCACTTATAGGGGTACACATGAAGCATTTGTTACTTGATAATTAGCACCTAAAGACATATTCAATTTGATCTTTTGGACAGGAATAGGAATTGGAAAAGAGATGTTGAGAAGAGTGGCTAAAGTAAGTTGAATTTTTTTTTTTACAAATTTCCTGTTTTGGTAAATTTTAGAGAGCCATGTTGCTAAGCTTTACATCTTGGTGATCGAAGAGATACCTGTGTAGTGTGGTAAAAATACAAACTGCTAATTATTTTTCCTTATTTCAGATTGCTGTTGAGAAGGGTTGTGCTAGGGTTGACTGGAGTGTTCTTTACTGGAACAAAATTGCAAGAGATTTCTATGACAAGCTCGGAGCAGTGTGCTTAGATGAATGGCGTCTGTATCGCCTAACTGGACAAAGTTTGCTGGATTTTGCTGGGAAGGAACTTTTGTAGTACAACTATACCAGTAGGCTTGTAAAATTCTCTGGTGGTAGATTCTGAATTATTATGAGTGAACACTGAAGAATCAATCAACTACATACAAAAAGCTGTTTCCTTCTGGACCATTGAAGATTTAATGACACAAAGACTACTGGTTACACTAACAAGATTAACAAATTTGGATCAATGACAGTTTCTGAGCAACTGAGTACCTACCCCTCCCTTAACCAAACATTAACCCTAAGTTGTTATCAGTTGACTGTCATTGGGTTAGGGGAGGGGTAGGTGGGCAGTTGCTCAGAATCATCATCAGTCAGCAAGGGGGGCCTTGGGAGAGGAGATACTCTGTCACTCCCGTTTTAATTTTGAGTCTCGATTTTGTCGTGAAACAAAAGCGATGCAGCAATCGTAAAACGAGCGGACATCTTCATTAACGAGGAAGTTTCTTGTTTTGTTTCACACTGAATCTCCAAGCTGCAACTTTTCTGTTGCGTGGTTTAAGAAATTTTTCAGAAATAAAAGCTTGCTCTTAGTTCTTGAGCAAAACGCTTTACTTGAACTTGCGATTGATTTTCGAGGCGGCAAGCTTTGAGGTTTGTTTTCATACGACGAATTACTTCCTAATTGCGAGTTGTCAATACATGACGGAGGTTACCGAAACTGTTCAATTTTCTTTAAATAGTATTGAGTATAAGGAGTCCAAACGACGCGAAATGGCAGCTGGTTAATTTGAAAACTACTGCGGGATATTTTAAGAGGGGTGATTTGGAAAGAAAGCTTTCGAGCACAAAAATAATGAAACACCGCCCGCAACTTTTTTCGAAGTTGGTACAAAAAGTTGATCGCTCTTATTGAATCTTCAAAATACCATTAAAAGCGGAGTAATTCTCTTTTATTGCCAGTTAAAATCGAATCGCGATTCTTGCTTGGCTTCGTCTTAAAGCAAGAAGTAAGTCAAATGCATCATGAATTGCCCGGCATCATGAGAAAGTTGTTTACATCTTGCTCACGTCAGTCGCACTATGTCTACCATAAAAATTAGTTCCTCTCTGTTCCTCTCATCTTAAAGGGCGGTTTTTTGCGCCCTTAACATAAAAATAAAAAAATTTTAGAAAATTCACGAATCAATTTGTTTTTATTTTTCTTGTTTTGACCAGTCTTAAATGACAAAAGATAACGTACTGTCTTATCTCATTTTTTCAAAGACCATAAATTGTTTCATGGCTTTTATTTATCCATATGAAGTCCAATGGCTGGAAATTCATCACCCAGACAAAAAAAGGTGCGTGAATCCCATTTAGTTCAGCTCTTCAAGTACAAGTCATGTTCAATTGAAAAAGAAGTAGTCCACGTGGACATGAAAAGACCTTATCATCTTGAACACGCTTCTTGAGAAAAAAAGCCCGCCCAATCATTCTTCGCATAAAAAGTTAAGGGGAATGTTGTGAAGGGCCATCTTTGCATGAGAAAGACCTGGGAACGAGTTACATATTCACCGGCAATTACGAGTGAAGAGGCACAGACAGAAGCATTTTGCATACGATCAATAAGGTTTTTCAGTTTGTACAGTTGGTATTTTCAGCATTCTTGGTGTGATTTGTGACTGTTCGAGAATGGCAACATGGCAAGTGCGTATGGCGACAACAGAGGATGTTCCAGAAATTTTGCGAATGAAAACGGTAAAAAAAGAAATCGTTAATTTGATGCGCTGAGGTTGCTAAGATTCTGAGATTCTTCAGGACACATAAATATAATTTTGCTTTTGAACGAGTACGTTAAATTCTTCTTCTTACATAGGACTTAGCTGTATTTGAGAAGCAACCAGAATCAAGAGTTAAACTTACTGAGGAAGGTAAGATCCACAACGTGCACAGAAACTCTCAGAGATTCCAACCCCATGTGATGGAAAATAGGGAGTAATTATTAGTGCCAAAGGCGCGAGCTTCTAGGGGGGTCAGGGGGCATGCCCCCGGGAAATTTTGCAAATTTAGGTTCTCTCAAGTGCCATTTCCTGAATTTTGACATCATTCCGGCCTGAGTTATAACATACCATAATGCTCTTCGCGAAGAAAGTAAGTATAATATGAGTGTTTCACAGTGACAGATCGCCAAAAATTCTAAAGATTAGCAATTTCCCCCTAGTTTTCAGAATTTTATGATAAATCGGGAGAATTTGGTAAAAATCGGGAGAGCGGGAGGCAAGACATCAAATCGGGAGACTCCCGATCAAATCGGGAGGGTTGGAATCTCTGAACTCTCCACACTCAAACGTGATCAGTATGCATATTCCTTCTTCATTTCCTAAGGCGCTGAGAAAGAGAATTTGTTTAACAATCAAGAGCTTGTTTAGTATGTGATCATTTCCTTAATTCTCGTGACCTTAGTGTTTGATTCAGGGGTGATACTGTGAGGAGAAATTAGATGCTAGTCTTTGATTTCTCTGTGATTGAGGGGTTAAAAAAGCAGCAAAAACAAAGAAAAAATTACCCACCCTTCCCCACCAACTGATCCCCTATGACTCCTCTTCTGACCCCCCTCAGAAATTATTAAGAAATGATAATCTGATGAAAAATAAGCTTTACAGGACTTTAAACCCTTTCACCTCTAAAACTGACCAGCATGAAATTTCTCCTCACAATATTAGCCCTGAATAAAACATTGATGTAACAAGAAAAACAAAAATGATCACCAAACAAAGAGGATCTTCATTTCTAAACAAATTCATCTTATCAACACCTGAGGAAATGTATAGCAAATAGTGGGGAGAAAATAGACACTGATGTTAGGTGTAAAGGGTTATGAAGAGACCTTCTAAAAATTTACAGTCTGGTCAAATGAGATTTATTATGTATCTGAGGAAATCAAGAATCACGAAGGAGCGAATTAAGGTATCAAGGCCAGAAATGATTACACTCTCTCCTGATTATTTTTTTTGAGTTTTTCAAGACTAATAGATTACCAAATAATTTGTATTAAATTATTCAGTTCACACATTGAGGCAACAGATATGTCATTACTTCACAGATTGCACTAACTTAGTTATAGAAACAAAGAATTTTTGAACATTTTGTCTATCTTGCAGAAATACGAAGGGATGGTTTCGGAGAAACACCATGGTTCAGCTGTCTGATAGCAGAAGAGGTGAACCCCAGTGAAGAAAAGAACTGCAGCTTACCAAGGAAAAAGGCTGTTGGTTATGCATTATTTTTCAACATTTATTCCACTTGGGATGGCCGATCTCTCTATTTGCAAGACCTTTATGTCGACTCAGCTTTTAGAGGTGAACTCTTTGATCAAGTTGATTCCCTGTTACTTGCATAATTTTTTGTATTCCTAGCATAATGCTTAGGGTCTCTTTGTTCACCATTTTTGGGGTTGTAAATCTTGTTGAAAGAAAGAAAAGAGCGCTTTGTTCAAATTTTTGCCTGATGGGTCACATAGCTGTACTTACTGGCCATCAATTTCTTATTTTAAATTGAATTACATCAAGGTGAAGGTGTAGACAATTTTTAAAATTAAATACACTGGGAGAGAAGACAAAGAAAGATTAGGTGGTATTCCAGCCATGAAATGTTTATCTTCCTTCAATGTGGAAAAGACCATAAACGCCCTTACTATTTGATTAAGTTATACAGCTTAACCCTTTAACTCCCAGAAGTGATCAACATGAATCTTCTCCCTTTGATATCCCACCATTATCAAGCAGACAGCTAATGAGAATATTCAAACTTATCAGATAGAAGTTTTTATCTTGATCTAACATGAAATTCTCATAACTAATTTACAAGAATTTGTGAAGCAGCTAGGGGGGGAGAATTTACAATCAGATCTTGGGAGTCAAAGGGTTAACACAAAATTGGCAAACACAGGTTGCCAGATAAGTGACTCACTGAAATTTTAATTTTCAAATTTTATTTTTTTGCCATGACAAATACAAGTCTGGGCTTGGACCACTTATAGGGGTACGCATAGAGTATTTGTTACCTGATAATTAGCACCTAAAGACATATTCAGTTTAATTTTTTTGACAGGAAAAGGAATTGGAAAAGAGTTGTTGAGACAAGTGGCTCAAGTAAGTTAAATTTTTTTTTTTTAATATATTTCTTGTTTTGGTAAAATGTAGATAGAGGTTGCTAAGCTTTATATCTTGGTGATAGAAGAGATACCTGTGTAGTGGGTTAAAAATAAAGACCACTGATCATTTTTCCTTATTTCAGATTGCTGTTGAGAAGGGTTGTGCCAGAGTGGACTGGGGTGTTCTTTACTGGAACAAAATTGCAAGAGATTTCTATGACAAGCTTGGAGCAGTGTGCTTAGATGAATGGCGTCGGTATTGCCTAATGGGACAAGGTTTGCTGGAATTTGCCAGCAAGGAACTTTTGTAGTACAACTATACCAGTAGGCTTGTAAAATTCTCTGGTGGTATATTCTGAATTATCATGAGTGAATACCAAATGACAAATCAACTACATACAAAAAGCTGTTCTCTCCTGAACCATTGAAGATTTGATGACACAAAGACTACCTGCTACACTAACACAATTAACCCTTCAAACCCCAAGAGTGACCAGCACCTAATTTCTCCAAACAATATCATCCTGAATCAAACATTAAGGTCATGAGAATGAAGGAAATGATGTTCAACAAAAGATGCTTTTGATCAGTAAACAAATTCTCCTTGTTAGTCCCTCAGGAAGTGTATAAAGAAAGGTATAGAGAATATGCATGATGACAGCATGTAAAGGGTTAACAAATTTGGATCAATGACAGTATCTGAGCAACTGAGTACCTTCCCCTCCCTTAACCAAACATTAACCCTAAATTGTTATCAGTTGACTGTCTTTGGGTTAGGGGAGGGGTAGGTGGGCAGTTGCTCAGAATCTTGTCATCAGTTGAGCAAGGAAGTGTAAAATGAGGGGGCCTTGGGAGAGGAGATACTATATCCCTCCCAGTCCTCCTAAGAATCCCTTCCTGTGGCTATCTATCCCCATTCCTCATATTTTTTGGGAATGATATATAGATTTAGCCAAGCCTAAAAGCGGAGCTCGCATTTTGTTTTTCCCGCACGTTTCAAGGGCACAACGCCTTGCCCCGGCCAGGAGTAGAACCCGGGTCGTCGGACTCGGAGCCCAGTGCACTGACCACTGGACTACTGGAAAAAGCCCGCGGTACTGTTGACCACGCATGCTAAAAGTAGCGCCTTGTAAGGTCGTATGGTCGTACATCCAAATTTTTTCGGCTTGATGGGTTACCACTATTTTGTCTAATTATGGGGCTTCGCTCTGCGAGCTCCGCTATAATTATGTAATAACATAATATTTAAATATGTTGGTCTCCATACTGTATGATTTTATGCCACTATCTGGGTCTGTATAATTCTTAATAAAGAAACCACAACTTTTAGTTTGCAAGACATGTTTCGACATTCTTATGTCATCTTCAGTTGTAAATGCGATTTTAACGGTTGTACATTTGAATTTATATGAGATTACGTTACAAATTACGTCATATTGCCGCTTCGAATTACAAAATTAAGATCAAAGAGGCATTGCATATTAAGTGGGACAAACCCATCCTTAATCAGCAATTTAAGCATCTAGAGTTGTCTCTTTCCTTTTGATTCTGTCATCATAATAATTTTTCTTATTATGATCATTATTTTTCTTTTCTCCTTCTTTCCCCATCTGGCGCGTGCTATGTCACGTTTTTTCGTATTTAATATTCAAATTGTAACGTAAACAATATGACGTAATTTGTAACGTAATCTCATATAAATTCAAATGTACAACCGTTAAAATCGCATTTACAACTGAAGATGACATAAGAATGTCGAAACATGTCTTGCAAACTAAAAGTTGTGGTTTCTTTATTAAGAATTATTGCCACTCTGCTGTCTTTACGTCCGTCTGTATAATTATGATATTTTAGTAATTATATAAAAAACTATATTTAAATATACTAACTGTAAGAAATTATGCTGTTAGGTAACAGCTTAAAATCTTACTTTTTCATTTGGTTTTTACTTTCCTTACTTATGAGATCCAAAGCAGGTTACTCTGGTAAATAGCTACTTACCAAACAGAGCAGGGTCTGTAGGTAACCGGTCAAGTCGCCCGAAGTTATGTCGCCCGAACCCTGAGTCATGTTGCCCGAAATTTAGTTATGTCGCCCGAAAAAACAAATATTGAAAAGATCAGAATTTCAGACTGTTAATAAGCAATAACGTTGACAATTTTTTTATCACTAAAGCGCTCTTTGTTTCCGACAACACCATGAAGATTCTTAAAGGGTTGTTCGTTTGGTACGTACTCGTTTCTTACTCACGGACATTTCGTAAGCTTGGGAAACTCTTTCTTGTTTTTTTAAAATGCTATGAAGACTTTGACTACACAGAAATCGATTGTATGGTCAGAATTGAAATATGTTTGAGTGACGACTCTAAAAACGTTGTTCGTTTCTAACAACAGAGGGAAGCGTTGTTCGTTTCTATAACAACAAATGCATGTAACGTTCTGCTGTGTTTATTTGTGGCTTTCTTGACAATAACAGATGAAAACACCTGGTAAACGAATTTCGATTGTCGCGTTCGACAAGTCGGTAAAAGGTAAAACGAGTAACATACAAGTAAAATTAACTTGTTGCCTTGCGTAAGGTAAGTGTGATATTTTCAAGATAACAATCTATTGTTTATGCTTGGGACTCTTTTCACAGAAGTAGTCTGATAGCATCATTTCCCTTAGGATCAGAATAGGCAAAAATTATGTAGTTGTGCTCTGTTTCCTCTGGCGGTCGCATTTATATTTTGATTCGATCAAAGTATATATGAATAGGGTAAAGCTAGCTACAATACGAATACAAACTGATCAAAATGAGCATTCATCCTTGCATTGAGTGTGATGATGAAGTTAGACCACGTCACCAAGCCCTACAGTGCGACGATTACGGTCGATCATATGGCCTTTTTGACCATATGATCGATTTCTGTGTAGTCAAAGTCTTCATGGCTTTGTTAGAAACCAAGAAAATTTTTTCTCAAGCCTACGAAATGTCCATGAGTAAGAAATGAGTACGTACCAAACGAGCAACACTTCATGTTTTTGTTTGAAACGGAGAACGCTTCCCTTTGTTGTTAGAAACGAACCACGCTTTTAGCATCGTTACTCAAACATATTTTAATTCCGAACATACGATCGATTTCTTTGTAGTCAAAGTCTTCATGGTATCGTTAGAAACCAAGAAAGAGTTTCTCAAGCTTACGAAACGTCCGTGAGTAAGAAACGATTACATACCAAACGAACAACGCTGCATTTTGTTGTTGGAAACCGGCGAGCAACGTTTCCCTTTGTTGTTAGGAATGAACAACGCTCTAAGAATCTTCATGGTGTTGTCGGAAACAAAGAGCGCTTTAGTGATAAAAATTTCTCGACGTTATTGCCTATTAACAGTCTGAAATTCTGATCTTTGTGGTATTTGTTTCTTTGGGCGACTTGACTTTTTTTTCGGGCGACATAACTAAAATTTCGGGCAAGATGACTCAGGTTTCGGGCGACATGACTTCGGGCGAGATGACTCTCGGGCGACTTGACTGTATACCGGTCTGTAAGGTTATCAACCATTTCTATATGATGAAACTCGGTCAGTCATGTGATGCTTAAGGCAAACACTCGAAACTTCAGCTTTAAAACACGTAAATTATCCCGTTGCTGTAACCAAACCTGCGGCTGGTTTTAATTGTCAGTTCAAATTATATTATTGACAGGACGATTTGTCATACACAATTTTACAAGCAATTTTAACCCGTGCATTTTTAGAAGGTAGAGAGAATTTTTATCTTGCTGTAGAGACTAAACTTAAATGAGGGAAGGTGTTATCGAATAAGGCAACGCCATTTTACAACTGTGAGGCACAGAGGAGGTACATTTCTAATTTCGACGGTTTTGGTTTTGAAAAAACCCCGGCCTTCTTTAATATACTAATGTAATTTATGCACCAATTTCACTCATGAATTAGTGATTAACACACTTTCCTCCTGTGGCTACGTTATGAGAGCAACGAGAATAATTTTATGTAGAACCTCGTTTTATCTCGTTGGTCCAGTCCAATGGTTCAACAAGTTCTGTATGAACAACTGATCAAAATAATATTATCTTCTAATCATGGACCACTCTTTTCTTCCCTTATATACAAATATAATTTATGGTGCATTTTATTTTCATTTTTGTTTGTTCTCAGCGTTTTGCTTTGAAATGGAAATCACGAAATTGAACCAGCTGTCAAGTTTCCAGTCTTCATTCGGTATTAATCAATACCATTTGAATATGTCAATAGGAAACCTTTCTCTTTCTTCATTAACGAGGAAGTTTCTTGTTTTATTTAACACTGAATCTCCAAGCTAAAACTCTTCTATTGCGTGGTTTTAAGAAATTTTTCAGAATTAATAGCTTGCTCTTAGTTCTTGAGCAAAACGCTTTACTTGAACTTGCGATTGATTTTCGAGGCGGCAACCTTCGAGGTTTGTTTGCATGCGACGAATTACTTCCTAATTGCGAATTGTCAATACATGACGGAGGTTACCGAAATTGTTCAATTTTCTTTAAATAGTATTGAGTATAAGGAGTCCAAACAACGCGAAATGGTAGCTGGTTAATTTGAAAACTACTACGGGATATTTTTGGAGGGGTGATTTGGAAAGAAAGCTTTTGAGCACAAAACTAATGAAACACCGCCCGCGACTTTTTTTGAAGTTGGTACAAAAAGTTGATCGCTCTTATTGAATCTTTAAAATACCATTAAAGGCGGAGTACCTCTCTTTTATTGTCAGTTAAAATCGAATCGCGATTCTCGCAGTTTCATTTTAAAGCAAGAAGTCAGTCAAACGCGTTGTGAATTGCCCGGCATCATCAGAAAGTTGTTTACATCTTGCTCACGTCAGTCGTACTGTCGACCATAAAAATTAGTTCCTCTCATCTTAAAGGGCGGTTTTTTGCGCCCTTAAGCTGACAACTAAAACAAACCTTTTATATGCGACGTCGTAAATAGAGGTTTTTAATGAAAGTTGTGGGAAGCGCATCTAATCTGTAAACAGTGTGCTCGAGAAGCCAATGTCACCGCCTTTGATGAATGGCCAGAAGGAGATTCTCCCACGAAACGCAAATGGCGAATTGTTTGCCCTCTGGGCTAGTGAAGACTAAAGGAAAGAATTCCAGTATATTTTTCGGTAGGTTATCAATTGTATGATTCGTTTTCATTGTGGTTAACTTCGTCGATAAACTGTTATACCTTTTTGATGTGTGGTTTAAAAATTGGATCAACGAATCTTCATTCAAAATGATCCTGAGTTTGTGAAGCACACCCAGGAGGGACAGAAATGGGATTTTTTTATTTACTTTTCCCACAGAAAATTTGTTGGTCTGTGCCTCGTATTGATGGAGACAAAATGATCTGGTTGAAAATGAAAAGAAAAGAAAAAAGATGCTGAGGCCAAATTAAATTTCACACCAAATCAATCAAGCCAAAACACAAATTTGTAAATTTAAATATGACATATGCAAAACTGGGTTTAATAAATGAAAGCAGAAACAGATCCGACCTTAAAGATTTAAAAGATACTTCCGTGTTTTTCTCTGAAAAATATTGGAACTGTACCAAATTTCTTGAAATTTTGGCAAATATGATTTGGTAAAGCTTTGTGTGGTCATTTTTCGCAAAATCATTTCGTTTTGTCGAAAGCATTGACTCAGAGAGAAGGCAGCACAGATTAATTTAACGTCGATTATTGTGTGGCTCATAAATATGGCTTGAATCCAACAACAATATATTGTGAACTGGCATTAGCTAATTTACCAAATTATTTTGTTCTAAAGGAAATTGAAAATTGATGGAGTTGAAAAAAAAAAAATCAACATGCTTTTAAACCAATCAGAACTCTGGAATTCCCAGCAATGGAGAAAACAGCACGTGCTTAGCTGAACAGCTCTTAACACAAAATGAAATGTCTAACAAACGTTTTTATCTCATATTTTGCTTCAGGAGGTTCCTTTTGCACGAATAAAATTCTAGGAAAATTTACAAGCGTAAAAACTATATAATACGAAGACATATCACTGAGCTCTTTCCATCCAACGAAGGAATGAATCAAGTTATATTATTTACCAATGTTTGTTTGTTTTTTTTTCTTCGTTTTCTCTGTTTTCTGTTCATCTTCGTAAATTTTGGGAAATCTAAGCTTATTTATACGTTGTAAGGTTACTATTTTGTAGTGTTTTGCGAGCGATTTTTTTTTTAAAACGTGTGCTGAAATTACCTTTAGAAAGAAAATTTGGATTTAAGTTCCTACGTGCTGAAGAAAGCTGGTTTGTAAAGTAGGGCACTTTCGAGCAAGCTTTCGAAAGCCGAATTTCATTTTGAAGTTTCCCAAAATATTGCGAGAAATTGAGGAAGTTTGTTCAAATTTGGAAAAGTATTTTCTCGAACCTTTATCTCGTCTTTTTCCGGTCTTAACCTCGAGACAATAAAGGCGGTCGCACGAACTCCTTAAAAGTGATCTTAAAGAAACACGCTTAGTTGTTTACCTACAGATATCTACATTTCTAAGAAAAAAGAAAACAGCTCTATTTCGCTCGTGTTAAAAAGATCAGTCAACAGCTCTGGGTCAACAAGGGCAAATCTGTAACACGAGTGGTACATATACCTGTATGCAATCTTAATAAGCGGAATACGTAGCAAGCTGAAGTTACTGTCTCTGAAGTTAAGCCAATATCTGGGGATTAGATTTTATCTCTGGGCTCCGCACAAGTGCCTGTGAAGGTACATTTCTGTCATACTCGTAGTGAAATGCAATAACCGTAACTTCTGCCGGTGAGCTTAATTCAATTACGTTTTCTGTTGTTTAACTGTGCATAGACACGTCTAAAATCAAAAGTTTTCTATTTCCGGGTCCAAGTGCTGAATCGTTCGAAAATGCAATGATGTTAATTTCTGCACGTGTTTTTAACAAATTTCCTTTTCGCAGCTTCAAACACCTTGGCTCCGCTGAAATGTTTCATTTTGCTCCTGGTCATCCTGTAGTGAAGACAGAGAAAACGTGACAAGAAGTGGGCGAAATCTGACATTGCAAAATTAAGCTGTCAAGGCAAGTTTTTATGGTTGTTTCATGTCAATTTCAACGTAACTTTTTCCGCGTCGTCGACAGAGAAATGATTTTGTAAATTTGGTTTCTTCTGGTTTTTGTGGGCTTCTTAGAGCGTTGAAGAGGTTTTCTTTTCTAAGAATCACGCAAGCCTTGTTTTCCATCTCGGTCAACTTGGGTTTAAGACAGATACGAGAATTTGATCGGGTGACTGAAAGCATTTAACATGACGCAGGGCCGGTTTGACAGAATTTTTCTTACCTATTAAAATGGCTGATACGCTTGTTTGAAAATTGTTCGCTAGCTAAAAAGGCAATCGATTTTACAATATCAGCAACTAAGAATTTTTCCGTTCTGTAAAGTGATGAGATCAGATTTAACTGTAAGGCGACAAAGAGCCACTTTACTCAAATGTCTTGCCATTCAGCATAAGAAAACGGATACCGAAAGTATAGCGAGGTCACACTTCTAACGTCTTAAAATCACGTGTGGAAATGATGTGTATGTAAAGTTATGCTTCCAGTGCCTGACCTGCGGGTCTCGATATCTCAACCAACAAGTCCAATATCGGCGACCGCAGGTGTAGCGCCGAACCGCAAAGTTTTACTAGCACGTAGAAGAGTTTGCTGTTTACCAAAGTTTAGTTTCTTCAGTGGAAAACTTTCGTGGATTTCAGGATCTGAAACTAAGTAAGTTCTCTCAGACCAAATTTCAATATTGAAAGAGTTGTTTTCTAGGGCATGTGCGAATGTTCGGTGTTTTTTCAGTTGACTTTCAACTGAAATCTTCAAGTGTTATACTCCGCCGAAGTCACGTTACGAAAATAACAAAATTGGGACGAAAGAAAAGAATTATTTCAACTAGCTTTGTTCCCTTTTATTGCCCTATCATATTGAAATAACTCCGTTGCCACAAAAAACAAGCCAAATTTGTGTCCGATCTTCCTCAAAATAACTCCTATCGACTCGTTAAATTTAAATGATTCTCGGAAAAGTGTCACTTTCCGGCATATGCAAATTATTTTAGGTTTTTTTTAGTGGCTAAATGGATTTTCTAATCTCCAGATCTGGCAAAGTCTTAATACGCTTGGAATATTGATGTCTGTGTTTACAACCTACTAAAATGTTTATTATATATAATCCCTGCTGAGTTTATCGGTAAACAGGATTTGGGACAAGAACAAATCAAATAAACAAGTAGTTATCTGAAGCCAAATTTCGTTTCTTCAACTTATCATAAAATTTCGATTTCAAGTGTTGAAATCACACGATGTTTTAATTCGAGTGCAGTTCTCGGTTACAGTATTTCTTTAGTAAATTCATAGACGAAAGCGGAACTTGAACACCTGAAATCTTAGATGCAATGCAAAATTATTCCGCTTTTTGTCCGAGTTGTGATTAATTTTCATCAATAAATTAAAATATGAAAGGCCGTAACAGCTCAGTACTGTAGTCACCTATATTAGCCGCGACATGTTCGACACGAGAATTACGAGGGGTTGCTTTCAAGATCTATGAAGTAAACTTTTTGGCCTTGAAAACTTTTGCTCACAAACTTTTCAGTTAAGTTCTTTGCTAATTTTGCGTCATTTTCAAAACGATTTTTTACTACGATACAATTTTCATTAAATCGCGTGCTTATTGATTTTGGTTTGGATTAAAAAAAAATCTATGCTGCGGTAAAAAACGATAAAGTTATCTTTGAAATTGTTAATTGGTTTCAGAGCGAGCTCAGTTGAAACTGTTCCTATCGAATTTCGAAAATTAATGTCATAACTGAAATCCATCGTCTTGTTTGCTGTTACATTACACTGCCATTGAGAAGTTTCACATTCTCTGCGCTCGTAGAAGCCATGTAAACATCGTAGAAAAGCGATCAATCATTACAACAGCAGCTAAACTCGCAAAAATTAATCTACTGGGTAAACAAGTTAGTTACTCATTAAGATTCCGTACAATCTCGGCGGAAATTAGTAAGGTTATTGTTTTCTTTCTGTCTCAGTGATCTTTTTGTTTTGAAATCTTTTATTCTGAACTTTGGTCGCTATCAGATGTAACCCAAAATTTCCATGCGTCGTAAACAAGTTTACTTTGCATCAATGCAAAAGACGAGGAATGCGCTGATTTCTCTACAAATCACCTCTCTCAAAGAGCTATCAAATGCCTTTTTAGACCGGCAACTTTCTCGTGTTCCCTGGATATTGCAATCTTGAACATTATTTACAAACGAAAGCGTTACAGATGATGTTGTGTTGACAGAATTTAACTTGAGGTTACATTGGACAAACAAGCTCTCTTCGGAAAGACCTTATTTACAATTCATGATGTGTACTTCAGGTAAAACCCCCAGTTAAAGATTGAAGGTGGTAAGATTATTATAGCTCTCTTGATTGCATTTTTCGTCTTAGCGCGTTGAAAACTTTCAGTGATAACCCAAACAGCTCGAAAGGAGAATTCATTGCTCTCAAATTAAATGTCAGGCATTACATTTGGCAGACAAAAACTAAATCTCTGTGACCTTAAACTTCAAAGAGGCGGATAAGCTTTTGAATTTTCAGCGCACGAAATAAGGTCAAGGCTGAGGAGCAATCCCAAATACAGACGATCGGTTATCGATAACATCCCAGTCGACAGTAGTGAAATTTAGCGCTTTCGCAAGGTACTCCTGCTTTAATTATTTGGCATGTTTTGATTTATGCCGTGTGGCTTAAGTCTTTAGCTGAATGGTAATCAGCATTTAAAGCTCTCATACTTGCTGCTGATCGATGTAAGTTAACCTTTTTTACCTACTTAACGCCAGTGATGGTTTTAATTGATCTACTGATCACAGAAGGGTCAGCAGCCTGGGTTAGTAGCTAGAATAGAATTTAAGACATCAAATCGATTTTAGGACCTAAATTTTCATGCCCAAGTTTCCGGCATTTGAAATCTCTTAAAGCTTGTTTTGGCTTGCTATTACTTAACATTATATAGTCGCCCCAACCACATTTCAACCACATTTCGGATTCTTTAAAGTAAAATCTTTTCCCGTCCATTGTCTCAGAAATAACTTCGACCTTGATTAACTTAAGCAAGTTATTTTGTTATTTTAATACTCACGTACTTTTCGACACCTTCCAGAGACAGCGTAATTGTGAAGATCTAGCTGTCTAATGATGTTTGTTTTCTTCTCTTTTTAGGTGATTTTGTCTTCAGCGTCCAAATAAAACAGAGCTGATTTGCGTTTCAATGAAACGCCGACCAGTTTGGACGAGCAGCAACAAAAATATGAACTAAACAGAAACAAGACCTCTTTGCTCGAATTTAGTCGTGTTACATACTGCTATGCTTCCAAACTTCAACGGGTTTCCTTCTCGTCGATGTGTCAACAAAAACATCTTTACATGGTTCGTTAACATTACTTTGTTTCTTCTGTCGTTATCAAGCGTGGCTGCTCCTTCTAACAACCTGACTCATCACGATGGATCAAGTGAGCGAACGCATCGCGTTAGGGCTACATTTCCACCGCCAGAAATCGAACCAGATATAGTAATTGGAGGTCTTTTCCCAATCCATGCAAGAAACGTCAGCAAAAATGGTCCTCCTAAATGTGGCACTCTCAACATAGAACGGGGATTTCACCGTTTGGAAGCTATGATCTTTGCTGTAGATCAAATCAATCGAAACCCCAATCTTCTTCCAAACATAACTCTCAGTATGTCTGCCTATGACACTTGCGATTGGTACACAAAGGCGCTAGAAGAATCGCTCGAGTTTGTCATGGAGTCGCAATCTAAGACCATTTGTGAAGCAGGGAATAAGCCTGTTTCACCGGCGTCAAAGAAAAACAAAATATTAGCTGGGGTTGTCGGTGCGGCATCAAGCTCCGTTTCTATTCAAGTTGCGAACCTTTTGCGGCTTTTCAAACTGCCTCAGATAAGCTACGCATCGACCACGCCTGACCTCAGTGACAAAACAAAATACGACTTTTTCATGCGAACTGTTCCCCCTGATAATTACCAAGCCCGGGCAATGGTCGATGTTGTCCGGGGATTGAAGTGGACTTCCGTATTCACAGTCCACTCCGAGGGGATTTATGGTGAACGAGGAATCCGAGAGTTTTCGAACGGAGCAAAAGCCGCAAATATTTGCATCGCGGGTTCGTATAAGATCGAAGGCTCCAACAACGAGATGCAAATAAAAGACATCATAACAGATTTTGGAAGACATGAGCAAGTCCGTGGAGTGATTTTGTTTTGTACCGATACAGACGCAAGAAGGCTTCTCAGAGAGGTGAAGAGGCAGAACAGGGCCCAGCACTTCATATGGGTGGCAAGCGACTACTGGGGAACAAGAAAGAAGACCATCAAAGGCCTAGAAAAATATGCAGAAGGCGCCATAACTATTAGTCTGACGGAAGCCCTTGATCCAAAGTTCAAAAACTACTTTACTTCTCTTAAACCAGGCACAAACAGGACCAAGGTGAATCCCTGGTTTGATGAGTTTTGGGAGATGAAGTTTGGCTGCAGACTACAAAACAATGAAAGTTCCTGTTCTAAAAACTATTCCCTGGCAGCAAGCGATGTGCGTATCGATGATAAAGTGCCTTTTCTCATTGACGCCGTGTACGCTTTTGCATATGGTTTGGACAAGATGTACAAACGCATGTGTGAAGCACAGAACGGTCTTTGCCAAAGAATGTTAAAAGAATTCGAACGCAAAAACCTGCGCGATGAGCTTTTTAACTTGACTTTTACTGGAGTGACAGGCGCCGTAAGTTTTGATAAGAACGGCAATGGTCCCGGGCGATACGACATTTATCGCCTGGAACGCAGTCGATACAGAAAAGTTGCGTCCTGGAATGGGAAGCTGTACAACGCAACGAGGCTTTTTCAAGGAGGCAAAAATGGTACGATTCCTTTGTCAGATTGCAGTTCACCGTGCGAGGCCGGGTATCGAAAAATTTTTGACAAGGAGGGATCTTGTTGCTGGAACTGCGAACGCTGTGCGGAGGATTATTATGTAGAAGGTAATCACCACGTGATTGGTCTGTGTTTGTTTATATTTTTGTCTATTTGTATGTCTGTTTGCCTGTCTGATGGTTTTTAGGTCTGTCGGTCTGATGGTCTTCAGGTCTGTCTGTATGTCTGTCTGATAGTCTGTGTGTTTGTCCGTCTGATGGTCCGTGTATCTGATGGTCTTTAGGTCTGTCTATCTGTCTGATCGTCTGTGTCTGTCCGTCTGATGGTCCGTGTGTCTGATGGTCTTTAGGTCTGTCTGTATGTCTGTATGATAGTCTGTGTGTCTGTCGGTCTGATGTCTGTGTGTCCGATGGTCTTTAGGTCTGTCTGTATGTCTGTCTGATAGTCTGTGTGTCTGTCCGTCTGATGGTCTTTCTGATAGTCTTTAGGTCTGTGTCTGACTGTGTGTCTGTCTGATGGTCTCTCTGTGTGTCTTATGATCTGTCTGACAATCTACTTGTGTGATAGTTTTATTGCCAACCTGTATGATGGTCTGACTGTCTGTCTGACTGTGTGTCTGCCCAACTGTCTATCTGTCTGATGGTCTGTCTGTCTGCCTGATTGTATGTCTGTTTTTATGCATGTTTGTTTTTTTGTCATTTGTCTGACAGCCTGTCTTTTAATCGTTCGTCTTTCTGTCTGTCTTTCCGTCAGTTTAGGTGTCTTTTACATTATTTATTTTTGAGTTAAAATCGTTATTTGAGTTTACAATACTTTTGTAAGCTCAATGTGACTGTATTTGTAGGGCATGAGACATATCTATTAGCACAAAATAAATGAGCTTTACCATTTGGTGATTTAACCAAACATTGTTAAAACAAGGCTCTGGAGAATGAGGGTCGTATCGCTATAGAACGCCCTCACATAAAATTATTAAGATTTGAAACAAATGATACAGGAAACCGTTGTTTACTTGATTTTATACTTTTCCTTGTTTCCTTGATGGTATTCTATCTCAACTTGTCTTTCCATTTTGCCTACCTGCAAAGTAAGGTCCTCACCAAAATGGCCCTTGGACTGGGTTTGCTTGGTGAGCGGGGAAATTCCAAATAGGTTATTTCAGATCGGAGACCGAGATTTTATCGCAGTGATCGGGTTGAATATTCAAATACAGGAAATTTGTTTTTAGCCTGGTAACCGAGAAAAGCCCGAGATCTCTGTCGCTCGCTCAGTCCATATTCACGTTTTAAAACATCGATATTTTTACGACGAAAATAGAGAGACGAGGCTATATTATGAGAGGGGAGATATTTGAATCTGACCCGATCTTGTTAATCATGGTCCTATTACTCAGGCATACGTTGCTTTCAATCCGCAGATGAGACAAGTTGTAAACTGTGCCAAAAAGGACAACGGCCTAATGCCAAGAGGAACGGCTGTGAACCACTGCCTCGACGTAACATTGCCGGAAGCTGGATAGTTATGGTCATGTTATTTTCTGGCCTCGGCATCATGAGCACAATATTTGTTGGGACCCTATTCCTCATCAACAACGACACCCCTCTGGTGAAAGCCTCCGGAAGGGAACTGTCATGCACACTACTCTTCGGCTTGTTGTCTTGTTATACATTTTCGTTTTTCATGTTGGCCGAGCCTTCGCCCTCCATTTGCGCCATCCAGCGGTTTGGCCTGGGATTCTCGTTTTGTGTATGTTATGCTTCCATTCTCATCCGAACCAATCGAATCGCAAGAATTTTCGAGAGGAGCAATCGATCCACGAAACCTCCTCTCTTCATCAATCCAGCGTCACAGATTGCAATACTGACAGTTTTTGTCAGTATCGACATTGTGTTCTCAGTCATTGGTCTAGTAAAATGGCCTCCAGAAACAATCCTTGCCTACCCAACAAATAAAGACGTTTTACTGATATGCAACATTGAAGATTACGATTTGGTTTTCGCACTGACGTACAACGTCTTGATTATCATTCTTTGTACATTCTACGCCTTTAGAACGCGTAAAACGCCAGCGAACTTCAACGAAGCCAGATACATCGGATTTGCCATGTACACAACTTGCATCATTTGGGTGGCGTTTCTTCCCGTACAAATAGGCGTGAACAAAGACTACGCTACCATAACACTTGCAATTAATACGACTTTGAACGCCACAACTCTGTTACTGTGTATTTTTGGACCCAAGGTCTACATCCTCGTATTTAGGCCTACGAGGAACCTTCGAAGTAGGTCCTTAAATAGTTGGCGCGCACACGACGCTGAAAATGTCCCCAATACACAAGGTAGGCCTCTGGTTCAATTCATTTTTATGAGGTATCATTCGAGTCTGTAACTGCTTCGTTTGAATCAATGCTTATGGTGTGATACTAATGTCCCAGATCACACATCACTAAAAAGTTTGGCACTTTTCACTAGCTCACTAAAGCTGCAACAGCCTGCAGAACAAGCGTCTTTCGCTGTTTTTGTTTTCTGTTTTCTAATATACTCTATTCCAGGTATTTGGTCAGTTAAACGGAGCGATACTTACAGTAGCGCCTGAGAGATAAAACGAGAGAGGTTGACATGGACAGAGGTCAAACCCAGACCCCTCAAGAGAGAGGTTTGGGTCGGGTCGCGAAATAAAAACCTCCCGCGCTTCTTCACTCCTCTGCGAGGATCGTGCCGTTTACCAACGCACTTTGTTTTTTTTATCTAAACAGGCTAGTTTTTATATTATTTTTGTTGTTGTTGTTGCCTTTGTTCGATTGTCTTGTAGGTTTTTTTTCAGGAGACTGTAGGTACACGCAAGACGAGCGCGAGGGCTGCACGAGGAATAGCGCGGGAAAATGAAGCGCGTGACTATTCCGCGCGACTTCTCCTTCACGCTCTATTTACGTTTACTCGTCCGATAATCGCCCGGTCTGTTGGCTAAAACTGTTTAAGCAACAATTCTTGCACAACTGGGTTCATTCTTCGTTCTTTCCTCTGCTCTAAGCATCATTTGCCAGTTTCCTTAAATTTCTCTAGCTTTGAAATTACATTTAGACTTTTCCGCTGTGGCGTTGAAATTTTCGCACAAATAATTGAATTCTTATTTCAAACTGAGCCTACTAAACTAACAATAATGCATTCTTTATGTCGTACTAACCCACTCCTAGTAAAGCTTAATCATATTGAATGACTGTGAATGTATGAAAATCATATACGTTTTTTTATTCATCACTTTACGGGTTTATTTAGAACCAAAATAGTGACCGGCTCCCAATTGGCTTGTTAACTCAGTTGGTAGAGCACTGCACTGGCATTGCCGAGGTCATGTGTTCAAATCCCGCAGAGACCTGAGTGTAGTCCTGAGATGGACTGATGTCGGTAAAAGTGATTGACATTTTGAAAACCTGACCGGAAGTCATCATCATCTTCTTGAGTTAAATGATGACTTCCGCTCAAGTTGTTGAAACGTCAATCACTATGACCGACAACAGTTCTTTTCAGGACTACACTCACCCGGACGATCAGGCTACACTATATTACCCTCGAGATCAGACCATTTACTGTGACAAAACTATGTGTAATTGACGTTTAAATGAAATAAATGTGATTACATAATTTTCTTTGCTTGTTGCTGTTGCAGTTGTCTTGTGGCTTTAACCTTTAACCTTCTAGTACTGTTTCTTTCTTGAATTCGCGGTTTATGTGGTACTAACAACTAATCACTATGCGATTCGCTATGTGGTTCGTCCAGAAAACTCCCGCCGTTCCCTCAAGCAATCACAGCTTGGTCACTTGCGATTTCCCGCGCCTCAAGTAGTTTCCGTGTTTTATCGTGAGTTCTCATTGGCTGATCGTGATATATTTTTTCCTCTGATTGGCTGTTTTGATTACTGTGGTTTGGTTGTACGACTCTCAGTGGAAAAACGCTCTCACTAAAGAGTTCTGTGCGACTTAGTTGATAGGTCATCTAGTTGTGATATTTCAGAGTATCCGGTTCGAGTCCTCGTGTAACTCTCACGCCCGCGAGAAACGAACAAAATCTCTCTTTATTCAAATTAACCACCTTTAACGTGAACCTATCAAACTTACTGTTTTTTATTCTTTTGATATCAGGTCGCTTACAGTCCGACAACCAAGTCACCGACCCAAGCGTCAAGAGTGCTGTAACTGAGTTAGGAATCGATAATCTTACTATACCAAATGAGTTTGCGCAAGGCGAGGCCGCGTTGTGAGGAAATATCGCGGGCTCCGTCTCCGTATCAGTCTAAAGTCCCACAGTTTCTTGGGTAAGTTAAGTGGGGAAACTGTAAATCGACAGTGAATCTTTCACTCTAAACGCAACTCAAATACGCAAATAGAAGCTATAACTTCTTAGTTTCCGTCGTGAAGTCAAGAAATCTTTCCACAAGATTTTTGGAAAGCCCTAGCTCAACTTGAAGGAAAGTTAAGTCCACGTTTGCGCGAACGGCAAACTTCAAAAATTGATCACTTTCTTCTTGTTGTCAGAGGAAACGAAAGCGAAGTCCAAGACAATTTTTTTTTTCATTCCCATTTGCTTTAAGAATAGTTATAATTATAAAAGTAGATAGAAAACTTAGAATAAATTATTTTTATAAGCCAATCAAGAATTTTGCCGACAACATAACATCAAGGACGGCAAGCGCAAGAAAGCGCGCGAAAATCTGCGCGACCAATCATGGTTGATCTTTATTACCACTTCATTTGGTTGTAAAAGGGCGTCAACTTTTTTTCAGCCAATCACGGACAGGTGGATTCTTTTCCTTTGAAAAAGTAACTTTTTGATTAATTTTATTTAAAATTAACAACAAAATTTAAAATAATTGAGAAAAATCTTAGTTTAGTAATGTACAAAATCGAATGAAATTGTTTTCTAAGAGAGTTTATAGATATCATTAGCCTACGAGAAAACCCTCGTTACTCGTGCTTCGGTACATGCATTTCTTCGCCCGCCGGAAAGTATGAAGCCTGGAGCATAAGTGCCAGACTCCTCGCAAACCTCTCCCCGACTCTTCTCAATCTTCCCGTGAGCGGAGAAAAGCGTGCCTTACTACGCTTAAAATGAGGAGCTACTCGCAGGCTAAGATATCTGAAGTTTTATTGTTATCTCAAAGATAAATTTAATATTTTATTAAGTTATTAACGAGTATACGTAATTGTATTAAAGCAATTTAACTTATTCCGTACGTTGTATAAGATAAGCGCTATGTTCGTGTAAAGTTTTTAGGTGAGGTTGAAGCAATCGCGTTGTATATAGCTTTTTGGAAAACAAGTTACATTGCCTGGGTTAGCTGACGTAGTTTGTAATACAAAAAAAGAGATTTCTTAAATTTAGAAATATTTTTTTTTTAAAAAATTGTTGTAGTACTTTAAGAAGTATTCTGAAATAAGAAAAGGCAAAATAGTTCTTGTTAAAGTGGGCAATTTTTAATTGTGTCGAAAGTGAGCCGGAATTGCATTGGTTTTGCTTTACTACGCTCTGTGATTGGTCCAGAAAACTCGTGCCACTCTCTCAACCAATCAGATTCAAAACCTAAAACCAATCGCACCACGGTCACGCGCGTTTTCCCGCGCTTTATGCAGTTGACTTGTTTTTACTTTGCCTTTTCTTTGGCTCCTTGCGTTAATTTGCCTTGTTCTGATTAGCTTTTGTAATCACTTTAGTTTTTGTTCGACATCGCTCGATTAAAAAGCACTCTAATGTTGAAATCAACAATTCAAATTAATTGCGGGTTTGTTCAGCTGGTTGACAGGATAAAACTCCACGTCTTAAATTTGTCGTATTTTCGTGTGACATTTCTGAAACACTTTCTTTTAAAAGGAACGAATCATTCTTGCCCATGTTAAATTCACCATATGTTTCCAGTCTCAGAATTTTGTGAATTCAACGCTAGGCAACGCTATGTACATACGCATGCATCGCTGCATTCAAAATTACAAAATCTGATTCTTATTTCCCAGTCACTTGAAATAAAATAACATGAAACTTTTTATGATCAGTGATTTGTGGTATCTCATCACAAGTATTCTTACTCCTGGCCAAGTGAGCAGGTTATCATGAGCTGCCATCTTTAAATCTGGCCGCCAAACAAATAACAAGATAATTTGGTTTTATAGACTGAGTTGCTAATGGAAATTGGCCTCCCTAATGAGTTTCTAAGGCTGCCATTTTGAGTGTTAGCCCTTCATCATCTCCCTGACAAGGGGCTAATGTTTGCATGTTAGCTTTAGAAACTGTTTACAGTAGCCTATGTACAATATCAACTCATTTGAGAAAAAAACACATTAATTTGAAATGACCCTTACCAAACCTGCACCACAATTACACCCTTTCTCCAAAATCTAATAAGCCAAATGAGAGCCACATGAAATGATCGTGAAAATATCACCATGCTGAATATTTGGCCAATTCAAATGTATGATGCAGTTGCATTAACTTCAATATCTCTTTTTGCAAAAGGGAGGGTGTTAGCTCCAAAATTGGGGACCTTAAGCAAACCACGACGACAACGGCAACGGCAACGAAGACATGGAAAAACAAAAGATCTAATTGGCAGAACAATAGCTCAGCACCTGCGTTTTAAAACTTTGTACATTTCTTAGCCATCCTACGCAAAACAACAACGTGAATCACCACAATTTGCGTCGTCTGCGAACCGAAACCGCGACGGCAAATTACTTTAATTTCCATTTGGAACTCAACGCTTCTTTTATATGTTACACTGAAGTTGAGGTGTGGCGCCGCATGAGATGGTGAACACATGCAGCTATTTTGAACTTCTAATTAAAGGTAGAAATTTATTTTTTAATCAAAGTCTTCCTTGGCGTTGCCGTCCTGACTGCTTAAGGACCCTAATGTCATTGGAGGGGACCTGCATGGCTGTATACATGATGATGTGTCGAGAAAGTGTGAGGTGAAAGCAAAAATTGCAATCTCATTTCCCTGCTATGCACAAGGCAAGTCCGAACACTTTATTTGTGATAACTAGAAAATAATTCAGACCCACAGTAGAAATATTTTTGACATCTTTTTATCAATGACCAATACTGTAACATACCGCTTTTTCATTACAGCTGGCTAACTTCAGCAGAATTACATGAATTGCAACAAGGAAACTCAAAGAAAATTATCAAAGTGTCAACTGACTATCATTTTATTGTGCCACATTACCAATGTTGAGGGTAACACTCTATTATCAGCTTTTTCACAATCAAGGGCACATGATCTACTTCCATCCAGATGTGTTTTATTTTGGATGTTTTAAAGCCACTCACATACAATATGTCAAAATATTTATGTTTTTATTATATTTACACCTGTTTATTGTCTTTTCCTTGATTTTACATTTTCTTTTATTACTTTCCTTCGTTCCATCCACTTGAAGAAATTCTTCACCACAGTCTTGTTATCATCTTCATAATCATCTCTGTTGTAAACAACCCAATTCCCTCCCTTGACCACAGGCAACCTGGGGAGTGGGGGTAGGGAGTTCCCCACTAACTCAACATATGCCATGTTTGGGTAAGGGGAGTGGGGAGGGTTGGGAATTGTTTGAATTGTCACAAAATTGCCATATCTTTCTTGATAACGTTCCTTCAGTGTTGTGTAGAGTTTTTCTAGTGCCTCTTCGTTCTGTTAAAAAAAATACAATCATGATAAGAACAAGTTAAGAGACCACTAATTGAAGCTTCTGGGTACTAAGAGCCTTTCACTCCCATGAGTGACCAAAGCAGAATTTCTCCTTACAATAACAATACAATATCAAGCAGACAAGTGATGAGAATAAAGAAAAATATCAATTAAGGGATTATTAGTTGATCCAATACCAAATTCTCATAGCTTACATCATAAAAATTGTAAGGTAGACAGTAAGTAGAATTACTAATGAGATCTTAGGAGTGAAAGGGGTAAAGAATGCAAAGCTTCACACTGGAAGAGAAACAACCATGAGCCATCTATCAGTGAAATCATAGTCTTTCCTGGAAACACAACACATTGACACAGCCAGTACTCAAATTTTGAGTGCAAGAACCAGAGTCCAGTGCACTATCTGCTTGGCCATTAAATCTTCATTTCAAGCTTAAACCTGTTAACCCTTTTATTCTCATGAATGCCAAGACAAGAGTCTCTCCTACAAAATTGATACAATATCAAGCAGACAAGTCACAAGAATAAATAATTCTTTTGTTGGTCACTCTAGGACTAAAACAGTTGGACATCAGAAGAAGGAAGAAGAAACAAAACTCCAGGATTTTAGCACTGAAATATCTGTACTGCTTTACAAAATAAACAAACAGATTGAATATTTTCTTTCTCACCCCAAGCAACATATTTGAAGCCTCTTCTTTACATCTTTGAACATACTCTTCTTCAGTTAGCTCTGGTACAGGTAGAATCACTTTTTTGCTTCTTCTATTGATAATGCGCCTTGTAAGCCTTCTTTGCTCAGATTCTTCCTCAGTAAGAACAAACCCATCCTCAATCATGTCCAGATCAGGTGGTGGACGACGTCTCAGTGACAACATGACAAGCTAAAAACAACATACCAAAAAAAACAACAACTCAATAATAATAAATAATAAGTAATAATAAAACTATTGATTTAGCACTGGTATACTGATGTTCAGAGGTATTCTGTCACATTATAAAGATCTAAAAGAAACAACATGAAAAATTAATTCTATTTTACTTAATGTGGAACCACACTCAAGTCCTATAGTGACAGAATAGTTTGATAAGCTTTTCTTTAAGGCTTTCACCCCCTCACATCCTGACATCAACATCCACACTCTCCTCCATACATTTTCTCTGGTACTGATAGGGAGAATTTTTTTATCAATCAAAGCTTCTTAGGTTGGTGATCATTCCCTTTAATCTCACTCACTCTCACTGAGGAGAATTTAAATGTTGGTCTTGTACAAAGTGCTGCTGTGGAAGACATGATGATCCAATTGGTTGATTCACTGACCCCTGGAGAACCTATGAACTGAACCTGGGTTCAATCATTGCAGGCTAGGGTTATACAACAGGGGTGGGGAGAAAATGGAAACTGAGGTGGGGGAGTAGAGTGGGGTGGGAAATGCGGTAGCCTCGAAAAGTCAAACTTAACCAATCCTAAGAAATGGTTAAAATCGCACCTAATTAAACGCACTACATTTACCCTCACCAGTTCGGCATATTTCTTCAACTGCTGAGCCTTCCAATCTGTAGTTTGAATCCGTTCGTGTTGTACCAGAGCTAACACAAGTTTTTTAATGAAATCCGTGCGTCTTTGAACAAAAGGGTTGTTTCTTATCTTTGATGGCATTTTTCTTCGCACCCTAAAACGCACTGGTATTAAATTCACGCATGGAACCAGAGATCTAAGGAATGTTCCTTCACCGGCTACTCTCAGTAACATGGAAGCCATCTTTATCGTGTGGAAATCGCCTGGCTGCTCAGCAATTTCATGACCACGTTTTGTATGCCCAGCGGATTTATTGAAAATAGAATGCGCTGGCTGAGTTTTCGAGTTTTCAAGATGGCGGCCATTAGGACACGGCCATTGGAGAATCTGCTGAAATTTAAGCCGAAGAATAAGGAAAAGAGAAAGCATATTTATAAAAAACTCATCACTGCACTTGTGCAATATGAAAGGATAGAGACAACGCTAAACAAATGCCATGATCTATCACGAGTTGCTGAAAGAGTAGGTATCCACGCGGTACATAATGTGAATACCAGGGAAATGAAACCTTGTCAATCTCCAGGTTCTCCTCAATTCTCCCATTTTACTGTGATGTGTGTGTGTTTTTCCTCCATGGGGTCTATGAAAGCTCGCTAATCTTGCAATTATTTCTGTCTCTGATCATTCAAACAAAGTATTTCTCAAAGTGTATATCTTTTGGCAGACACCCATGTCTTTCGCGGTATGTTTAGAGTATGCAAGAGCATGCGGAGGTCTCTTAACCCTTTGACTCCCATGAGTGACCAAGAGAGAATTTCTCCTTACAATTTCAATACAATATCTCTCAGAAAAGTGATGAGAATAAAGAAAAATATCGATTGGGTAATTATCCGAATTACCATAATAAAAATTGTACAGACAGTAAGGAGAATTATTAATGAGATCTCGGGAATGAAGGGTTAACTAAGGAGGTCATTTAACATCTCAGGATCAAAATATTGCAGAGGGCAGCTAGAAAACCAAGAGGAAAAACTGCAACCAAGCAGGCATACGTTTTGAAGTTCAAGTTGGACTTGGTGAATCTAGACTACTAACAGTACATCTTTCTTCAATAGTCTTTCCCATAAAGTCACAAAAAATCAGGCCTAATAAAATTCACTTTAGAATGCCTTGTGGAACTCTTGGCATCAATTTTTTTTGGCTGATTTATATGATTTATGCGACAGACTTCACAGGAAAGGAGGGACTGCTTGTAGTCTATGGTGAATACAGCCAAATGCACTTCTGGACCCAAGTAGTCTCATTTTTTGTTATTTCTCATAGTAAATGGGGTATGTGAGTAACTTGTATTGAATTTTAATTTCAGATGATTGATCTTGCTAAAGTGGGAGATGAAGAAACAATTAACAGTTGGATTACAGTATGTGTCTCTAATTTACACTTAACATAGGGCTGTTAGACCTTTAACAGGTTACAGTGTTGCAGAAAAAAAACTTGAAATGGTCTAGAAATGCTGGAAACAAACTGGCAACTAAAAACCATTGCAAGCTTCTCTGTTCATTGATATGGTGTCTGTTTACAGTGCTTTACAAAGTGGTTTTTAATTCTTTGTCAATCGCTCTGACAAAGGGCTAACACTCGAAATGTCAGCCTTAAAACTCTTAACAGTGGTCAATTTATGTTTTCAACTCAGTTGATAACACTACAGGTGCTTTAGAAATTTACACCCTTTATTCATTTGGTTTTTAATTCATTGGATGAATATATTTGCAGAATACTGTGATGGTCTTTAATGCTGTTTTCCCTTTTTTTTTTTAACAGAAGAAAAATTTGATACCAAAGGTGTTTGGGCATCTCTTGCCGCGATACGAAAATCAAGTGAATGGTTACACGCGAGTATACAAAATACCACCACGAAAGAGAGATATGGCCAAGATGGGCATTGTGGAATTTGTTGGAAATGATCTGCCTCCTTTGTTACCATCAGAGGAAGAACTGAGAAAGTTACAACTGAAAAAACTGACAGAGTTGACCCCCAAGGGGATCCCCTCTCAAGGAACCCTTGTGTAAATTAACAACAGGGACCTGTTGGTTTTGATTAATTTCCATGGATCTACTGTTAATGCTATAATAAGCACTTCCCTAAGGAGGGGGGGGAAGGGCTCATGGGGTATCAATTTACAGGGTTTTCAGAATTGGGGGGGGGGAGAGTAACTGAAGTGCAGAGGTTATCATGGGGGGGGGAGCTACTTAATGGGAGTTAGTCCTCATTACATTATTTTTTCAGTCACCCAACTTTGATGAATACTGTGCATAGTATGCTCTTTCATTTTTTCAGTTGAAAAGCTTGAAATATTAAAAAACAGAATCTGACAAAGCCTCTCAAATACTAGTCTATTTTATTCTGCAAATGAATAACATCAGTTGAGATTTGTCTTGATAAACTGTCTTCTGGACAGCTTGTTTTTCCTTTTTTTGTTTTTGTTTTGTTCACTGTATTCAAAAGTTTTGGTTTATTATGGCTAAAAGAAATCAAGATAATGTTTTGCAAATGATGTATCTTAACCTTATGACCCCAAAGAGTGACCAGCATCTAATCTCTCCCTACAATATCAATGAATGTGAATCCCACATCATGGTCATGAGAATAAAGGAAATGATCACCAACTTAAGAAGCTCTTGATTGTTGGATAAATTCTCCTCGTCAGCACCTTAGAAAATGTATAGAGAACAGTGTGGAGAATATGCATACTGATGTTAGGGTAGAAAACGAATAACATCGTCCCAAAAATACTGCGAAATAGAATACCCGATATCTGAGTTAAATAGGTTTGAAAACAGCACCGAGGGAACCAGCTGTCGTGATGCAGCTGGTAAAACATTTAACACCATAAACATCGATTTTAAAACTGAAAATCTCGAGGTGTTTCAATTTGATGCATCCGCGCAAAGAACCTATATCACAGATCATTACCAGGTCCTTATTTTCAAAAACGAGTGCGGAGTGGCTTCAAATGATTGTGAATTGATATCCGATGCTCTTACCTTTCAAATTTAGACTTTCTAAAGCCCAAGCGCCCTCTAAATTTGTCACAAGTCAACCTAAAAATTCGGGAGTAACCTACATGTTAGTTTTTTAACTGAAATAGCAGAACTTTTCGTTCATTTAAAAAAAATTACATTACTACTTTAATTATCGACGCGCAGCTACACAACTGAAGAAATAAATCATTTCATGAGTCTTTTTCTTTGCTCTATTTAAATTTGGAACTATCACTGCTTTGTTTTGTTTTGTTATTCTTTTCTTTCCCATTTTTTTTTTTTGTTTTTCGCCAAAAGGGTTTTCTATTGTTCGTTTTACCGCAATAGTTCGTTGTTGTAAAAGTGCTTGCGGCTATTACTACACACATGCAATTTAGCGTATGAAAACCCTTTCAAACTTATACGATCCGAACTTGTGTACTTCACACGGATATTGAAAGGAATCGTTCCACTTAGCGTAGATGACTACTGATAATTTTCTTAATGGACTTTTCTACTGTCTCGTTCAGAAGTCAATAACGAAAGTTTCATTAAAAACTTAACACAATTGAGATTTCACTATCATCAATTTTGCCGAAGTCATTAACGTACTCAAATCTTGAAAGTGATGTTCTAAAAACGTGTGTTTTAACCTCAGAATTGTCCACAATGCGAAAATTTCACGTAAATGGACTAGACAGCAATCTTGTTGTTTGCATTTGCCCCGGAACCTAATAACTTTTAATATATCCTTGGTTAATTAAGTGCATAAGTATCTCGATAAGGAAAAAAAACATAAATTTATGTGATTCGAAGAGCGTCAAAAACATTCCCGCTGGCATCAGAGAACTAGAGGTTTTATTTGTAAAAACGAATTAAATATTGTAAAAAAGAATGGCTAGTTATTGATATTCAAATGATAATCTTCGACGGAGAGTAACCTTATAGTAATATAAGTAATATGCATAATTTATAAAAGAAATAGATCATGCTTTGTCTAGTTTGGCAGGTGTCATTTGTTTTTCCAGCGTCATTTGTGTTGGTTTTAGAGTGGCTTCCGGATATGTGGAAGTCTTAATGTGCGGCAAAACAAGCTTCTAACATTGAAAATCGAACGATCCTCCCAAACAAAAGAAGGAAGATCGCCTCTCAAGAGATTGAGGACTTTTCAAGGGGCGCGAAATCAGTGAAACTTCTTGTTGTTTTTTCGATGCAGTGATCAAGTTCAGTTTTTTCTTGCTAGACAATTCTTACGTTTACCGATGACGAAGCAGAAATTTCCCGCTCAGAGATGAACTGATGCACTTCTTTGCGCGAACTGATAGTGAAGCTTTTCCGTGAGCAGAGTAAGATAATCAAGGTAGAAATCACTGAAAGGTATAGCTTCCAGGAGCTCGTATTATGAAAAATTCAACAATTTTTCACAAGGATTGCTCCCAACACTCTTTCACTGTCTCAACAAGTTCTCTGATCACTATCCTTTCGCTGTCGGGAGTCTGTGGAATTGCAGCGATTTTTTTAAACATTTTGGTCATTTTGGTGATTTGTTACAAACCTGCGCTACGATCCATGACAAACTATTGGATTGTTTCCCTCGCCGTTGCCGATTTGTTGATTGCAACATTGGGTGTGCCAGTGTGGTGTTTAAAACTCCTTCAAAAGGCACACTTCATTGAGGAAAACGTGCATAACTTGTTCACGGTGATTGTGGTTTTGACACTGTCTGCTTCCTCGCTAAACCTTCTTGCGTTAAGTTACGACCGCTATGTAGGTGTCACTGCACCATTTCAATACCAAAGTAGACTTACCCCACGAAAGTGCGGAAAAATCATCGCAGTAATTTGGACCTCGTCCCTTCTAGTATCACTAATATCACTGAAAAACAACTGTGGCATATCAGGGCAGGGCCATTTTGCCCTCTTTATGGGCATCTTTGGTATTCCATTTGTGTTTATTTCCTATTTCTACGTGCGAATTTTCAAGGAAGCCAACAGGCAGAAAAGATTGATAAAAGTGCAAGAAACCCGCTCAAATCAGCACCAACCCTGTTTCCTGAAAGAATACAAAGCCGTCATGACTGTTGCTATGGTGACGGGCTCGTTTGCACTTTGTTGGCTTCCAGGTTTGATTGATTCGGCGATTCACCTTTCAGCGCCAAAATTTTGGGCCGACACTCAGTTATGGCTAGGTACAACTACCCTGGCTTGTTTTTCTTCAGTGTTAAATCCTATCTTATACTCTGTGCGGATAAAGGCGTTCAGAAGCACGCTCCCAATTACAACAATTTTCCCGAAGGTCAACAGAAATTCAGTCAGTATTGTCAGTCACACTGTTTGACAACTTTAAAGCGGGCTTCTTTGATGTAAATGAGAGTTATTCAGAGGTCAATTTAGTTAAGCCTATTGTAAAATCTCATAACTTGAGTATTGTTGTTAAACTAATCTTCCTTCGCAGTAATTAAACCTCTTTAGACCACCGTGCACTCTCCATTCAGATAACTGAATGTTTCATAACGAAATTTCAGTCATTTCAAAGGAGGGTACTTACGCACGCAACAATTATTTGATGCGGCACTTTTTGTGTTTAAAAACGAATAGCACCCACAACCTCTTAGGAATTACTTTTGAGATTTCTATTTTATCACAAGAAATTTGTCAACTTGGCTTTATACGGAGGGTAGCAAAAAGGGGATTTTGATTTCGTTTCACGCACGAATTTTAGAAAAATTCACGCGTCACGTGCACTTTAAAGAGTTTTTTCACGCATCACGCATTTAAAACGGAAAACTTCAAATCTCACCATACCACGCCTTTCTGTAAAATTCATTCTTCACGTGCACTCTAAATAGTTTTTCACGTCACGAATTTAGAAGGAAAAACTTCAAATCTCACCATACTATGCCTTTCTTTATAGTTCATGCTTCACCTTCACTTTAAACAGTTTTTCACGCGTCACGAATTTAAAAGGGAAAACTTAAAATCTCACCACACCATGCCTTTTTGTAAAATTCATGCTTCACGTGCACTTTAAACAGTTTTTCACGCATCACGAATTTAAAATGCAAAACTTCAAATCTCACCATACCATGTTTTTCTGTAAAATTCACTGGGTCGAATAGAGAAACAAACTAAAGCAAACGTCTGCAAGACAGGCTGCAATTTATGTCGATGGATGTGGGCGAGTTGCGATTCAATTGGAAATGTCATTGGTATTGATCCTTTCAAAAATAAAGAAAGCTACTCAGGAGACTAGCCTACCAAATTTCATATTGAAACTTCGATAGGTGAAAAACAGCTTTTATCGATAGCTTTTCCTTCGTAATGTCGCAACTCATAATTTCATGGCGTGTACAAGTTTACCTCGTCAAACCTTTAGCAAATATTGTTTGTTCACTTAATGCAATAAAAGTTGAATAAAATGCAACCACGCTGGAAAATTCTCATATGGAAAACTCAATATTAATTTCCGACCTCAGCAACATGAGATAAAATCAACTCCTTTATTAATGGTAAATTGCTAGCTTTATCTAATGCATATGGCCCAAGAACACACGCAACATTTAAACGCAACCTTTAAACGCAACATCTTATATTTGAGATGTTGTGAGAGAGCTGGCCAAAGGCGCGCATCATCTTGCAGAATCCAAAAATGTTGCAACAAAATTTGACCATTTTCAAACTTGATCCAACACCATTCAATATGTTGCTTAGGGTGGCCAAACGTTTGTAACACGTTCACGCAATAATATTGCAACATGTTGCATTAAAATGATGCGTGCGGTTAAGACTTTGTCCAAATGTAAACAGTTGTCTATTACTAGGGAAATCATTCATTTTCGAGAAATGCTTTATCTTCTTCGCTTAAACTTTTCATTAAAAAAAACTACTTGTTTGTGTGTGATATCCGCTTAATAAATTATCTATTGAAGGCCACAAAACACCATGAATTTATAAAAACATAACTATTTTAGTTTGTAAGTCACAAGTCCAAATCATGTCCGAGAGTTGCAAAGCCGATTTGACCAATTTCAGTGATAATTGTTTGGAAAAAGTGCTGTTGCACTCAAATTTGGTGAAAATAGCAAAGCAGTGGATATTTAGCAGAAAGCCAGAGCTAGGAAGTGAACATAAGAACATAAAAGGTGAATATAGGAAGCGATTGCGAGAAAGCGGTTTTTTTTCAACGTTAATGGTTTAGAACTGTAACTTTTCAATTGGAACTGTCATCTCCATCTTGATGCTTACGGCCACGTTCAAAGCATCTCAAGTTGCAAGTAATTACTCCGGTTGGCGCATTCCCACAACAAAATATGAGCGACACCGCATAAGACTCAAATTTCCCAGGCTCCTGAGCACGACTTCAGTCAACTCAAACCAAGTTTCTCAGTTCCCGTCAGAGTGATTGATCTTGTGCAGATAATTTGTCAGGATCATTTTTTTCTCCTTTTGGTTTGTTTTTCTTTGGATCGGAAATGTCTCTTCGCCTGATAATAAAAACAAGATGACAACATTGTCACTGAAGATTCTATATCAAAACTCTCTTTAATTGAAGTAAAACCTCGAGAAAGGGCGCGTAACGACTCGACCCAAGCCTCCCTCAATCCGCCGCTGCTGTATTACTTCGCTCTGTCATTGGTCCAGAAAACTCGTACCATCCCCTCAACCAATCAGATGCGAAACTAAAAACCAGTCGCGATTTGGTCACCTGCGCTTTACCTGCGCTTCAAGCAGTTTGCTTGTTTTTTATTATGAGTTCTCATTGGCTGATAACGATGTCTACCTTTGCTCTGATTCGCCATTGTGAATACTTTGGTTTTCAGGTTTTTGATACTTACTTGAAAAGTTCTCAAAACTAACTACAGTAAGGGATGGAGAAGACTGGCGCCGAGTGCAATAGACATACTTGAGAAATTTAGTCTAAATTTCTCCATCCGTTTAACCCAAAGGCGTGCTCTTTTAAAATCACTCCTAATTTCATGAAAAGCTCCCGGCACTGGCTTTCAATATTATGGCAGAGGCAGTTTGGTTAAAATTTTCCTGTCAACTAACCAACATTTGACGCAAGAATACCATTCTTGATAAGTATGGGGCTTCGCTGCGCGCGCTTCAAGCTCCGCTATAAAACTTTTAAGGACATATCACGTCCAACTCGAGAGACGGGGGGGGGGAGGCACTGCTCAGTGTGGGAAGTGCGAGGCGCCCATGAAACTTAAAGACTTTAAATCAGGGTTTAAAAAGAAATGAGGAACCCCTACCTGTTCACTTGTTTGTCCCACTTTCGGAATATCACCCTCTAGGTTAGCAATGTTTACGTTGGCACCGTGTTGAATAAGAAGTTTCACCATCTGATCCATGTCCCGACCGCTAGCCGTGTGAAGCGGAGTGTTTCCAGCGAACGTAACTTTGTTGACGTCAGCACCACGTGTTATCAAGTACTCTACTACATGATTTTTCCCAGCCTCCACTGCGTGATGCAAAGCTGTACGACCACTGTTGGAATCCTGAGAAATGTTAAGAGTTATCAGTTATCAAGTGTTACTGTTTAACAGGGTAATTTAGTGTTATGAACTGAGCTGATAACGTAAATTGGCCACCGTAAAGAGTTTAAAGGCTGACGTTTAGAGCTTTGATCCTTCGTCTGAGCGACGTTACTGTTTTACTTCCTTTCATGTTAAAACTTAACGTTAATCTCAACCACTATGAAGCCGATGAAAGCTAAAAAAGACAAATCAGGTCTATTCCGCCTTATTGCATTGTGCATCCTAACTTTGCATAATTTCATTGTTAACTAGCGCACGCACATAAAAAAATGGGGGGTTTTTCTTCGTGGTCGGAGTTTATCACAGAGGTAGACAATTTCTGGTAGACAAGCACGATTACCTATCATTTGCTTCTTTTTCTTAATTTGCATTAAAAGACTGACTAAGGAGGCGTTAATTATTTAACGTTGCTCTGACATTGACTGCAATCAAAATGAATGTGATTGGTTGATATAAATTACAACCTTGAAAGTTATTGGCCCATTGAATCGTCCGATGACAGACTGTCCAATAACAAATTGACATGTAAATTAGTGGAAAATATAATTTTTAAAACCAATCACAATCAAGAAAATTGTAAATTTTTTAATGATTTCAGTAGTTATATGTTTATCTAAAGGGCACTGCTGCTCTTAGACGAGCACAGGGATCCCATTTTTTATTTTAAAATTTACGTCCCTGCAAGATAAACAACCAATATGTAATATTTCACGGAAATCTCGAGGGGTGAAGGGGTTCTATTTGAGGAGAATGACCTTAATTGTCTGAAGAGCGAGAAAACAGGGGTGATCAAGTCGCGATTTGTCTAAGCTTTGCAACTGATTGCAAAAATCACAGAGCGTCGTAGAGCAAAGCCGATCGAATTCTAGACTACAATAAAATCAAACCAACTGTTTGTCTTGCAAATCTTAGAAAATCTTAGGACATGTTCTAAAAATAACTCAAGAGCGACCGGCGCACAATGGGAAGACAACATAGAAGCTTTCAGTCTCCTTACCTCATCGTCTCTTGTTCTTAGAAACTACGAATTAAGAAGTGAGTTACGAATTGGTAAATAACCTGATCGTTAATGTCTGCTCCCATGTCAAGAATTGTTTCAACAAGCTGTTTATTTCCATTCAAAGTCGCCACATGAAGCACTGAAAATCCTGCAAAAGTAAAAGGCCAGCATTACTTCTTCAAAAATAGACCTTTGCTGGTTTGGTCAAATCACGTTAAAGTTAACTCAAGATTATCCCAAGGTTAGTTTCAATTTTTTTAGATGTTGCTCTCTTCAGTTTTTCATGACAGCACGCTTGCCCCCACAAACCGTTAACCCCAACCGAAGCTTTTATCAACAAGACTAATCAAAATCAATTGACTTTAGCGTCTAATCCAGGATTAGCAGGTGCCACTACTGAAACAACGGCCCCAGGCTTGTGCATTACTCAAAAATATGATGTTCCAGATAATATAGTCCAACCATCATTAGAAGTCCAATAAAACGACTTCGACCAAAACGTGACATTCTGGCAAACACCACAATTTCAGTTGCACCTTGAACCTGCGTCGCTGTCTGATTTGTGAGTGTGTTGAGGCATCAAGTAGCAAAGCTTTGAAAACAAGAGGTGATGCCGCGAGAGATTTTTTACCGTAATAGGAAAAACTCCCACTTGCGGCTCCCCGGTTTAAGTGAATTGGCTACCGAAGAGAGATTCTGCAGCTGACCATTCGAGTGTTAGCCCTCCATTAAAACGAATCAGCTAGTTTTTTTTTTAATATTTAAGATGAACGGCCAGGCTCCCTTGAGGGCGGTGCAATGCCTGCCGAACAATACGTCTGATCCAATCCATGGCTGAAATGCAACAGCTTAGAGTTAGGTTCACCATAAACTGGGGGTCACCAGACATCAACCGGCAACGAATCAGCTGAAAGTAAAGTAGTGGCTCCGTAGATCATGAACTTCAATCAACCGCGGCTCTTCGTGGTACTGTCGTAATGTGCTCACCTTGGAAATTTTTCAGATCCAGTCTTATTTGCATGTGGCATCTATGTGTGACGTCACGAATAGCAAGGACAGAATGGATGTCACCATTTTGACAGGCCAAGTGAAGGGCGGTCTGTCCGTGTCTGTCCATCAAATTAACATCCGCTCCGCCCTCTACCAGCTTTTCCACAAGATATTTTTGATGAGTAATCACAGCAAGATGTAACGGTGTCTGAAAAACAAAGGTTATTGATGAGTTACCGTGCTGTAGTTGAAAGTCTTTGGCCGTGAGCATCTCTTTCTGCGAGCGATCGCGGGGACATCAAATTTCCTTCTGTAGATGTTACTTCATCTTCTTGGGTTGAAAATATCTCTCGCCGTGACTCGTTCTCTTCGTTTACTCGAAGACGATTTTGCAGCCACGTGAAATACGGTGTATTGACCAAGTTCGGTCGAATTGGCTTGATATGGCCTTGCTCTCTCATCTGCTTGTTAAAGAGGTCGGTGAATATCAAGCCATATCGACCTCATAGTCAGTCAATATTACAAATATATCTTAGGTTTACATGTAACACGTGTCACGAACGCCGCTGCTATCGGCAACAAAAGTTGCTAACAATTAATGAGGATGAAAAGGATTAAACATAATCCTGGACATTTATATCTTTGTCACTAAATGAAATCATTGTACCCGCTTCCCTTCTTTGCTTTACACTCTTGACAGATAATCTACAGTTTTTTCTTTTCCTTTAATCGAAAAGTTACGTACTTGTCTAAGCTTGTTGAAAATATCAACCCCTCTTGACTTCATTCTCTCAATGAAAAACTGACTCAGTGGTTGGTCACCCTGTACCACAGAAATATGTAGGAACCTGTGAAGAAAAAGGGAAAATTTCTTTAACCTAAGCTCTCTCTTACGACAAGGTCAGTGAGTGATAATGAGAACCTGAGTTCGAACGATGAAAAATATGCGATTCGACTTCCGCATGTCTGTTCACCTTGAGAGCAGAACGAAATTGAGGGTAAGACCGACAAGAAAGAATCTAAATTTTTGCTCTCTCTTATATTTCAAAATATAAGAGGTCGGCAGCCAAAACGATTCCAGAAAAATTGTGATAAATAATTGTTTTTCATTCCATCGCTTTGTGAAGCATTCTTTATAGTCTTCAGTGTTAGAAACTGAGATCTATTTAGCCTCTTTCGAACCTTTTACATTCATCACGTAGATTTGCATGGTTTACCGAGTGAAGTCTTCCTGTCCGTAAAATCACTCAACCAAAGGCTTGTTAAATATAGATATATACATATCTGTATCGCAAAAATTTGACTTTTTTTTACCGCAATCATGTTTTTTGTGCATTCCATGAAGTGTCGAGAGGAATTTCCTTATGGTAACCAATCAACTTTGTCTTCTAGAAACCAAAACAGATCAATGGAAACCAATAAAATGTGTTTTGTTTGAGTACGTCCTTCGATTACTTCCAAGACGTCTTCCTCAGTGTGGGGCTAACACGCTATTCTTAAACTTCCCTCAGCTTGAATTAAAATAAAAAAAAATTAAATGATAATTTTTGTTCGAGGTATGTGTCGCTGCTACCTTTTTCGGTCCAAGCAGTTAGTACTTAAATGCTGGAGTTTTTGTTTTGTTCGCGTACCGCTCTTTCTCGCTCGGATCGTTGGTTTAGGAGTCACAATCATTTTCTCCTTCGTGACTTCTCCGCATGAACGTTTACATAATTCAGTCACATAATGAAGAATGTGCCGACGTAAGCATTTTCGATTTAAATATTCTTAATCATTCGGAGTCCATATTCACGTCGTGGACTATAAATGTTTAGACTATGATCAATTTGCTAAGGTCACTGGCATGTCATCATCATGTCATCAATGACTGGCCATCAGTAGGAATTTCGTGCAGAGTTTTTGATGGTTTAATTTCGAACATTTCAAACTGAATATCAAAGATCGCCTTATATCAAAACATTGATATGTTATGCCACTGGTCGGTGAGATAATATGCTCTTTAGGACGTACACCAAATTGAAATACATACACATTCGAATGTCTGGAATTGAAGAGGAATGTCTAAATGATTTTACATGGTATTTATTTCCGAGATGGCCCTTCCAGACTTATCTCCTACGAGGAAGAGCGTCTATCTGCAATACTGTTTCACGAGGAGCTGTAACAGCTGAGTGAAGAGAAATGAAATAAATAAATACATTTTCTCAACTTACGTATCTCCATCGTCATCTTGTGCAAAGAGATCAGGCATGGGTGATGTTTCCGCTACAGTCCGTACACAGTCGTTTGATTGCACTAAGGTATGAGGTGCAGTTACGTTGGTATTTGAGGGTGATGGATCCGCGACCTCTCCTAACGTGGACAAACCTGATACAACTTTTGAGGAAGAAGATGCTTTTACATCCACGATGTCTGCCTCATCATGTTCAGTGGCCTCTTTCTTCAAATTATCTTTACTTCCTTGTTTACCGTGAAGGTCGTCCGATAGGGACGAAGATTTGTCGAGCCCCGAATCTCCTTCGATTGGATCTGTCACGCAAGCCAGGACAGAGGGTAGTTTGTTCTCAACAGTAGAACGGCGCTCTTCATCTAATGGATCCAACCCAACACATTCTTTCCCCGTTGTTGCAGATCCATGCCGACGCTTTCGACTTTCTCCTGAAAGTATCGAAATATTTTAACACTTTCTAGTCATAATCTTGTAAATATGTGCGAGGTTTTGATGACGTAGACCCTGAGAAAGCAAAAACTGCGAATTTGATTGCATTCAGTGCTTGACATAAAACTCAACTTACCAGACATGAGATCTCGTGTAAAATATCCCTTGAATTCTCCAGACCAGCATTTCAAGCTTTAGCCAAAGATTCTTCTTAAATTCTTGCTACAAAGCTGGAAAAACATGTTCTCATTAATTGACGGAGATCCGAGCCAAGCACATGCAATCGAGCAAACCTTGTGATGCAAATACTTGGTTGTTCGTCTTGATTGGGCAGAGGTGAGGGGTTTCCCCGATGATGACCGCACGCTCCTATAAAAAGGAATCTCGGCCGTGACTGCGTTCGACAACAGATATTATCTTCTTCGGTCTATTTGTTCGTTTTTTTCGCTTTTAGCAGAATGGGGCGTAATTTGGTGGATCTTTGCGAACAGTTTCAGCAAGTTATCATAGCCCAGTTTGTCTGCCCAACATCGAGGCAAAGTCCAATTATTGATACAGTACATTCGCATCTACTGCGTCAGGACCCTGATCACAACATCGTGAATTTCCGTTTGAGTGAATGTCTTCGGGATTTGGTATTTTATTCTGTTCTATTAGCTTTACCCAATGGCTCTTTTATTCAAAATTTTTCATTTGGTTGTGGTTTTCCGTTTTTCCATAAATCACACTATGACTGCCATGGCTGAGATAATTTTTTCCTCGTTCATAGAAGAAGTAAGTAAGCATGAAAAGCTAATACGACAATATTCCTCGGTTCAGTTTCTAATGGGCAAAAAGCACCAGTAGCAATTTTAACTCATGTGAATCGAACATTCTAGAAATCGCATAGATCAACGCCTTTCTGATTTCGTTATTTGTTTATTTCAATTTTTTTAGCGTAAATAAAGTCACGCGTGAATGTCACGCTTGATAAAGGTCGTTACCAGTCAACTCTCTGCTCATGAAAACGAGTTGAATAAAATGGCGTAATAGTACTTCACTTGCCGTTGTCTCGAGTTTATATTGTTTACAGTCGTATCGGAAAAGATAGGTAATAATATTTTGTTTAAAATAATATTAATTTGTTCTCGATACACTACAGTTCTTAAATTTGTTGTACAAAGAATTTCGCTCCCGTCTTAAATGGAAGGAATTGTCGGTCGTATTATCAGAGACTCATTTCAGTTTCTGTCAAACCTTACTGGGTAAGATCCGTTGCTAAAATGAACACATGAATCGAACTTTTTGCAGTAATCACCAAGTTAAATATTGGCTAGATTTTATGGATTGGTGACTCACTTTTACGCCGTTCAATTTGGTAACTAGAAAGACATTTCTTTGAATTGTCGACGCATATGCTTCGTTTTAGTCTAACACGTGTACAATTTGACTAGAAATTTTGTTCCTTCAACAACGCAGGATTACTTTCAGCGCATTGATTTACTTGCTGAAGGGTGATGACCAATATAAGAATCAAATTATTATGGAAATAGAGGATCAGGGTGCAATTTCAGTCATCAACTCACCTTCCAGTACCATCAGCTTCATCTTCGAGTTTGCCGAAACTGACCCAGAAGTGCTTATTGAGGATGACAACGGAAACCGAGTGCAAGGAACTGGTAACCAGCTTAACCAGGTGGCCTTTTGTTCATCTCTGACAGAGAATAATTCATACATAACCGCTGAGAAATCACCAAAAGAGGAATCTGGATTCTCAAGTAATGGTAATGTTACACACCAAACAATATCAAGCAATGTTGTTGGAAAAATTAAACGATTTTCGGCTGGGAGAAAATCTCAAGAATCAAATTTAATACAAACATCAATTTTTGATGCAGAACAACCATCAACTGTAAATCCACCTCAGACATCAATTTCAAAATCAAAAGAAACTTCAGTCATGAATGTGCTGCATTCATCAACATCTATTTCACTTCCACAAGCAACTTCAAGTAGAGGCCACAGGCCATCAACAGCTACTATGAACTTGTCAAATGGTGTAATGATACCAAGACCTTTAAACTTCCAAATTCCAAGGAAAGATGTTTGCAGAGAGAAAATTTCCAAAAAGAGACAGTTAGGAATACCAGACGTGGTTAAAACTGGCCCAAATAACAATAACCACAAGACCATTATTTGTGAAGAGGACATTTCCAACAAGAGACAGCAACAAGAATTAGTAATGGCAAAAACGTTTGCAATTAACAACAAACACAAGACCATTGAAGCTAAAAGAAGCCAGTGTGGTCAGATAACCAGTTCTACCAAACTGGCTCTTTTGAACTTTTTGAAAAAGAAATCCTCTGGAAATGGTGTAGTTGCAGATGTTGAAAATGAGGGAACTGATCTTGAGGAGCAAATTGTTTCAATTGTTCAAAAAGAGAGCAGTGGTGTTGAAATAGAAGAACCTCATTCTGATGAGATGCCCAGTTGTGAGAATGAGGTGGAACAGATATCCACAAGAACAGTTTTCCAAGAAGAAGTTCCTACTGCTGAATTCAGCAGCACAAACCAAGTTCAAAGTGACCAGAATGCTGATAAGACATCTGATCAGGATGGTTTGAATGAAGCACAAAGTGACAATGCCAATCAGTTAGATGTTGTTGGATTGAACACAGAAAATGATGAAGAACGCAAGAAAGGGGGCAACAATTCTCAAACTGTACCAAAAGGTTAGAGCTTTATTCATTGGTTTATTACCTTAAGTGTTCTTTTGCTAGTCTGACCTGACACTCACCCCAATCCCATCAGGGGATTTTTAACCTCTCCAAGAGGGATTTCTGGGGGGGGGGGAGTGTTTTACAGCCTGCTGATTACCATACTGTCCTTTTGCCTCAAAATTTATTCAAGGGGCCAGTATCACAGTCAGATTTACTTCTTCACATGTCACAATGTCACAAACGTGATTGCAAATTCATGGCAATAATGTACATGAAAAAAATGTTTAAAAAAGTGAGAATTGATACCCCATCTACTCAAATCTCTTTCCACTGAACTGAAGCAATCTACAGTCAAACCTGTATTAAGTGGCACTGTATGAGATGGTCAATCTGTATCAATTGTCAAAGTCCGGAAGTTGTTCCCCCTTAATCAATGTAATTTTCACATCTTTTAGAAGCAGTCACCTCTGTTAAATGGTCGCAGTCATCCTTAACTAACTTGTTACCCACTTAATCAATGTAATTTTCACATCTTTTAGAAGCAGTCACCTCTGTTAAATGGTCGCAGTCACCCTTTACTAAGTCCCAACGGTCTGTTTTTATTGTTTTTCACCTGTATTGAATGGTCACTGAGGTAGAACCACTCAGATATAGCTAAGAGTAATCTTTTATGTAATTTTGAATCCATACATGTTTCTCTCCCAAAATCAAAGGAAGTCGTATTTTTGAACAAGATTATGTACATTAAGTGATCAATTATGGCATAAAGTTGAATTTTTTTATTATTTTATTTTTTCTATAATACCCATAATCTGTGGAACTTGTATAAAGCTATCACCCCACCATTTCCCATGGGCGACTGTTAAATACAGGTTTGACTTTTTGTATTAAAGCTAAGGACTACTTGGCACACAAACTGGCAATATTATTCTGCAACCTTTGCAAAATGCATTTTTGTAATGTAACTACCCATTAGCTTGCAGCTTAAGTTTGACAATTGTTCAAGGATGAAAGTATGTTGTTGAACAAATATGCTGCTGTACGCTGTACAGGAAGGTCTGTGGCAAAAGTGTTCGAAAGTGTAACTTTTTCCCTACATCTCAATTGTGGCAAAAACCTTCACTGCTTTCCAATTTTACAGAATTCCATTTTTTTACAGTGGCTGCTTTTGTTACAAGTAAAGGCTGTTTAGTGCCCTGTACTCAGGTCTCCTTGGCAAGGCAAAGCTTGGCATATTTCAGTGTAACATTTAATTTCATCTTTTAGAAGCAGACAACACTACTGCTGGTGTGCTGCTCTGTGATGAATCAACTCCTTCCATCCATGAAATAGATGTCGTTGTCCATCCCTCTCTCCTGCAACCAACAGAAAACTGTGAAAATATGAAGAGAATTGAGAGACAGAAAGGAACAGGTAACTTATAATAATATATTCGTTTGCTGGTCACAAGATTAGGACTGCAGTACGGTTCCTTTTACTGGTAGTATTGGAATGGTAGAGTATAACTAACTGATCAATCGGGTTTCGGAATTTCCGCCCGAATGGAAGAGTTTTTTTTTAAGGAATAGGTCTGTTACTCTTCTTAAATGCTTTTCAGATTGATATAGTTTAGGCCACTTTCTCTGCTGCATCTTTTTCAAGTATCCCTAAGTCCTTTTACTCTCATAGGTGACCAAGACAGAGTTTCTTCTTATAATATACAGTTGAACGTATATTAAGCAATCACCCACTGGGAATGGCGATTGATGGCTTGATGCAGGTTCCACGGAATAGGGGTGTTGTAAAAAACGATAAAAAAAAGCGTCATTTTGTGCTATAATCGACCACTCAATGAACCAACACTCGCTCAAAAATACTACTAGCATTGATGTCGGTAGATGGACGTGAATTCAGTATAGTTGAAAGCTTACTCTAAGCTTTATTGAGTGAGTGGTTCAGTAAATGGTGACCACGACCGCCTAATGGAGGTGACCCCTTAAAAGGTGACAATTACAAGAGGAAACAATTTCGGGGCTTTGACAGCTGACTGCTATACACAGGGTGACCGCTGAGTACGGTGCTGCTTAATACAGGTTCGATTGTATATCAAAATAATATTAAGCAGACAAGTGATGAGGAAATAGTAAATGTAAATGAGAGGATCTTGAGTTGATCCAATACCAAATTCTCGTAGCTAACATCATAACAATTGTATGGCAGACGGTTAAGAGAATTTCTAATAAGATCTTGGAAGTGAAAGGATTAAGAATCGCCATAAGTCGTACCTACCACTTATCTGAGTAGGGCGTAATGTTTCTATCTTGTAAATTATTCTAGATTCGTGTGATGCCATCTCTATTTCCAATTTTTTTAAATCCATAGGCGTCAAGAAAAAGAAGAAAAATAAATCTTTGGAGTGCAAAGAATGTGGAAAAATGCTGGCATCAGCTACGACATACTTGGAACACATGAATATTCACTATGATCGAAGACCGTACAAATGCGATGAATGTGGCAAGTCTTTCCGCCAGCGACACCATATTGATCAGCACAAAATTGTGCATACCGGGAAGAAACCCTTCGTTTGTCAATATTGCGATAAAGCTTTCGCCAGGAGCTACAACATGAAAGATCACGAGCGAATCCATACTGGAGAAAAACCTTGTAAATGTAGTCATTGCGACAAAACGTTTCGTCGTCGGCGCGGTTTGAGGGAACACGAAACAAATGTTCACCATCTTCATATGCCACGCAACAAGCTTGGGAATTTGAAAGAAAAAAAGGTTTATACATGTAAGATCTGTGCCAAGACGTTTACGTGGTCAAGTGCGCTTTCTACCCATAAGAAAACTCATTCTGATATTGCGCGATATAAATGTCCCAAATGCAAGAAGGCTTTCAAGAATAACAGTTTATTATGGAATCATGTGAAAACTCATTCAAAGGAGAAGCCATTTGAGTGCGATATTTGTGGGCAAAGGTTAAAACGGCGAGGAAATCTCAAAAGACATATTTTAACCCAACATGAGCCAGAGGTGGCCGAAGAATGTCTCAAAACCAGCAAAGAGTTTGAATACTTGCGTCGGAAGAAATCTGGCTGAAGTGATTTGCTTTGTAGCTCGTCCTATTTAGACAACATATATTTTTGAATGTCCATGGTTATGCTTGGAGGGAGGCAGTTCTGTTCTTGTACAGTCGGTCGAGTCTATGAAACATTCAACAATTCACGACACGCATAAATGTGGCTTTGCAATCACAGGATGTATTCCATTAAAAAATTGTGGTTGAGAAATGATGTGATCACATTTTACAGCGACAGGAGATATTTTTTGCCATTATAAAGAGGTCAAAACTTGCATCTCTAAACTCACATGAATTGTTATATTTAAATGTTTCAAAAGAATTTGTTAGAGCTGATTGCATTTGACGATTTTTTGGAAAGAAGCTTCTTCCAGTAATCTCGGATTAGTTATGGCTTGAAATCAATATAACCAAAGATGTCACAAGAATTGATTCATTATTGCGTTTGTTCTGCGTAGCAAACCTTCAAAATTCAAGCCAATCCGAACGTTTATGTAACTGAATAATTATATAGAGGTTTGAAAAGGGGTATTTGTGTGTCGGACGACATGTGAAGAAACTGATGTTTGACCTATTTTATGTTCTTCCCCGGACAATTTAAAGAAACAAAAAAAAACGAAGAGAAGTAAAAGAGCAAGATACTGTTGGGTTTGAGAAGTTACAATCGAAAATACGTTTGCGTTCACAGGCTGTAAATGTTGGGTTTAAACTATATTGTCTCCTTTTGACCTGATTAAAGTAAAGTTTATTGTGTCTGTTTCGTACTCGCTTAGTTAAACCAGGTAATTCATGCCTCTGACTGAAATTAAACAATGTAAGAGACATTTTCTCCCTTAAGTAAAGCCTGTAATACGTACAATTCTTAAAGAATAAGTCACCAAAAACAGCTCAGAAACTCCGTCTCAGATGAGTCACGTATTGCCCCTCCCCTCCCCCATCAGGTTCCGTACAACCAGTTACCGCCCCAGGTCTTCACGGCCTTCGTTAGTCAGCGGTTATAAACAATCAATAGCGACTTTCCACGTAACGTCGAACCAGACCAATTAAATCTTTTAACCCGGAAATTTCTCCACTTCGCAAAACATCAGCTGTATTAAAATGCAGGCCCTCAACCTCTAGTGAACGAAAATTCGCTGCTCGTGAGAAATGGATGATCCTCAGGCCGGCGAAGCGCGATCTGGTGGCGGACAAGAAGAAGTTCCAAAGTCAAGACCGCTTGAAAATTCAACTCCGACATTTCTTGTAGATACATTTTATTTAGGTGAGCTAACATTGCTACAGTAAAACATTGTGGTGCTACTCAAAGCTCTACATATTTTAATTTTTTTTTAAAAGCTAGAAACCGTGGAATGACTCATAAAAATACCTGATAATCACAAACCTTTGTGGACTCAAATGTCAGTTGGTTTAATATACCATCAAAAAATTATTTTAATTTTTTTCCTCGGAGTAAGTTGAATTGCATGAAGAGTATATTTTTATGTCGGTGAAATAGCTGAATGAAATGCCAGAAAACCGGAAAAAATCCTGTAAGACATGATATTTTCTTTCGTAATGATAAAAATGAAAAACCATGAATAATTCCTTTCGATAATTGGAATATTGCACTATCTAACAGGCGTGGGGCTCCTGGAGCGTTATGGCTGGCTCATTTTGATAGGGCTTGTGATCCTGGTATTCCTGTGGAGCAAATTGAAACCGTACTGGAAAGAACTACAAAACAAGTGGGAAAGACAGCAAGAAATTGCTAACTTTGGTAAGTGAGATCATTTGTTTCACCAAGAGTAGAGTGAACACAATTTTTTTTCAAGGAAAAATTATGCATGAATGTGAGAAGACTGTAGACGTAAAAATAAAACAGAGACATACTGTCAAACAGACAGGTAGACAGTACATGTAGACAGACAGAAGTCTCGAAAGAAATTGTGGTGCGGCATCAGGTGAGAGGTATTACAAGATAATTCAGTTTTATTGACTGAGTTGAAATGTAAATTGGCCTCTGTAAAGAGTTTCAAAGCTGATGTGTAAAGGATTAGCCTCTCATCAGAGTGACAGACTGACAGATAGTCTGAGTTGCAGGCAAAATGGGAGGTGTGATGAACATAAGAAAATTAATGGTGACACAAACAGGAAACTAGACTTTGTCTATGCATTTTGTGGCTTTTATGTCTCCTTCTGCACCTGCCAAAGAAAAGTGAGGCATTGTTACTATACATCATACAAAGAAGTCCCTTTAACCCTTTAACTCCTGTGAGTGACCAAGACAGAATTTCTCCTCACAACATCCATACAATATCAATTATGCAAGTGATGTGAATAAATATATGATATTCACCAGACAGGAGGTCTATATTGGGAAACACTATACCTAAGGTCTTGGATACCACCTGAGGCCTATGGCCTCAAGCAGTACACAAGACCGAGGGCACAGTTTTTCCCAATACAGACCAACCTTGGCTGGTGAATAACATTTTTATTTTTTTCTAAAACCTAACAAATGGTTGTGAAAAGAACCTGAATGATAAAGGGCTGTAATTACAGCAAGATTCTCCTTAAATAGAACAATTTATAAACGAGTAGATGGTAAAGAAAACAAGGGCAATGCAAATGAAAGAGAGAGGTTTCATCAAAACATATTTGTTTGCATAATTTAAATTTAAAATTTAAAAGGTTTCCAAGAAAACTTCGAAACATTTTTTGGATACCGCCCGCTGTGAGCGGGCCAAATGGGGATAACACTGCCCGCTCTTGGAACCAATCAGATTGCAGGATTTGTAGAATATCACCTGCCCACGAACTGAGAAAAAGATAAAGAAAAATAGGGAGTAAGGAGAATTACTAATGAGATCTTGGGAGTGAAAGGGTTAAATAACCATTTACCTTTCACACCCCAACATCAATATGCACATTCTTCATACTGTTCTCTATTCATACCCTAAGGTGATAAGGAGAACGTGTTTAACAATCAAAAGCTTCTTTTGTTGGTGATAATTTCTTTTATTTATGACTTTAATGCGTGATTCAGGGGTGATAATTTGTGAGGAGAAATTAGATGCTAATCACTCATAGGATTAAAGGGTTGATTTTTTTCCTCCAAGTATCAATACTAATTGTTTATGACTTTACATGCCTTAGACCCAATAAAAGCAGCCAGGCAACAGGAGAGTATGGAAAATGCCAGAAGACGACTGCAAGAAAAACAGGATGCCAAAGCTGCCAAATTTATGGAGGACCAAAAGCTGGCAAGTATTATGATTTAAAACAGTTAGCCTCCCTTGGTACTGTATATATTTCAGGGCATGAAATTAATTTTTTTTTCTGATAGCCACTTGGCTCCTAAATTCATCAAAGTGGTAGCCAATTCAAAAAAAGTTGGTTGCCATTTTGAAAGACAAACAAAACCTTTTTTTTTATGCTGTTATCGTTCTAGAAATTAAGTTAGGGAAAAGATCTTTAACGTGCTACAAAGGAGACACTAGGATGGATGATATGCAATGTTTAAGCTCGTCTAAATCCAAGTGGTGTCTAGTTATCGATCGAGATGCATCTGCTACATTTTGGAAACAAACTTAACGAGGAAGTTTGCTGCAGATTTGTCTTTGCAAATCTTTTTAATTCCCTATATCTCTAGGTAAGGTTATGATGAAACATTCTAGTTGCCAATTTGGCAACTAATTTTCAGGATTTGGTCACCAAAGTGAAAAATTTAGTCGCATTGGCGCCTGTATTAGGCACAATTTCACGCCCTGTTATTTCCTCTTTAAAACCTTCACTCCTTTAACCTTTTAATGTCCAAGATCTCATTAGTAATTCTCCTTACTGTCTGTCATACAATTCTTATGATGCTAGTTCTGACTAATTTAGTACCTGTTTGTTTGTCTGCTGGTACCTGTTTATATTCCTCGTTGGAGAGAAGCACTCTGAGAGTGACGCATTTGACTCAAGAACACAACACTATGACCTTAAAGTGACCGAAAAGCCAGTTCTGAAACCCAGACCTCGCAACCCTGAGTACAGCATGCTAACCAAAAGGCTTAATATGCATCTCTTACAAATTCAAAGGCGCATGGTTCAAATTTTGTCTCTAACTGTAATTTATCATTGATTGGAGCCAGGCAGATGAAACAAGGAGAAAAGAGAAGATAGAAGACTGGGACAGACATCAAGAAGGAAAAGGTTACCGCACAAAAAGATATAAATCTCCGGTATAAAGCTTTTTACATTTCTTGTTTATTTATGTTTTTTAAAAAATAAATTGACTTATGTCAGCTCAAAAGTGTGTATATCAGGTTGCAGGTTCAAATTTCCATCTCAGCCATCAGCCTGGAAAAGTTGCCTAAAATCATCTCTAAGCAAAAGTTATTTTTGTCCAGGGTTTGCTGGAAAGAAAAGCAGTATTTTTCAGTGATGGGTGTGGAATTGCAGTTGTAGTAAATCTGTGTAAAGTTTGTTTGTCTTTTTTTGTGTTTAATATGTAGGAGGATTCAGAGCAATCCAGTCCTTCATCAAAGCCAAAAAAACCTAAAAAGCCTCTCCGAAAATCAGGTAAAGTGGTAATGTTGTAGTTTGTTATTTTGACAACATTTAAAAATCTTTTAGTTATTGCTTCTGGAGATGTGTGAATCAATTCCACGTTCAGAATTTCCTCAAACTTTGTGGAATGCTGGGGAAATTTTCACTGAATAGTTCCCAGTCCTCTGTGTAATAGTAATGATGATTCAACATGTATGGCATCATTGATAACCTGATCTCCTGGGATATTCTATTTGTCTTCTTTCAAACTGACACTCAGTCCCTAGCTTAGTCAGAGCCTATGAAGCTGCAAAGAGTGTTGCTTTCCCATCTGAATGAAATCTAAATACCCAGAGATTTGCTACAGCATGTGCATGTTGCTAATTCTTTCATGAATTCTTTGAAGCTACATTAACAGAATTTTATCAACATTGTATAAGTTGTTATGGATTTTGAATGTTACTAATTAATACTTGTGAAAAATGGGACGGAAAGAAGCCAAGATGGATTATCAAAAAACCTGGCTAATCAAGGTCGGGATAATCAAAGTTTAACCATTATATAATTCAATCTCTGATTGATATTTCTCTTACTATTAGATTACAGTCCTTTATCTGGGGGTGGAAGTGGATTCAGCTACAGACCACCAAGAAGAGGTATGTCAACGAATGTCTTTGATAAATTTTTATGCAGTCACAAATGTTGAGGAACAAGGCACTTTCCAAAACCATGATTAGGAGAATGAGCCAGCTGATAATGAAAATTAGTTCAGCTAATACTGGGCAGCCAAAGGTAGCCTATGGCACAGGTGGCCCAAGTTCATTCTCAAGAAAAAGCCAATGATTAATTCATGAAAGCGTCACAAGTTGTGTGACTTGGTGTTAAGTTATAAGAGGAACTGTTGAAAATTTGAACACAGGATAAGGAATAGTATGGGGAACGAAATATGTTTGATTTACAACGAAAAATAGTTTGAAATATGAACGTTTTACTCGTAAATCAATAAACCTTACTCACATCCTGTGTGTCCTTTGTAGTTTCTGGCAATTTCTGCTGTTTTAAGCTTGCTTTTCCATTACTGTTATTCCTGTCAAAAGACAAAGTCAAGCTTGACTTCATTACAAGACTTGACACTTTCATGAATTAATGGTTGGCTTTTTCTTAAGATGTGAGCTTGGGCTGCCTGTGTCTATAGTTGACGAGTATCACCACCTAACTTGATTTGTTAGCCAGTGACACAACTCAACACTTCTATTGTTTTAGTTCAGTAAGTAAACGGCAAAAAAGTCTTTAACTAGAAATAAAGTTACCTGATATGAGCAGATTTAGTAAGTGGAGATGCAAAGCTTCAACAAGGTGCTCTTACAAGTCTGGTAGAGCAATCTTTCAAATGAGTGTCACAAGTAATCCACATTGTGCTTCTAATTTATTTTGGTTTTGCTTTACTTTGCTGTGCAATTGGTCCTGTAAACTCAGGATTCTTTTTTAACAGCTCAGATTCAAAACGAAAACAAGCTGTCCGTGGTTACTTTCATTTTCCTGTGCTTCAGGCAGTTTACTTTTTTCCAGCTTAGCTTCACCTTGCCTTTTGGTAATATTTTTTGTTTGATTAGCTGTAGTTGTTATTGTGTTGTGTTAGCTTTCATTTACGATACTCAATGGAAAAGCCCTCATGATTATCACCTGGTGATCTGACCTAGGAGAAAATTCTGCAGTCTATCTCTTGCCAATTCTGTTGAAGAATATGTTTGGCACCAAAGAAGTGAGTTGTCAGTAGCTTTTTGAGTGGCCAGCTGTCTTTTTATATTCTGTCAGAAGTGCTTGATGGAATATTGTTGTTTCAGGTGCAGGAGGCGGTGGATGAGGTTAAATCTACACACAGTCACTGAGTAACCAATATAGGCTTTGCTGTTTTATAAAATGAGGTTGTAAAGAAATTCATATTGATAATGTGTGGCTCTGGAAAATGTCCTTTCCCACTAGTACAGAGGAATGGAGGTTCAAAATTCTGGCCGAGGAAGAGGGCCTATTTTTCTCCCTTTAACTCCCAAGATCTGATTGTTAATTCTCCCCTGTAGCTGCTACACATTTCATTGTAAATTAGTTATGAGAACTTGGTGCTAGATCAAGATAGCAGCTTCTACCTGATAAGTTTGAATATTCTCATTACCTGTTTGCTGAAGAATGTATGGATGTTGTGGGGAGAAGTTTTATGTTAATCACTTCTGGGAGGTAAAGGGTCAACTCTTGAACTCCCATGAGTGCATGACCAAGGCAGAATTTCTCCTTACCATATCGAAACAATATCAAACAGATAAGTGATGAGATTAAAGAGAATATCAATTAGGGAATTATTAGTTGATCCAATACCAAATTCTCCAAACTAACATCAAAAGAATTATATGACAGATAGTAAGGAGAATTACAAATGAGATCTTGGGAGTGAAATGGTTGAAATTTGGTAGATAAATTTAAATTAAGGGGTAGGGATTTTTTTTCTGGACCACAACACAACTCATTTTTGTAGAAAAATTAACTTGGAAGCCTGTTTGTTGCAGTGACATGTTGTGTAGTTTAAAAATTTTAACTCAGCTGAAGAATCTCCTTTTCTGAACACAGATCAGGGTGTATGACATTTGCCTTTAAAACACAATTTTTTGTGGAAAGGTTAATTGATGCTTTTCTCAATGGAGTTCAGAAAAATGCACCATAAGGTGGTAATTAAATTAATAGCTGTACAGCTTTTAACGAAGGATCAGAAAGATTTGAAAGTTCATATCATTTTGTAGTTTACTTAATAGTAAGAATAGTTGAATTAACATTACAAATGCAGGCATATCTAGTTGAGACATTTATATAATTCATACATTGTAACTGGGTATGAAGATATTTTAATTAATTTATTATAATATTATAAGTAGCTTCTGTTGGCTGAGAAAGTTTCTTTTGAAGCTTGCCCAAAGTATCGTGAAGATATTCAAGTTGTGTTAGTCAACAAATTCCAACCAAAAGGAGAAACAGAGTTGTATTTGGATTTCCTGTCAAATTCATGATAAAAGTGCAGTGTTACTCGACTTTGTCGATAGATTGGCATTGCATGAGATCATGTCATGTGGCCATATTGCGAAATGAAATCCTGTTCTTATTTCCTCATATCGAGGAAAGTATTGCAAAGAGGGTTTCAACAGAGGTCTAAGATGATTAAATATTTGGACCTTACAGAAAGGTTCATTTGTAGACCATTTTCCAGACAAAAGGTGTACAAGATTTCAACATAAGTTTTTGGCAATCTGTTTTGACTGTCAATCAACAAGATTACATTGTGCTGCAATTGCTGGCTGAATTTGGTGGGAAACTCTGTCAAATACAACTCCTCTGATCCTTAGCTGTCCTTCCATTTGATACTTGTAGAAAGTGACTGCTGGAAATTTTTCCCTGGTAGTAGCTTGGTGGTTTGGGGGGGGGGGGAAGAGGGAGGGTAAGAGGGGGGTGGGTAGGTACCAGTAACAAGGATGGGTGTCCCCCCCTTGAATTTGTCCAATGGGAATTTTGATTTGTTAAAAATGCTATAAAAACATTTTCATGTACAAAGAATACATTGTAATTGTGCCTTCTGAGAAGAATTAATAAAAGAGTCCTAGAAAATAGCAGTGGTTTCAAATGTTTTCACACAATTTATTCTGCATGTTCACTTTTACAAGCCTTTTGGTACATATAAAATTTACACCTGTTTTGTCACTAAATTATGCAATAAACTAAGGATATTGATAACAATCTGATAATTATAACTCCTTGAAACATTTTTGAAACAGTGTGTCAGTTGAATGAAATTGTTACTTTTAACTACAAGCAAGAACATAAACAGCTTATCTATCAGTAGAAATTTTTTTTCAGTCTGTAACTCACAGGAGCTATAGCTCCTCTCTGTGAAAAATTTTGAGATTTTTTAAACAAGTTTCTATCATCTGCTACGGAAGCCAAATACACTCAAATTTCACTAAAAAGTGATACAGTACTTTATTCATTGCATAGCAATGGTACATTTGCTGGCTGTTATATTACTGCACCTTTAAAAACATGAAAGCTCTGAGTGAGTGCTTAGTAAGTACACTTTACAGAAGTAATAATGACAACAGCTCAATCCAAAAGGAGAGTTTTAGTTAACAATAAAAACCCCTTTCAGTTGATTGCTCAGAGTTTTATTGTTCAAAAATGTGCAGTTCAACAGTATGATTATCAACACCTAACTAAGTAATCAACAGAGTTTTTACAACCAGAAGAATGCTGTCTTACAGACAGTTTCTCTTGTGAAAGCTCATTGTAAAGTATGCCAACAAGCTTGAATAAAAAATAACTTTCCTTACAGTTTTGCTTTAAAAAAATATGTGATGCAAGGAAAGATAATGCTGAAGCTTGCAAATAATAATTTTTTGTGTCTCTGATTGCCATGCAAATCCAAGTTTGTACCATGGATCCTTTTTTAATAAGTATTTCATCCTACTAAAATTTCAACTCAAATGTTAACCAGATTCCATTTTAATATCTTGTTACTAATACCAAACTTAAAGTTTCTTTGACTGGTACTGTACAACTAAAAAATGTTATGAAGATGTACACTGACTTCTCTCAATATCTCTACAAAAAGAAAAGTATTAACTTATAAATATTTAATATTTAATTGTTGTATACATTTAAGTACCTGAGTGTAAATGCCTGTGAGCTCAATAACTTGATATGAGGTGTAACAGTCTTAGCTTATTTTAACACAATCAAGGGTAATACTCATGCACAGAGATTATTGTAATCAGCTGCAGTGAATTTAAACTGTGTCTATCTTGGGCTGTCGAGGTTATGCATAGGTGCTTTTCACTATAACTTGCCGTCTGTCGTCATACTTTGGCAAAACCAGCGGAGACTTTTCTACTTGGGTGATCTACAGAAATTAAATATTTTGCACAATAATTGATTAATTATTAATCAATTAATGTCAAATCATAGCTGCAACTTGTACCAATTATTAACACTGGAACTAAAAAAAAAATTAATGTTTAACTTGAAACTATATTAAAGCTACATGTAGTAGTTTTGTTCTGCTGAACTTCCTTACAACCCTGAACATGTACAGGCATGAAGTTTCATCTGGGAACCATATCTTTGGTAGTCCTTCTCATCTCAAACCATCATTTTGTTTCTGCCACAGAAGTCAGGGATAGACTGACTCTACTGTTTTATTGTGAGTCCCTTTTAGTTAGCATCTGTTTTTTACGAGGCTAAAACTGACTTTACAGGTTTTGAAAGAATGGATGAGGATTGAGGCTAGTTTTGATTGTTGACAGCGTTTTATTGAAGCTATCCACAATCAAAACTTGCCGCAACTAGCCTCAAATTAAAAGTTTTCTACCAATGGAGAATTTAGTAACCTCAAGCATGGTTTAGGAATGGAACTCAAAATTAACTGCATCCAATGGCATCAAGGAGATTCATTCTTCTGTTGCTTCATTTCACTCCAAAGTGAGAAAGAGGAGGTGAAAAAATTTTTTATTTATTTTATTTAAAGTTTTAGAAGTTTGACTTGATCCTTACCTCCCGATGTTTGCTTGGTTTGATGTTAGTGCTAGCTGCTTCCAGTAGGAGCCTAACGTTCTGCATGGAGCGCCCACTAGCTATCTGCAATGGAGTGTTCCCTGAGAAACTTCCTTCACTGGCACTTGCACCACACTTTAGCAGCTCTTGTATCACTTCCATGTTTTCTGTCTCTACTGCATGATGCAGTGGGGTACGACCACCTTTACCATCCTTAAATGATTAGGAAAAAAGAGGCATGTATTTTGTATGAGTGAAGTCAAGTGTTTCTAATAAGGGTGCCTTTGATATAAAATATTCCTCAACTTAACAGAAATTATAATGTTGGGTGCTTATTTAATAAGTTAAAAAAAGAAACATCACCCAAAATATACTTCTGAAATAGAAGCTATGATGACAAGCATGTCTATTTAATGTGAAATCAGCTGGAATGCCTACCTGTTAGAAGAGAGCACACTCTCTTGCAAAACTTATTGGTATTGTAGGATTCTTTGTAACATTGACCCACTAACTATGAATTTTTTTAAAGTATTTGCTGATAAAACTGTCTCCATTAACTCACCTTACAATTAACTTTAGCACCTTGTCTTATTAAACAAGTCACTGCCCCACAACAGCCTGCAAGTACAGCTTCGTGAAGAGGAGTGTACCCATTAAAGTTCCTTAACTCCAAGTCAGGAGTATTCCTTGCCTTTACAAGTGTTTCTAAGCATTCTACACTTGCTCTATTGCAAGCTAGGTGGGTTGGTGTTTGACCATTACGATCAGGCAAGTTCACGTTTGCTCCCGCAGACACAAGTTTTTCTACAATATAAGGTTGTACTGTGATGACAGCCAGGTGTAACGGCGTTTGTTTCAGGTTGTTATAAATGTCCAGTGTTAGGCATGACATGAGGTTGATGAGGTATTCTACAAGTTGGGTGTTCCCATGTGCAATAGCTATGTGAAGAGGCCTGCAAGTAATCGAAAATCAAAATGTTTCTTAGACTGATGTGCATGTGAAGAATAATCTGTTATTGAAAGCTCTCTCCCTTCTCTTTAAGCCCTCAGATCTCTCCCTTTCTACAACTTAGTTCTTCCTCCAACCTATCCCTTAGCAATTTAATTCTTATACCCCAACAAACTCTCCATCTATAAACCATACCCTTTTTCTTGCTTCTAATACTACCTCTCATCCCATAACTTACCTCCTACCTGCTACCTATTTATACCCAACCACTCCTTCCCTAACATGCAATTTTCCCATTCTATACCCAACACCCTTTCCTTCCAATATCTGGCTCCCTTACAATCTTACTTCCCCAACACCCCTCCTCCTACTTTGTCACACCCAACCCCTCCTCCCTACCTAACTCTTTCTTCTCTTTCCCTACACTATTAACCCTTTAACTCCCATTAGCGACCAAGACAGAATTTCTCCTTACAATATCAATACAATATCAACCAGATAAGTGATGAGAATAAAGAAAAATATCAATTTGGGGATAATTAGTGGATCCAACGCTAAATTCTCTGAACTAACATTATAAGAATTGTATGGTTAACAGTAAAGAGAATTAGGAATTTGATCAGGGGGAGTTAAGGGTTAATTCCCCATTCTTGCCTCCTCCTTCCTGCCCCTGTTTACCATAAATCTTCCCTTTCCATACTGACTCCTATGTTGCAACCACTTCACCTCTCTTCCCAAAAGAAAAAAGAACATTCCCCCCTTGCATGCAAAGGTGGAATAATTTAGTTTAATTTTATTGATGTAGAGTAAACAAAGAGTTAAAATTAAAAAAAAATACTCACGTGTCTCCATCTTCATCTTGAAGTGTTGCCAGGTGACACTCTGTGGCTGACAGGAGACTCATTGTCGCCACATTATCACTCATCAGTTTAGGTTCTGGACTGACAGGTGTAGCTGGTTTAACAGCTGGTTCAACAACTGGTTTAACTTCTGGCTGAACTGGAACTAAACCATAACAAGTTCTGTTATTTTGACTGTCTCAAGCATGAGATGTAATGTGGTCTCAAGGAACCATGTTTGTTAAAACTGCATTTTAACAGATTTTTTGCTGAAAGTTAAATGATAGGAAAAAAAGAGCAGCACATTATCCTTAAATTATCAACAATTTCTGAAAAAAATTTTTTTCTAAAGCTAGAACTTTGAGTTGTCCTGTTGCACTGGGCTGACTGTGCACTACTCACCAGGGGAGACCCCATGGATAAGCCCAAAAGGCAATTTCTTCCTCAGGGGATCCCCCTGAGAACATTACATGCTGAGTAATGCTTTACGTGGAATATGAAAACATGGCAACTTGGCCTTGGGATTTTTTATTTGAGTCTCTCTATTATATTTGTCTTCGGAAGTTTAAAAATATTTTTAATATCTCCCTTTTTCGCAACGATATGGGAAACCCCGGAAGTTTGGGAGTAACATTTTTTTCACGTTACCAAGAGTGAGGGACTTTCCCAAATGACGTGAAAGTAGAGAGCACGTGAAAAATTAAACGAAATTTGGGGCTCCCCCTAATTCTGCCAATTTTGTCGGCGCGACACCGTCCATACGTTTTTTGGCCAAAAACCTTATTAGAAGGCATACCATTACTTTTGAATGTTGTTAATGGTATCATCGAAAAATGCAGTGATTTACAACATTTTTGAAAACGTGTCAACTCATGCCTGACGTTAAAATCCCTCGTCATCAAATGAAAGTGAAAGTTAATATCTGTGATCGTCTCTCAGTTATTTCTGAGTTTGTTCGACAAACGTTTCTCCAATTTTTTGGCATTATGCATGTAAAAGATCATATACATTCTGTTGTGATATACAATATTATTAAAAAAACATATTTTGTTGAATGTAGAGAATGAATTATAAATTATCTCTTCGTCGACGCTTGCATACAATTATCTAAAATTACAAAATACCTTGCAAGCATCTCAGTTTGCCAGTTTTATTTTTACAATAACTATTCAAGTATCAAACAAGCCATTGCTCTTGAAGTGATAAATGGAAATATTTCTTTGTGAGATATGACAACTGGGATGGAATCACAAAACTGCTTGCGTTCACATAATTTGGTTACTAACCTTGCATCGTCCGTGGCAGAATTGGTCTGGGCTTTTTCGTCTCGGATTTTTTTCGTTTACTGGGAGAAGTGTCTGACTTGACAGTTTTAGGAGCAATTATAACATTTGTAGCTTGGAATTTTCGCTTCTCCGCAAGTTTTTGCGGTTCGCGTTTTATGAAAGGTGCAGCAGTACCAATATCGGTAAGCTGTGTTTTGGTGCTCGCTCCATATGTTCGAGTTGATTTTCCACGACTAGGAACTACAGTCAGCGGATGAAGTCTTCTATCCAAAAATTGCTCCTGATGTCGCGTCATCGGGGAAACTCTGGCGGTCAGTTTTTGTTTGATTATATCTTTACTCGTCTGGTGAACAGAGGCATCGGAGTTCGTTCGTTGTATGGCGGAAGTGCCTTGAGGATCGTTCGTTTTGTAATCGGCGACGCTAAGCTCGAATTTATATCTTTCTTCCATAGTTGATCCAAACCCTGTTGTACTTACCATTTTTAATCACTAAAATATCACTTAACTCAAAGCGCCAGCCGCATTAATAACTCAGAGGCAAAACTGCAAGCAAAGTCTCTCGATTGAGATGCAGGATGTAGTAACGTGTATTTTTAACCTTCCCTCGTTCTTAACCAATCAGAATGCACGTTACTTGGCCAGCAGTCGAAGGGACTTCCCCGTTTGGTTTCGTTTTTAAGATATCAGCATGGTATATTCTTCCTGTTTCATTTGCCTACTGTTCCAGCTCTTCCTTTTTGTTGCAACAGTTTTTCCGGAGGGTTAAAACGATTTTCGTTACAACGGGCTACCGAGAATTTTGGGAAAATCCCTCAGCAGGTAGATACGAATTTTAAAAAATAGTTATAACTCTCACATTTTCAGAAATCTATATAATTCTCTACAATGTCGTACTCTTTGTAGTGATGAGTGTTTGAACATCTTAGATCACGCATCCACAACTTCTCAACTTAAAATCAAAGAAGCTATCCACAATCAATGAGAGCCACTTAATCATCAACTTTATCATGTTAATTTAAAACTTTGTTCTGTTATTATTGTTTGTTTTGTCCAATCAGCATTTTGTTATACACTTTAAATTCCACTTTGTACTTTGTATTATGACAGAAGAACTGTCGAAACCTGTTTCTAAAAAGTGTCGTTTATTTCCTAAAATAGTCATACATTCTCGCGTGCATGTTCTTAGCTTGCGTCACGCAATGTATTGCGTGACGAAATTGTATTAATTTCGTCATTTTATTAGAATATTATTAAAGAAAGAAAGTAATGATTAACCCGGATTATTATCAGTGTTTTGATGGTTTGCTTTTTAGTTCTGTATATGCCATGTACTTTTTGTTTTTTTCGTTTGTTTTCACTTCAAGAAGGATGTTCGCTTTTATGATTCAACCCAACCGTACCCCCCTACTATGATTTACTTACTCTAAAAATCAGTTTGTTAATTTATTCATAATATTTTGATTTCCTTTTTAAAGATTCTTTCCTGAATCTGTATTTGTAACAGAAATCTTTCTCAAGTTGAAGAACTGAGAAAGGAGTTAGGAGTTGTTATATTAAATTTTAAGTTACAGTTCAACGTAACTTTGTACATGATCACTCTTCGTTTTCCCGATTTTGCAAAGAGCGGAAACTTATTCAGAGCCTCTTCTCCTTACCTCAAAAGAGCTAGTTCGTTTCAGAGGACTTATACTTTTTGAAAAAAAAATATGCTCTTGTTTTAGAATCAAATCAGCTCACTTGAAAGTCGTTGCAGAAACACCAGTCGCGATTCATTTTCAAAATGCATCGTAAACCGATGAACTTCTTCCGAGTAAAACAGGAAACTAATAACTACTTTCTGGACGGAAATTTCCCTGCGGACGGACAATCGTTTTCTTTTCCCCTTCTTTTCGAGGTGGATCACACTTAATTTTTTCGCCATTTATCTTAATGTCAATATTCTAAATTTATACATTTATACCATGACATTCTAAATTTTTGGGAATTTTTAAGTTCCATCAGGAGTCCATTACTGAGCTGCTGGTTTAATGTAGAGAAAAAACTTCCAACGATATGAAAAGGTGAAATTTTTTCCCTATCCATGAAAAAAAAGGAATATTTTCCAATACACTCGAATACTACAACTTGTTATAGTTATAGCAAATATATTTGAATTTTGAATAATTGCGATTGCAACAGACTAATCACACGAACTTATGTCATACATTCTAGAAAGTGATAATATAAATTTGCTCTGTCGCGATCTGCATCTAGTGACTTAGTCGTGAGACAACAAAGCAAATTTACATTATCATCCAGCTACCACGATGAACAACAACCTATTTCACAACATTCTAGAAAGTACTTCTCAGCCCACCCTGGAAGGGTGTTTTTTTTCCCTATGTTTGGTTGCTATGACATCACAAACGAACTGTCAAGGTTAATTACGTCACGTGATCAACATGGCGGCGAAGACAAACGGTTTACTATTCGATTAATGACTGTTTTGTACGATAAAAAATCAACCTGATAATAGGTTTTGCTAGAGGCGATTCGTTATCCCATTGATGTACAAATGTCTTTGACAATGCAGCAAACTCGTAGGGAAACTTCGGGGCATTTGCATCACAATTCTGGTGCCGTGAAAACTAGTCGTTCAGTTGCATCTAGTTCGGTTGGTACTGGTACATCTAGTAGTTTTTCGTCAACTTTTGGTGCAAGGGGGACCAAAAACGCAAGTTCCTCTACTAGAAGAACTCTACCTCACGGACCAGGTCCTTTACCTGATAAACCTTCAATGGATAAAGCAGGAGTAAGATATGTCGCCCAAAGTAATTCTAGTCGCAATCATGCAGGTACCACTAGAGGATCATACTTGTCTGATACTTACAGTAGAAAATCGAGTACATGGGAATCTCCGAAAACGCGGCGTAAAGTTTCAGGTGACTCTGGTTACGGAAGCTCCAATGGAAAAGAAAGGATAGGTGGCTTTAGATATGGAGAGTTGTCAAATGGACGAAGGTCGAAATCGCTCTCGAGTTTGGGACCTAAGGAAGATCTCTATACACAAAAGAGAGATCATGAACCAGATAAATACCAAACTAGGCATATGTACACTCAGAGAAACACAAACTCCAAACCAACTTTAAATGGGAGTAGTATTTCATGTAGCAGTGGTATTTATGGATCTACAACGCATGCCGATTACAGAGATCCTCGGAATGAAATAATTCCAACTCTGAATAGCTATGGGACTAAGTACGGACAATCGTATTCCTCAGAAAAATCAGCATCAAGCAAGAGCAGTTACAGTATTGTGCATGCGGACACAGCTAGAAAAAGTACCATAACTGCTCTGCCAGGATCAGAAATGAAGTGCGCGAGACAATCGTCGTTTAGTTCCTCAAATTCGTCCCCTTCAAATTCGGTGAGTTATGTGACAACTTTCGTTCTAAATTTGCACAACATTTAATTCATTTTGTAGTTATTGCGAAAGTTAGTAAACCCCTATGGTGATAACAATGATCATGGGAATAATGAATTATATTATTTATTAACAATGATGATAACAATACCAAGTATTTTGTTTCTGATAATGATTATAATAAAAGTGAGAGCTCTGTAATGATGTGTCATTTGAGCTTAAAGAATTCACTCTCACTGATAAAGGGCTAGCACTCTAAACATCAGCTTTGGAAACTTTTTACAGTGGGCACCATGAGTGACCAAGACAGAATTTCTCCTTACTATATCAACTCAATATCAACCAGATAAGTAATGAGAATAAAGAAAAATATCAATTTGGTGATAATTAGTTGATCCAATACTCAATTCTCTGAACTAACATCATAAGAATTGTATGGTTGACAGTAAGGAGAATTATAAATTTGGTCTGGGAGTTAAAGGGTTAACTCAGTCAATGAAACCAGATATCTTGTAGTACCCCCCATCAACACAGAACTACAGTTTCTTTAGAAACTTTCATAATCCCCTTAAATGTTTTGGCTCATTTCATTTTCAGTAGGTCAGTCATGAAGGCACAATTTTTCCCTTTTCTCGGTTTCAGCAATCTGTTGTTCAGTCTTCTACAGAGGATTATTAATTATCCTAGGAATCCACAGTAGAGCTATCCAGTGAATTGCTGTCAAATTTTTTTAAATAAATTCATTTGGAATTAAAAATCTCCAAGTGCAACTTCTTCTTGAAGAAATTACAAGCAAACAGGCTTGAAGTTATGTGGACATTACTTCTCTGTAACATATTGATAAATTGCAAAATAGACACATGATGAGACTGTAGAAATTATATTTGCTTCAGAGTTTTAATTTTGATCAATCATTAAATTTTCTTAAAGTTATCACTTAATTTCAAAGAAATTTTATGTCATGGTCATGGATAAGATTACTGCAAATAATTTAGATTCAGTCTGACCTTTTTGAAGTATATGATTGCGATAAAAAAAAATTGTTCAAGCTACCTTAGAATTTTAAAATTTTCCACAGGAAAAAAAAAGAATTTACTGCAAAAAAAATTGTTTTCAAACAACCTACGGTTTGTTACTCAGACAAACAGTGTCTTCAATGCTTAATTATTTATTGATTTGTCTCATCTTTTTTTTTTTGGATTGAAATCTGCTTCCTAGAATTCTTTTCTTTTTTTTTCCTTTTTTTCATAAATCTAATTTTGAAATTGTTTAGAATGTCCATTTTTCTCTTTTACACCTTCAACATGGTATGTTTCTGCTTAGGAATGAGTTGTTTTGACATTGTTTAATTAAAATACCTGTCAAACATGACTAATTTATTTATATAATTTATACCTATGACTACATTCATTTTAAATGGAACTTTGCCAGGTTTGGCAATAATATACCTGTTATACTCCAGTTTCTATTTTCCTGCAATGCTATCCGTTTTTCCTTTTAACCAATTTTCTCCTGTTTAGATGTAATTTTTGGAGTCAGGACAGATTTTCTAACTTCACTCTCAGAGCAAATTTTTAATGTATCTTGTGGCAAAACACATTCTGCCAGAAGAGGTTGTAATTATGTTATTTGCTTGTTTTGATGAGAAATTGAATCATCAGCAAGGAGAGGAATAAACCGTGGCTTTTGGATGTGAATATCTTTTTACAGTGGGAGTTTATTTCTGTTTGTTGTGGGTCCTGTTGGTGAAAAGAAATCTGTCCTCAAGGAAAAACGTATGCTTTCACTCCTGATTTTATTCTGCACTGCATATTGACAACCTCTGATTTTGAATTTATCTAATGTTTAGCAGCTTCTGTTATGTACAGATTTGAATTATTGAAATTCTTGTGTAATGAATTGCTGAAAGGAACTGTTAAACATGTCTGTTTTATCTTTTAGCCAACGGGAAGAGGCAGTTCTGATGGGTTAGTTGGTCTGCGTAACCTAGGAAATACAGTAAGTACATTTTTTTAGAAATGATATGACCTAACTGATCTCAACCAGTATCAGATATCCTAAATAATTGAAATCTTTCATACTTTTTGACATTCTCAGAGAAACTTTGTCAAGGCAACTTATGATTTTGTGCACTTTTTCTGCAGTGTTTTATGAATTCCATCCTCCAATGTTTGAGTCACACACAACCCTTAACTGAACAACTGTCAAAAGGCTCTCACCTGAAGATAATTAACAGCAACAGTTCCATGAAGGGCAAGCTTATTCATGGTATATCCATTGACATTATTATAAATAAACAATAGCCTTTATTTGATGCAAAGATTTGCAAGGATATTTGTCCACAGACATAATCTGTTCCAAGATGCAAACAGTTTTCTAAGAGCAAAACTGGAGGAAAACTGTGTGCTTCAAGGAACAGATAATGTCCAAGGACAAACTTACAAGCATGTTTTCGAGCAAAATAGAGACAATGTGTTGATTTTCCTTCAAATATTTTGCAATGCACTTGAAAAATTGTTTATGAACAGCTCACTGTTTGCTGCATAAGCTTGTTTGAGTGTTCTCTGGTACAACTTTATGAAAAAACAAATATTTCCCCTCTTCTGTAACAACCACAAAACAATTTATTGCAGTGACTTAAGGTTTGAAAATTGGGGAATATCAGTTAGGTGATATCTTTGGATAGGACCCCCAGTTTTAGCAGGGGAATATTAGGTCATGAGATGTGTTTCAACCAATGGTGTGGTAGCAAAATTATTTGATGGATTATCAACTATCATAATGATATTGGTTTTGTCACATAGTGTATGTGACAGCAATGTCATTATAACATAGCTGTGTGTCATTTTGCTCTCAAGATCTCATTCCTAATTCTCTTTACCTTCTGCAATACAATTCTCATCATGATAGCTTGGAGAATTTGGTATCAGATCAACCAATAATCGGCTGTGTATTTTATTGATATTGTTAAGAGAAATTCTGTCTTGGTCACTTCCAATGCAGCAAAAGTTTTTAATTTGGAAACCTGTGTTCAGCAATCATGTTAAAAGCATGAACTTTTGACTGCTTTAGAAGAACGTTTGCATAAAATAATTTGTGATGTTACAACAAATGTCCATCTGGGTGTATTTTTCTTTTGGAGAGTACCTGTTGTTGGTAAGAGTGTCACTTTGGCTTGAAAAAATAGTGGCAAGCATTTTGATAATTATTATAAGTTTCCATGATTTAAATGGCAATTTTCCTAGCAATTGAAATTATTTCCTCATCCCCATTCTATGATTTTAAGTTGCTTTTTGCTTTAATCTCTTGGTTTGAACAATATTTTCATCAAGCTTTGCTTGATTTTTTACACAGCTTTTGCGGATCTGATCAAATCTATGTGGAAGCATGGTTACACTGATGCAGTGTCTCCGCATTCTTTTAAGACTCAGATTCAAAGATTTGCCCCTCGATTTATGGGATACAAGTGAGTCAAATATTTGTATTGTTACTATTAAGCAACTCATTCCCACGGTGTCTTCGTAGTTCAGTTTAATAGTATTAGTGCCCAATTTTATGCGGGAGGAGAATAAAGGGGCAAGTTTCTAAAGAAACTGTGGTGCTGCACCGGTGGAAGAGTATAACAGGGTAATTTAGTATTAGCAGCTGAGTTGATGACGTAAATTAGCTACTGTAAAGAATTTCAAAGCTGACGTTTTGCGCATCAGCCATTCATCAGATATGTGGGAGGTACAGGCTTGAATCTGCAATTCTAGCGAAATTTATTTCATTACAAGTTGATGTTATTACTATTATTATTATTATAACTACTATTTTCTTATACATGTATATATATTTATATATATCAAGAAACGCATCTATCTGTTTCATTTTTTATATGCTTATCTTCCATACTGACAAACAGACGAATGACTGAAACAGAGAGATTAAATGAGAAGGCAATTTAATGTGATCAAGAAGAGAAAAAAAAATTCTTCTACAAACACTGAAATAGAAACCTGGTAAAAAAAATAATTGTAGCATGTTGATGCTGATGTTTTAAATTAAGATGAGAACAAATTGGGAATCAATTTTAAATTAGCATTACTGAATACATATTATCACTAAATATCTTGTGTCACAGTTTGTAAGCAGTTGGCAAAAAGTAAAATTATGTACAAGACGTTCTAAGTTTTTTAATTCAACTTTTTTTTTTATATATATGTAGCCAACAAGATGCACAGGAATTTTTACGCTTTCTTTTGGAAGGACTTCACGATGACTTGAATCGAGTCAAATCCAAGCCAAAGTATACACCTTGTGAATTTGATGACTCACTCAGGTAATCATCCTTGTGTACTTTAAGAGTGATCAGCGTCTAATTTCTCCTTCTCTCACCCCTAAATCACACATTAAGGTCACGAGAGTAAAGGAAATTATCACCATTTAAAGAAGCTCTCGATTGTTCAACAAATTCTCCTTGTCAGTGCCATAAGAAATTTGTCGAGAACAGCATGGAGAAGATACATACTGATGCCAACCTGGCGTCTCTACAAACCGTGTGTTATAGATCTTTTTTGAGATGGAGGTTTTGCAATTGTTCGTAAATTGAACTGAAATGCGTGCGGGAAATCTTTTTCGTTTTTAAATTTCAAATTACAAGTTTCCTCTTCCTCTCCCCCCTTTGTACTCTTATGTTGTATCCATGCGCGGCGCGCGTGATTTCACAAATTAGCCAATCACGTCTAAGAACTCTGACCTTGGCATAGAAAACTGACGCACACATTTTTCGAGTTCTGTCGTTGTTTGTTTTAACTTAGTTCAGTTGGTTGTTTTTGAGCTTTCGTTAGCGCAAATTTGTTACCCCTTTGATTTGAATTTTAAGAAATTTTGGAGTTTTTACTTTAGTCAACTGTTGTGGTGTATTTAATAAGGTTAATACTTATTTTATACGAAAAAGCCTCATTTCGCAAATGGTTTTTTACATTGTGGGTATTCTTACTTTTCTCTCAATTGGTTTTTTAGTCATCGACAGAATGCAGAGAAGTCATGGAAAAGTTATCTTTCACGAGATGACAGCTGGATGACTGGTGAGTCAGATGAGGTTATTTCTTTGGAAACATTGCAATGCACATGCTGACGGCCCATAATTTTAGTTGCGATTCGTTCGTGCGCGCTTAAAAAGTTGCAACTTTTTGTTATGATGCGGGCTAAATATAGAATTACCCTGTAAATGGACGTTTTTTTGTAAAGGGTACAAGACCCTTTTTTGTTCTCTCTTACTTTGAAATGAATATCAGCTTTCTTCCTGTAAAATAAATTAGTGAATTTGAAACTCCTAAGTAGAATGATTGTGAAATATCCTCGTTGCGTATATTTTAAGATATATTCAAGACTTGTAACCCACGGTTGCATTCTAAAACTGAAGTCTCACGGAGATTAAACCAATTTCAGTGCAAGAAATGTTAGTAATCGTTAGGAATGCCATTTTTGCTATTTACAGGACGAAGAAAAAATGTTCTGGAGCATGAGAGTGGTTTGAAGTATTCATTGCTGTTCTTGTTTCAGATCTCTTCGTGGGACAGTTGAAAAGCATGTTGAAATGTTGTCATTGTGATTACACGTCAGTCACCTTTGACCCGTTCTGGGACTTGTCACTTCCCATACCAAGGGTAAGTCGCCCAGCTGATTCAAAGAAGAAGCAGTAACAACCGAAAAAAAAAACAGAACTTAGCGGTCTTAAGTGTCGTCGATCTGCTAGGGAAGCTCTGCCACAATTCTATTTAGTAAATGGAATTGTCTTAAATCGGATAGATGTAGTACTTAGGACGAAGAGTTAGCAGCAAACAATATTTAGTTCTCTTTGGCTGTGATAAGTCAAACTTTAAAAAAAATGGATATTATTACTTTACATACAATTTTTCTTACCAAAAAACGTTCAATAAAGGAAACTGATATCTAAGCTAATGCTTCCAGATCTGATTTGCTTCAAATTTTTGAGGGCTATCTGTTGTATGCCGAAATTAAATACTCCATACTATTAAAATACTCCGTCTGAGGACCTCTATCAGTGACATGCCGCGAATTTAGTGTAAACAGTTCCGTGTTTTTCATGTTTATTCGTCACGAAAATAAGCAATGAAGAAATAAGCCATATAAAAGTTTTATGTTCCTAATTTATTCATTTTGTATATCACTCTTGTGCTTGTTGTTTATTTAGGAATCTGGGTTCCGTTTCTCGAAGGTTCCGATAACTTGACGGGCCTGTAAAGCTGTTGTGATTTTCATTCCATGCGGGGTTTCAAAGGTTTTAAAAAGCATACAAAAAAGCTTTCAGCCTTAGAAATAAAACGATTGGTTATCGCTTGTTTATCGTTCAAATTTTGATGTTAAAATATGGTCACGGGCCCGTTAAGTTACGGGGACTTTCGAGAAACGGGTACCAGGTTATGAAAACGTAAAGTCGTCAATGGTAAAACATTGGCTCTACTCTATCACGCTAGCTGAGGAAGAGAACAGCAGATAAAACTCCTATTGTTGCGACCATGACAGGACTATTTCCTATTGTTCTCTTCAGAAATCCCGTCATTCATCATTATCATCTTCTTCATCGTGGTCCGGAAGGCGATCCAGTGGGGCAAATGACAGCGAGATTACCATTAGAGACTGTATCCTTACCTTCACCAAGGAGGAAGTATTGGATGGCGACGAAAGACCAGTAAGTACGAAACAAAATTGTCCGTAATTTCCAAGGAAATAAGTTGCCTTAATTATGGCGACCCAAATGATTATGGTTCAGTTTTACTTGCCAATTTCCAGGTTTGTTCTTTTATGTGCGGGAAGATAGCTATTAAGACAGAGTTTAAGATCCACGTTTGGTGTGTTCACCGCAAACGTCAAACAGCGGTCAGCAGTTTGTTTTTAGAAGTTAGAGGTTTCGTGACTTTCAGCTTTTTAGATCGAAGTCGGCTGTCACCTGAAAAAAAATCAACATGAGCGCCGCCAACTTGAATTACACAAAGGATGGGGGTCTTTCATTTCAAACACAAAATGTGGCTATAAGATTGGTTTTCTAGTGTCCCAAACGGATAGGTTATGAAGAAAAGACTTCAATTCACATATTATAGGACATGCGTGAGAACTTTCGAACAGGAAGAGAAAAAGCGTCAGGGGAGTTCAACTTCCTGAAACTGCCTTGCCCGAAGTTCACACGTGGACGGCAAACGGCGCACGTGACCGCTAGAGTCTGGTCACGTGACTCCTAGACGTTTGCGGTCACGCGTAGTCAGAAACAAACGTGGATCTAAAACTCCCTGATGATTTTCTTACACATGAGGCACGAACCTTCTACCTTCATATTCGAGTGGAGTTGGTATATCCCTTTTGCTAGGTACGCAGAGCGTACGAAATGGCGATTGTATTAAAATTAATCTGATGCACAATTAATCCATGTGACTATTCTTGTAATTTCGTGCCCAAGTCTTCCGTTCGTCACAATTTTGGCATCGACAACAGCTGTTCATTAAACCCTTTTACAACACATTGCTGTTTTACTGTTATATTCTACAACGATACAACAGCAGGCACATGCAGTCATAGACTGCCTTTTATTTCAGGGGGTTGTTCTTCGCAGTTACCCATCCCTGATCATAATAAACAAGTTAACTTCCGATCTCCAGCCATTTAATATACGTTTTTCTCTCTCAGACTTGCGACAAGTGTAAGGCCAAGAGGAAATCAACGAAGAAATTCTCAATACAAAGATTTCCGCCAATCCTTGTTCTTCGTATCCTTTCTCTGTCAATATGTCTTGTAGTTGTGTACGATGGAACCTCAGTTTAGGGGGCTCTCTTGGGGAAATGAAAAAGAGTCCCCTGTATAGAGGTGTCCCTTCAATGAAGGTGATTAAGTACTGCTAGAGGAGTTGGGACCCAAGTTTGTGTCCCTAAAAGTGTCCTAAAAATAGGTTCCAATGAACCCGCTAGAGAGCAACCTAACGGCTGTTTGTTTGATGACCGTTTTTTTTTAGTTTAATATTTATTTAACTACCAACAAACTGGGCATCTAGTTAAAGATATGTCTAAAGTAAGCGTTTTTTTTTTAATTATTATTTTATTTCAATTTCTTTTGAAATCAGTCTCTGATTTTGAGATTTGACCTTAATGTCCATTTAAACAGATTTAAAAAGATTCTCAGGTTTCAGTTTTCGATCCAAGCTACAGACGAATGTAGAATTCCCTTTATCTAAGCTGGATCTCTCTGAATTTGCTGCCGACAGCCAAGGTAAGAACCTCACGAGTATTTCGTTCTGTTGGAACGTTCGTCAGCCATCGAGAAACCGAAAACTTGTTGGGACGCTAAATAAGCGCTGTCAGTTTTAGCCATAAATTTATGAACTTATGTTTACGAGTCCGTATTTGCACAGTTCGACAACATTTGCTGCTCATTTGGCCGTTAAATGAAAACCAGTTTTGAAGTCAAAAACCCTTTTGACAAGTTTGTCGTGGTTTTGTCGACGTTCAATCTCTTGTTGTCTCAAAGACTTCCGGGGAAAAAAGTGTTGCGTGACAAGACAAAACAAGTTTAAAGGGGACTAGAGTCACGCTATGTCACGCATTTTTAGGCAATTCTTAAATTGAAAGACTAACTCGCAAATTAGCTGTACGTAGCTCAATGAATGAAAACTGCAAGAAGCTCTCGTAGAGAACACAGAAAAGAGAAGAAGGGCCGCTCAAACATCCTGCATGTTTTCTATTTGTTTTTGGAGTTTCTAAGAAGAATGAAGTTTAATATCATGTGGCAAATTCTACAGAGATGTTTGTAAAATATTAACTTAAGTTGCCTCGCACGGATGCCATGTGGTATGATTGTTTGATTGCTTTCAGAGGGTCGGTCAGCGGTGTACTCCTTGTACGCAGTCTCGAATCATTCCGGCAGCACCTACGGCGGCCATTACATGGCTTACTGTAAACACCCGATCAGCAAACAGTGGCACTGCTTTAACGATTCACGGTGAGTTTTGCTTTCTACGTGAAGTGGATACGCTTAAGTCTCATTTGCGCATCAACATAAGATCAGAATTTTCTGATAATGAAGAAAACAGTTGCCAAAATTGAAAGCGCCTTTTGGGGCCAGCTATCCCCGAAAATTTCGGCCCAACTTTTCGTTGAGTGCGAACAGTGATTCAAGGGTTTTTTTCGGTATTGCCTCGTCACGTTCTGTGATTGGTTCAGGAAACTCGTGCCATCCTCTCAACCAATCAGAAAACAAACCTAGAACCAAGCGCGCCTGGCCACTCGTATTTTCCCGCGCTTCAGGCAGTTTGCCTGTGTTGACTCTGAAGTCTGACTGGCTACTTGTGACATTTCTCTTTCTGCTCATTGCTCTGATTTCACAACTAATGCAACTCAGGATCACTTTCGATTATCAATTGAAAAGTGCTCTATTCCACGTACTAGAATCCTCAGCATTTCATGTCAGTCTAAAATAGTTTACGGTAAAAGGATACAGTTCGAACTGAAAATTACTGAATGATGACAACTTTTCCACCTTGCGACAAACTGGTCACCTCACGATTATTTTCGAACGTCTGCGGAAATATCGCGAAATTTCTGATTTTCTTTAAGTGTTTATAATATTGAACTTTCTGTGAAGGTTAACAGAGGTTTGTTTTGTTTTCAGGGTGGATGAAATTTCTTCATCACGGGTTCAAGGAGCACAAGCATACATCCTATTTTACGAGAAAGATGAAAGAAAATCATCGCTATGACATGAGGTTCAAACCACAAATGCTGGCATTTGCTGGGTATCACCCAATCCTTTGAAGCGTGACTCTTAAAAGCTTGCGTGACATTTGCGTGATCTTTTTTTCTACGGGTATTAGAGATAGAAGCGGTGATTTTATCATTTATCCTGAAGGAGAAAATCTTCTGCAGGTCGATCTTGAAAACATTATTAAAGTAAGGCATTTGTATATCGTATGCGTTCAGGTTTTTTTTTTTTCAAGTTGTGATTTTGCCGAGTTGATTTTTGTGTGATAACTCGTTCAGTAGCACTGCGATGGTCTTGATTCCTGGGTTTAGGTATTAAGGTATGAAAGAGACTGGGTAGGCGTTGATTGTTTATCATCATTGTCTATCAGCAGTTACGTAATGATTATGGAAATGAAATTGGATGATGAGATAAAATTTACATCGATCAGAAGATGATGAAAAGTATTGAGTCAAAATTATTTTGGGTATTCTTAGTAGGGAAGACTCAGTTGACCTTGTTCTGCAAGTCTATTTAGTGAAACTTTTCTACCGAAATTTCTTTGCATGTAAACCTTTCACCCTCCCAAGATCTTGTTAGTAATTATCCTTTGAGGTAGGAGAAGTTGGTATTTGAACCACGGATTTTCCTGTCATTGATATGTTTCTGTTTTCTCATCGCTTGTCTGTTTGATACTGTGTTGTCATTATAAGGAGAAATACTGTCTTGGTCACTCAAGGGAGCTAAAGCGTTAAGCATTGGGTTGGTTTGCACAAAGTATCACATAACGCTGTAGTCATCTCCTTTTAGAACTCTTTCAACGACTTGTTTTCAAATTTGATGAAAATCTCAAGATGGTTTTAAATCAGTGTCTCGGTGTCCCTAGGTGTCAAGAATGAAATTGAAAAGTGAATTTTTAGTTTTGATTATGTCACTACTCTCTTGAAAACAAAAGAACAGCTATTACGCTTCATAGTCGGGTTTTATGCTAATTGATTTTACCTTGTTTGAAAAAGTATCTTTTTGAATGTATATAGAGATTTTTCTGGAATAGCGACTGGTACTTGGTCAAGTAGAAAAGTTTCCCTAGTCTGGAGATGCTATAGTTTATACAAGCTATAATTTTTACAGGAAAATATGTCTTATTTATGAGGTTTGAGTGCAGAAATTTTGTAATATATTTATTTGAGAGTGATAGGAATAAAGTGTCTTCAATTTTGATTAAATTATTGCACTTTGAAATATTCTTGTTGTAATTTGTGTTGTGGACTGCAACATCTCGACTGCATACTGCTTGTTGAAATTTCGTGAAACTTACAGAAATCAACTAATAACTATATTTGTTGTTGATTTAAATGTTAAGTTTAATTCATGAGATGACTTAACCAGCTTCAGACGTATGGTTATCCAAAAGGAATGTGGAAATAAACTGCGGGACGCTAGCGGCGGATCAAAAAGAAAGGAAAGGAAAGTTGCGCAACCCAAATCCTCTTTTTTTTCAACCCGACCGAACTTTTTCCTCTTCTTTTCGCTCGTTCGTTACTTTGTTAACAATTTCAGTTTCCATTTTAACTGTGTAACTGCCAGGAGCAGACACGTGATGACTGAGATCAGATGAACTGAATATGCAGCGCCATAAAAGTCAATGCAGTCGTTAGCCTATCTCTGGGAATTTAACCCTCACTGGCCCCCCCTCATTCCCTTCTCTGACTTTCTATTTAAGTGGTAGAAACGGCAAAGAGTGATTAAACAAAATATCGCACATAATCACTCCAGGTCGACAATAACCATTCTACCTTGCACTGCTTACACCGTCAGTGCAGTATTCCCACGTGCGCAAAGTGCTTGTAACTTAAGGGAAACATACGCATGTTACACCAAAAAAGCCGCGTGTAGCAGAAGAGGCCGATGAGTCGCAGTTTCTCGTAGTTTTCAATTTCTCTTTTGTTTTTCAGTACACGCATATGCTTGTAATTTTTTTACACGGATGCGATAGAAATTAATTGGAAAAGCATTCCTTGAAATAGGAAGTCGTCATGTGTTTTGAGCGAAAAAAGATCATAAAGAGATCAAAATGGCAACGATGGCAACGATGGCTACACCACCCGCTCCAATATGCTCCAACACGAAGTCTAAGATCTTTTTAACTTCCTAGCAAACCTCCAAAAGTCTGACTGCTCGCTGTAATGGACAGAATTGAGGAGTGTTAGTTTCGAAACGCGTAACTTGTGTACTTTTCTGTTGGGTTTGTTCCGGTCTATTATTTCTTCGTTGGTCAATGATTATTACTTAATAAGTTTTTTATTTCAATCAGTTTCATTTAAGCACATGTACCAGATGTTGTATTTCATATTTCATCGCTATAAGTTGCTGTCAACGCAACCAATTTCCTCTGCTATTCATGTACGATCCGCTATCGGCGATTCATCTACAATCTTTAGGAGCTAGACCAAAGTAAGTTTTTCTTCATTTCACATTTAAGATATTTCCTTTTTTTTTTTATACGTATATCGGTTTATTTCTTTCAGTTCACTTTATAATCGCTTCATTGTTAATTAGGCTAGTGTTATATTTCTCAGGGATATTTTCTTAGTTTAGTTTCTGCTGCATTTCCTTTTAGTTCGAATCACACAAAAATTCAGCTACAACGTTACCATCAATCATGATCAATCATTACTATCTTCGCTATCTATCGCTATCTTCAATCCTACTTCGCCCTCTTCATCTGTGATTTCACACCGATCTCCTTATTTTCGTTTGTAATTTTGATTACGCACTTCGTTTGATTAAATCGTGATTTATATTGTGTGTTCGGATTGTCTTCTCCGCTACACGAGTAACCTTTGAAGGTTACAGAGGAGGGCGCTCTAAAACTTCGTGAAAGACCGCAAAGAGACAGTTAAACTCTCACTTCCTTCCCAGACCCCTTAAGCAAAGAAGCGGACTTAGCCATGGGGAGAGGGCGCTGGGGGCAAAAAAAAAATTACCGTGCGAATGGACCCCTTCCCCTTCCCTCTTGGTTAGTTTTGTCAACCATTCATTTGGAATGTTTTGGCCGGAAAACAAAAGATTAAAATTGATTGCAATTATCAATTTTTAATTTTTAGGCTTCCGCCGAAAACAGAAAAATTAAGCCATGCCATAGTCTACAACATTTCCGGAAAAGCAAATTAAATCGCCCCTCAGTTTCAATTTTTCTCTTCATTGTTGACAGGATTAAAGTAAAAATATATGTTATGTTTCAATATTCTATCAAAAGGAAAAAAATAAAAAATTTTCGATTTGGCACTTTCGTATTTTTTTTGATAAAAAATAATGACAATCGAAAATTGAATCAATTTTTAATTTAAAACGAAATTGAATTGAATATGCCGCTTGTCAACCAAAGTAATGACGCTATACAATATACAAATTCATTTTGAAACCAATACTTTTCTGTCAACAAAATTGATTTGAGAGAGAGAAAAGAGAGGATAAATAAATTATTTGTCGGCTTAAAAATCTGCCCAACCGAAAAAACAAGATATATTTATGAAAAATGGCAACGAAAGTTGGGATGTACTCGGCGACTCACGAAAGCGTTACCGTTGCCCGAGGGCAGAAACAGGAAAATACGAAAAAAAAAAAAAACGAATACCGTACGTGCTACGAATATATATGAGGTATATATCAGGACAGCCGTCATGGCGTCCTCTGTAGGAGGATTCTATGCAGATTTCATGTGCAGATAATCCAACATTTCAAAGGCTTGAAATTCGAAAAATGGACTTAGACCGAGCCCTTCTTCCTGGGCCATCATGTTCGCCTCTTGCCTACGACCCTTCATTCAAAGGTTTGTGCGTGTTCTACTTCCAGGTTGTATCAATACTGATTAACTAGGCAAGCAAATTCACCTGTTTTCTCCGCATCTTGCTGTTGAAGTCGGCCTTCATGACCCACTCTGGAAGTTTCAATTTTCTCCAGACGATGTTGCCATTGAAGTTCTGGATTTGTGTTCCCAACAGGAGCCACTACTTTGTATAAAGGAGTACGCCGTAAGGAACATTTCCATCGCTTTCATGAATTGTTTGATTTATTTCACTATTTTTTTTAAATTTTAGTTTCGTGTTTGGAAACCCTGATGAAACCCTTGCACTCGTTTTTGAAATAGTAATTTCAAAATTCGACAAAATTTGCTGCTTATTTGGCCGTTAAATGAAAACCAGTCTTGAACACATAAATCTCTTTGGCAAGTTTGTCGTGGTTTTGTCGAGGTTCAATCGCTTCTTTACTCAAAGAGCCTCCGGGATAAAAAGTGCCGCATGACAAGAAAAAAGGTTTGAAAGGGACTAGAGCACGCTATGTCAGGCAGTTTTGGGCAATTTTAAAATTGGCAGACTGACTTTCAAATTAGCAGTAAGAAGCTCAGTGAAGGAAAACCGCAAGCAGAAGCGCTAGTAGAGAACACAGAAAAAAGAAGGGCCGCTCAAACATTCTGCATGTTTTCTGTTTGTTTTTGGAGTTTTAGAAGAATGATGCGGTGGCCCACAACTGTCACGGCAAAACAAAAAGTCCCAACACTACAAAATTAACTCACGGCAAAACAAAATTAACTCACGGCAAAACAAAATTAACTCACTGCAAAACAAAATTAACTCACGGCAAAACAAAATTAACTCACGGCAAAACAAAATTAACTCACGGCAAAACAATAGTGGTGGGGTGAAAAAGAAGCCAATGATAATCTTAAAAGAGTCTATATTTTTTCGTTTTAGTTTCAACAAGCGGCGCCAGCGACTGGCAGGCTTGCGAGGATTCACAATGAAATAAGAGAACAACCTTTGTTTTTCGTAAAATTGTAATTTACAGTCCTTGAACTTGAAAACAATCCGAAGATTCATCTTACTCCGAAGCGCTCAGAGTTTACAGGTGTTCAAAAGCTTTTTTCTGTTATGGCGTGAGATTGGGAACAAAATCGATCCCTACATTTCGTATCGTGCGTTTTTTCTGTGTGAAGCAACAAAAGCTGCCGGCGACTAACGAAATTACAGGTTAACACGAAAATCAAATAACACCTAAACAAATAATTTTGGCTACTGACTTTTAGTGAATTTTTAAAGAACAATTTTCTTTTAAGTTTCAAGACAATTTGAAGATTCAAAATAAATATTACGTACTAAAATGTGAAGGTTATACACCACAAAATTGATAAATAGGCCTGAAATGAAATTCTATCTTGTTCTCGAGTATACATTGCCTGGCACGTGACCAAAATCTACCCAAGCGGAAATCCAAAATGTCAATAGCAGTCTGGGCTTAGTTATATCACTCAAAACTCGTTCCCGTTTGTCTCATTTGATAAAGGGGGAATCATTAATGTTTTAATTAAGACAGTATTGCCTTGATTTTCCAATATTTACAATGATAGAGAGTAAATTTTACTTTTCACCCACATTTACCTCCAACCTTTTCTTTTGAACCAGAAACAAAAATGATATATGTTTAAAACACATGACATCATCCACCCTTGTCAAATATAATAGCATGATCATTTCAATTGTAATGCCTTCTTATCCCAACGTTAATTTGTTTCTTTGCTACATTAGCAAACACTGAACTACTGCTCGTACTCTAAATATGACAATCAACCGCAAAATTCCCTAAACCAGATAACATTAAACATGATCCAAAAAATCATATAAGTCATCTGTCAATTCACGAGTTTGCTCACAGAGCACTTTGATTCGAGCTCACGATGTTTTGCTCCACGTGTGGTTCGGTAGTGGATGAAGATACAAACTATTGTAAAAGCTGTGGTAGAGGTAGGTTTCTTAATTTAAAGTGTTGGTATTTGCATTTTTTTAGTTCCAAATATTGATAGGCGTGAGAAGACACTGCTACAAATTAGCTGATTAGCACGTGTCTGGAATAAGATTGTGCATGTAGCTTGTGTGTAAGAAGAAAACATTCATAATGCATGTGCCTTGATGAATTAGGGATTTTTCAACAGGTGGAAAAAAAACAATGAAGCAAAATTATGTAGCTTACACCTCAGAGGAAACTTTACTTTAAATAGTGTTATTTCCATAAGTCTGTTTAGCATCAATAAAACTCAAGATAAATGATTTTGGAAATAATCAGGAACGTTTTGGCCTTTAACCTCATGTTCTCTGACTGTTTGCAGGCGTACAGTATTTTCCACCTGTTGAAAAAATCCTTATTTCATCAAGGCCGATACATTATGAATGTTTTATTTTTACACA